TTTTATTTTATATACTAGGCCTACCTAGCTAGAGGAGGCTAGACTACTAGTTCTTAATAAGTATTATAGCTATATAACTATTAACTTTATATAAAAATACTAGTAGTATTATATTTATTTATTATTTCTACTACTATATACCTTTACTATCCTCTAGCCTCTAGATATAGCTATTTTTAACTTATTAAAGTAGGCCTATTACTAGAGAGTTAGATATCTAGATAACTAGGTAATAGATTTAACTATTACTAGTAAAAAGGTATTTCTAGAGTGTTATTTTAAGGCTTATAAGGTATCTATGATAGATATTAATATTAAGAGTAGCTAGAGGGCTACTAGGTTATAGCTAGTATTTAGAAGGCACCCTTTATCTAACCTACTAGTCACTAAGGCCTAGTAGGCTAGCTAGGCCAGCTAGGCTAGCTAGTAGTCTAGTAGCTAACAGTAAGATAAAGCTAAATCTATTATCTTATAGTTAACCTCTTATTAATCTACTAATTTATAGTATTAATTACACTAGTTAACCTAGCTAGGTAAGGATAAGTTAGATACCTATACTATTTATTACTTATTTAGAAAAGTATAAAAAGGATATAATAAGTAGGTATCTAGAGTAGCCCTTCTAGAAAAGTAAGTTAACTTATTATAGGCCTAGTTAGATAATATATAGTTATATAAGAGGAAAAAGGTCTACTTATTATCTAATAGCACCTTTACTAGTATAGAGGATATAATCTAGGCGTAGAGTCTAGATGCTAGTAATATAGATAGTCTAGATGAATCTAGGGCATCTAAATTGCCTAGCGAGGCCGAAAGTTGCATATAGGTGGGCGGCAGAGATAGTGAAATAAGTGGTGATAGTGGTGGTGATGATGGTGATGATAATGTCTTGGATGTGGGGGTGTCTCGCAAGTAGGGTGGGGGAGTTATGATCGTTGTGAGTAGAAATGTGTACCTCCTGTAGTTTATATAGGTAGATAAATGGAGCCATTTTCGTTCTTTTTCAGCTTGCTGCTCTGATGTGTGATCGCCTAACATATACCAACTCCCGTAAGTATACCAGAATGCGGCTCCCTATTATTGAGCCCTAGGCCAGCCCCAGGCATTGACAATGCCTGGACAATGAGTTTGTGGTATCAGACACGTCGAGTTGATGACTTTGGCATCGGGAGCCACGAAACACTTATTCTGAACAGCCCCAGCTACAGACGTATCTCGGGAAATCTGAATACAAACGTACGAGACGCCTTGATCATTGGGCCAGTTTTGCCTTATCGTGCAATCTGACTGGATGCTGATATCGACGTTATCATCCCAGCCAATCCAGGCCCACGTATTGCAAGCAGTTATGTAGTTAAACCCAGTTATTGCACCACCTCTCGGAGTCGTTTCGGTGCAAACATCGAGGGCGATGACGCCGGCGATAGATGTGGCCAGTAATTGTATCGTGGACAGACGCATCTGGGTCCTTCCTTAGTAAGGTGCATAGCGGAGGAAGATGGGCTGCTGGTGGGTGTGGCTACCTTGCTTCAGAGCCCAATACTAGGTTGTAAGGACAGTTCTCCGACAGGAAGTAAGCAAACAGTGCGGTGGATAGACGACATGCATCGCACGAAGAGCTTTATACAACGTTCTATGGAGTACGAGTGGGCCAGTGACATTTGTAAATACTCCGTACATAGTAGGCATCTACTATAGCGGCGTATAATGTTCGGTGTGGCGGTCAATACTCAGTGTCAAGGTCCGTTAATCTACACGAACACAAAATTTACCATCGAGATGAGTTGATTGGTTGGCCCGTGAGGCGGTGTCAAACCCACCACATATTAGCTAGGATGTTGAGCTATCACTGAAGTCACAAGAGTCACATCTGCCAGAGCTAAATATAGTGAAATTATGAACGAATATTCGCGCAGATACACTGGGTATGTACACACTCGGCCATAGAATATAACAACCCTCCTTGCATTAATCACAATACTGGTATAAGCATCCACACACTTCTTCACCGATCTTATACCACAACCCACCATAAAGCCCAAAGGTCCTGGATTTTTCTTAAATCGGCATTCCTTTATAACAACCTACGAACTGGCCCGAGTCTCTTCGGTCGGACCCTCCAGACTGCTCCGGATCACTATCGTCGCCATGAAGAGCAGACACGCTGCCCTACCCGGGTTACAAGCTGCCGCAGCGCTCTACCTCGCGCGCACCTCTGAAGCCAAGATCTTTTGTGCCGATGCTAATCGCACCGTGGTCCCGGAAGCGAATTGCGACAATGTTCAAGCCCTGAAAGAGTTCTTCGTTTTTGGCAAAGACGTCACAGACATAGCCCCAGGCACACAGGTCGAGCCGGAAACCCACATCTACGATGCCTCCGACGTAATCATGCGCCAAAACGCAAAGTATCCGCCGCCATCAAACGCTTCACCCCCCCTCAAGCCTCGGACTTTGCAATCGCGGGACGACTGGGTTTGTGACACTGATTCCCCCGATTTTGTCAACGTTTTGGTGCTAGGATATATGACCCGTCGTCCCTGGTGGGGGCCAGCGGGTACTACCATTGGTGTCTTCGGCCGCGGCCCCGGTAGTTTAGGCGGCTAGTACTGGGCTATCAGAGACCGAGAGCTTAAAGTAATTACTTTGCTCTACTACAAATCCTAAAGGGTGAAAAGTGTACGGACTACATATATGACATATAGACGCGTAGGGTTTTGTTGAGATCGTTCTTTGATTTAGGGCCTGATCGGCACCGCCGATATCATTTGACACTTCGGATAAGGACCAATAACGCAGACTAAGCACCAGCCATAAGTGCTATTTAAACTTAAATTATAGTACACTTGGCTTAGAACAGGAGGATACAGCATGGTTATATTCCTAATCTAGTAAATTTTAGGCTTTAATAGCTGTTATAGGTGGTGCTTAGTCTGCGTTATCGGTCCTTATCCAAAGTGTCAAATGATATCGGCGGTGCCGATCAGGCCCTTAGGCTCTGGAGAACACATACTAGTGCAACCTATTCTATACACTTACATACTCAACCCGGGATATCTAGTTTCTAATTCGAATGGGTCTTCTTCTTGCAAGTTTAGGGCGCAACCCGAACCTATAATCGACCTCACAGCTAAGGTCAGCATGAACCGATAGTATATAGACAAATGCACATCGGCATTTCTGCGTCACAACCCCAAGATGTCTATCATTGTAATACTGTACTAAAGTACATCACTCACAGGTTTTAAGTTCAAGTAGTGGCGGGTAAGCCGACTGAGGGCGGAAGGCCGATGGCTATGTAGGGTATGTCCCTGGTTGAGTAACTACAGAGTGGGAATAGAAAGTCTTTTACCCCTGGTCATGTCATCTATTTGTAGCACGTGGTTCCTGCATGCACTGAAACTGGTTTATCTGGTATACAAATTTTCTATTATAGGTAGCTTGACACAGACTGATTCAGTTGCTACTGAGTAAACATCGGTAATTGGTGGACACTTGAAAGTTCCCAGCGCTTCAAGGTAGAAGATCCGATCTGCGACGTAAAAGAAAAGTGGTTGCCGAAGTTACTCCCGTCCATTTCCATAAAACCTACATCAGTCCATTTTCATTCGCCTAATACTGAATAATTATACGGGCGAATACGCAAGCAGATCAGGATGCGACGAATTCCCGTCGAGAAAAGGCCGGCCGCCATGCGCCTCGTGCAGAGCCAAGGACTCGTATACGCCGATGCTATTGGGTCCCATGAGTCAGAGCCATATTGGCCAGACAACCGCTATTACTCTTTCACTCTTGAAGAAATTGAACTCCTCGAGAAAGCCGCTCGGGATGTGTTCGAAATGTGCTGTAAGGCGGCAGATTACCTGACCGAAAACAAGACAATCATGGAGAAGATGGCCATTCCCCCTTTCGCATACGAGCAAATCACGAAATCCTGGGACCGCCAGCCACCCTGGGGCAGCGTTTACGGGCGATTTGACGTTTGCTTTGGCGGGCTCCAACACCCTGATACTCGATTGCGCTGTCCGAAGTTTTACGAGTTCAACGCAGATACGCCAACAAGCCTTCTCGAAAGTGCCTATATCCAATGGCTGTGGCTTGAGCAGACGGGCCATGGGAACGACCAGTTCAACAGCATCAGCGAAAACCTGATTGAAGCCTGGAAGCGTAACTTGACGCTTATTGACGAAAAGCTCGGCTACAAGCCTACCGTGTACTTTGCAACCTGCGAGTCTGAGTCCACTGGTGAGGACGCCATGAATGCCATGGTCCTCATGGAGACCTGTCAGCTTGCAGGGTGGAAAACTAAAGCCATAAGCGTGGGAGAAATCGGCATTTCCTTAGCGGACGGCCGCTTTCACGACCTCGAAGGCAACCATCTCGACGTCGTCTTCAAGCTCTACCCGTGGGAGTTTATGGTGGAAGAAGCCGGCGGACAAGTGTGTTTCACTGACATGGGCAGCAGTGATGGTACCATCTGGATCGAGCCGCCATACAAGATGCTCTGGAGCAACAAGGCGCTCTTTGCCGTTCTCTGGTCTCTCTTCAAAGATGACGAGCGGTCAAAGTGGCTTCTCCCGACATATTTCGAGGATGATAGCGTCCCGGCGTCTCTTACGAAATATGCGCGGAAGCCGATCTTTTCCCGAGAAGGCGGCGGCATCACCCTGAAGGCGGACGGCGAAGTGATACAGACTGAACCCGACAAAGCCTACGGCAAAGAAGGATATATAGTTCAGGAACTGGCGTTGCCTCCTGAATTCAAGGACGCAGAGAACAAACCCCACTATCCCGTGCTCGGAATCTGGATGATAGATGGAGAGCCTGCAGGCATGGGTATCCGGGAGGCCGTGACGCCAATCACTACGAATGTTTCGGCGTTCATTCCGCATTCTATTGAGGATGGACCTGTCAATTACGAGCGTCAAGCCGTTTCTACAGAAGAGGAGATTAGTCGGGCTTTGGACATTGCCCGATTTTCCGACCCCAAACAAGTGGGCGCAGAACAAACCGAAATGCTGAAGTATATAGAAAGACTCTGTATATAAATTCATATGCTTCAGAGTTAACCTGGAAAGTGTCTCGGAGGGGCCCATTGGACCGCCTATAGGGTTAGCCGACGTCGTTGGCGAAGGGCCCGAAACTGGCAAAGTATATGTAGGCACACATGTGCAGGGATCATCGGGCTCACTGTATCAACCACCGAGTTGAAAATAGCTTGCGATCCCCTTAGAATTATCAATTTTGCCCACTGGGCGGCGGCATACTTTCGCGACGGTAGGTTTCAACAGGCGGCGGAACGGAACTGCTGACAGGTCTCGCAGGGACAATTACGAATGGCCAAATCGGCATTTCTCCGTAACTGACAACGATAGTGGTTCCTTTTCAACGTTGAGTAGCCTTGTTAACTGTAATTATTTATCACAAGAGGCTCATGTATATATAGCAATTGCCGTCAGCCACACCACATGCCATGTCACATGAACAAGCTCAAGGGCCCCCTTTATATAGGCCCTCTACCTAGGAGATTCTTCTTCTTATAATACAAGCCTTTTTTACTTATTTATATCTCCCTATCTGCTGTGTGCTCTAGCTTGTAAGATTATTAGTTTTTAGTACGGAATAAGGATGGTTCGGATGGCCAGGATTAAGGTTAAGGTTCGTCGGTTAGAGTTCGCGTGACAGAATGTGGTATTTGCGGTTGGTGAAGGTAGGTTGGCGGGTCTCGATGTGACTGTCATTGCTATACCTATTCGGTTAGACACCAGCATAATACCAAGATCACACCCACAAAATAACCGCATACTTGACTACTACGTAATTATAGGGGTCATTATCCTTGGCTACTCCTATGTCTCATCACACCCATGTAACACTTCTGATACACGTCAATCTAGCCCCTATTCAGCCTATTAAATATCAGTCTATTCCTCGTTTCTAGAATCCTCTGGTTGATAACTTATTACTCCTTTCCCTTGATTCTTTGTGATGACCATTCTACCTACTTGGCCATAACAAAACCAAATGCGCCACTCTCTCGTGTTTTTATTGGTCCCGGCTATTGTTTCTGCGCAAACAATCAATAAGCCTGGACCCCTCAAGCCTCAGCTTGGTGGGCGATGCTGTAGCATCAATGGCGTGGCAGACCCTACGGAAACCTGTACTAAGCAAGGCTTAAACTCGTTTTGTGTAAGTTTCTTACTGTTCTACTTGGGAAAAAGAAGACTAATAACAACGATCATCTTTGTAGTGTACTGGTATTCTGAGCTTTACTGGGAATGGGTGCGACAACGTGTCAGGAACGGTTGGACGCAATGTTCAGGATTTTCCACCTGCTAGTGATGCTTGTGGCGATTTCCAATTCATTGGATGCGCGTAAAGTATGCCACGCTTTACTGGTTGTTGGGGCATCGTGGCTGAACCAATTACACAGTGAAGAAATTGCACGCGAATAGAAGTATCGTCATCCAAGGAGGCTGGCAAGGTTAGGCGCGCAAAGGTCTTTTTACGGCTGCAATTTGCCGCCTGGCAGTTGCCAAGCTAGTAGGGAGCCATCTCTTGTAGATTGTCCTGCCCTCATGTAGTCTTAGTTGTGAGACCCTTGACTGCTATTTTTGAGGTCTTGTGCTCCTGATACCAGAAGGCAAAGCTCCCTTCCAACCTCACAATCACGCACGTGTTCTGATGTGGCGCGTTTATACCCACTTCTGTTTGTAGATGCTGTTATCGGATAGCTAATCATGGCACAGAAGATGAGCATAGATTTGCACAGTAATTATGCAGCAGCAAGAGAGTCGCAGATCATTTGTACCTGTATGTCATGGACGATGAAACTGCCAACGGATCCGTCCAAAAAGGAGTCCTTTGACACCGCGATACATACTGCGCTTAACAGAAAGGCTCTTTTGGTTTTCTGCGCTGCCTGCCATCAGGGCAAGTCGCCCGACCTGACGCATCCGCACGCCAGCAACCGCAATAGCTTCAGAATCGGAGTGCGCTAATAGGCAGGGGTAAGGGATACTGCCAGGGTAGTAGTGTATTACGTAAATATCATGTAACCTACCTCCTTAGACCATATCTCCTATATACTCACACTACAACTCACAGGGCTTTAATTCTCTCTTTGGTTGATTCAATTGTTGTTCCCTTCGATCCAGACCACGTTGGATTAGGGCATGCTAGTCAAGAGTTATCAGAGACGCTTGGGGGCAATCGGAAAAGGCTACAGATGCTATAGTCCTGCTTGTCCCGCGCATGCTAGAGCCGATTCCACGGTGCAGTATGACGGCAATGATACTACAATTTAGAACCCTGATCAGGCGGTGCCCGAGCTCAAGTCAGTGCGAACTCGGAGGCATATTACATCCAATCTAACGAACACAGGAGGACGCATGTCGGACATGAAAGGTACCATCAATGTCGAAGCGAGAATGAGGGACTTTCACGGCATCTATCATTGCCCGCGTGATTATGAACGGACTCATAGCACAGTAAAAATTGAGAAAACGCTGAGCACTGCGTTACGGTCGCGAGAGATGCCAGAAGCATATTTTGCCGATGATCTGAAGCCTGAAAGAGTAAAGCCAAATAGTTATGGGATGACATAATCTTGCAGTTGAAGCCTGGTTGGTTCCTCCAATTCTCCAGTCATGAGTTAAAGCTCACAGCAGGGCATATAAAAATAGGAGTGAGAGATGCTTAACTCTATGAAAGAGATGTGAAAAGAGGGCTCTGATATATAGGCAGGCAATGCAAGTAATGAATGAAAAACTGCCTGATGAAGAGCACATGACGAAGTGTGATGATTAAAATGGACCTATAGTTGCTACCGCTACAACTAGACTTATATATTATCATCACAAAAGGAGGCTAATACGAAGTGCCAGTTGTGCATGAAGCTATAGTGTCACACCCATCCTCGTTTCTCCTTCTGGAATCGGCGTAACTCTGCACCTACCTCTGTGCGATTCAGAAAAAGCGCGAGTTCCATGGGAGTCTTCGGCTCCTCCAACTTGACCAATCTTCCGACATATCCCCCACCGGCATCGTCGGTCGTAAGCCAAAGATACCCATTACACCGGCTTTCGGTTTCACAGTCTGCCTCAAGAAGTTGCGAGACGACCTCCAAGTATCCGTTCGCGACTGCGAGGTGCAACGGTTGGAACAAGGCCCAGTCGCCTGATGTCCAGCGGTTCACGTCTGCTGACCCTGAATCATGTTCCTTTACCAGCACCATCACGCAACCCGTAGACCCGTACAGACAAGCGAAGTGCAGAGGTGTCAACCCGAGTGCGTGGGTAACGTTATCCGCCGCTGCACCCAATTCGAGCAAGGCTTTTACCGCGTTTGCTTTATCAGCCATGACAGCGGCGTGTAGGGGGCTGCGGCCGTAGTCGTCGCCGACGTCCAGCATGGCACCTAGGCTGACTAGCTTGGAGATGACTTCCACGTGACCCCCGCACGCAGCATGAAACAAGACCGACCGTCCGGCATCGTCTCGGACATTGATATGGCGGCTCGTGTCGGTCAGACTTACCAGGGCTTCGAGTGCCTGTACACTCCCTGTTGCAGCTGCTCGGTGGATAGGAAGCTCGCCTATACAGTTGATGTGCGGAAAAGACCGGGATCCGAAGGAGTCATCTTTGATGTGCTCGATGAGCCTTCGGAATCTCTGACTAGCCCAGCCCCAAGGGACGTAGGCGGATAATAGGTGCAGTATAGTGTCCAGGTTCGTGGTGGTGAACTTGTGAAAAATATCTGCGTTCTCTGAGGGTTCAGACCACGTTGGATCCGGCTCCCATGGCAATCCGACCAAGCTCGAAGCTTTCTGTATTTTATTCAGATACACTTCCCTTTCTTCTTCCAGAATATAGGCAGCGAGATTAAAGTGTCCGTTGAGAACTGCGAGGTGGACTGCCATGAAGCCGCTTGCGGTTCGATTGGAAGTGTCGACGCCAAGCCCCATTAGTGTTTTCACCATGGACTGTGAACCGAACGTCGCAGCCCAGTGAACGGCACGGAACTTGTCGAATTCTTCTGTTTCCATCTCAAGGATTTTCTTGTTTCCCTTTGCCAGATTTCGAACGGTCCGGTCATCTCTCGCTCGGATGGCGTTTAGCAACGCGGCGTAGGGCCGGTTGCGCTCGATTTTCACGGTGTGGATCTCGGTGCCAAAACGGGTCGCAATGTTTCCAGAGAATCGGGTTCTGACTCCGTCTCGGATCTTTCCAACCGGGGAGATGATGTCCGAGAAAGTCTCCTCGTAACAACACTGCCGCGTGGCTGCCGCGATTTCGTCGAATGGTTGGACGAGATTCTTCGCCAGCTGTGAGAAGTTCGTTTCCACGGACAAATTCCCGCCGACATCGATGTTGAGTTCCGACCTTGAAGAAACCTCTAGGAGAACGAAGCGACGGCCTCTGCGCTGGTACTCTGTTGTATCGACGGTGATGTACCCAAGTTCCTTGGACGCATGGTATAAAGCCGCTTGGGATCCAGCGGAAATGTGGGGGGTTTTCGAATATACAGACTCAAGGCTGTCTCCAGCATGTGGGTGCTTTTCATGACACACCTCCCACCGTCCCTTCACCCGACGAAGCCCGATCGCCATGTTAAACACCGAAGCGTATCCAGGCTCATTCGACTCAAACCGCAACACAGCAACTGTGTGGCCCGACTGCGGCTCTTTCGTCCGTATTACTGATAAAGTGGCATCCCATCTTTCAGGAGGGTGCGCACCATTGATGAAGAATGGGACACGCCCGTCATCCTTCATCCCCGCCGTTGTTGGGTATTTGCTCCTGACTCTGATCTCTGGAAGTGCGTAAAACGGCTTCTGCCTGACATAGATGCTTTCGTAGGACCCCCCGGCTTCATCAGACTGCTCATGAGAAAGCAAAATGACCGAGCCTTCTTTTGAGTTGACCCGGGCGAACTGATCACTCCAAAGCCGCCGTAGGATTATACGAGGACTAAAGTCCGTGCCATAGGATGCAGAATCTAAAACGAGACAGTCAAGTACAGCATAGTACTCATCGCTTTCGGGCTGTACTGGAATCAAAAGCATGTTCGTCCTCAGACCTTGATTGGTGATGCTTGCGGGCGAGCTCTCATGAGATTCCGAAGGAGGAAGCGGCCTTACATGGCCAAATTCCACTCGAGAGAATGACTTTGGCGATTTGGCGAGGAGACCGAAGAGGTCGTCCGAATTAGTGGTTTCATCCGGGGAGAACCCCCAAAGGAATAAGGACTGGTCGTCTGTCTCCTTGAGAATTTCCTCCTGTAGACGAATGAAAGAACGCCCCCCTTCTCCATAGAGCAGAGGCATGTTGACGTTGAACAGACCTATCATGCAGTACGCAATATCTTCTGGTCTCGTCGTCTGCCTTCGTGCGGCCCAGCGCATCTTGTTGGCAACGCTAACGTCAGCCAACGAGGTTGTGCCCACGAGGACCTGTAGATGGATCCCTGTAATCTTGGCAATAAGCTCGCAAAATGCGCTTTCGGAACGTTTTCTGCCTATGGAAGACCAGTTGCAAGCGTAGAACTCGACAGTCTTGGGCGCGATGAGCTCCTGCAAGGTCCATCCTCTCGTAAACCAACGGCTGCGCCGGAAGCTCGAATTCTCCAAAAACGGGTCTTCCGCATCTACTGCGTCGGATAGATAGGCATAGCACACAGCCGCCTTTTGATACCAGCGGTACATGGAGTTGATGGATTCCGAGAGCTCGGCACTGCTTGTCTTGTCGATGCAGCAGGTGTCGGCCCACATATAGCCGTATCCGTGGCTTCTGGCCAGGCCGGCCGCGTCCCGTATTTTTCTCAACCCGCCTTTGGTCCCATCCGCGCTCTCGGTCTCAGCCAAGCTTCTGACTCCATCCTCGCTCGTGGTCCCAACTGAGGCCGTGCTCATAGTTTTGAAGCTCTGGAAGCTTATCTCATCGCTGCCCCACGTATGTGACAATATGGCATAGCTGTGCCGTTGAGGGTCGCCTTGCACCTCGACGAGCTCGAGGGTCCAAGTGTCGATAAGCCACATGATGAGTAAGTGTTGCAAAGGATTGAAGCAAAACGTTATGCAATATTGAGATTACAATCCACATCAGCTTGGCGACCCGATCCAATCAGGTCACCTCACAGAGTAACAGGATAAAGGGACTTAATTGGTCGCAACTTGAGCGCTTATCTCACATCAGCAGGTGGCAAACATTGCTTATCCGTCGCAACTCTGCATATTTCTTCCTCCCGGAAGATATTCATGGCACTAAAAGACTCGGTGATTTGAATAGCGTAAGCTTTGAAGCCTTTCGGCTGTTCTTTTGCTTGATCAAATTCCATGTTTGCTAGCGACTCCTCAATGGCACTATTTGAAGCTGCGTAGAATCTACCTAGCTGTGTAAGGTGAGCAGACAAAAGACTAGGTGTGGAGATATTCACTAGAGCCCAGAGGGTGACAAGAAGCATCTGTTCCTTCGAAGAGCGATCTATGAGACTAAACATCACGTTTCCTCGAGTCTAGTACCGCCTAGTTGACCAACGGACAAAACAAGAGTGATGGGAAGATAACAAGCATCCAAGTTGAGACGCCAGCCTCTAATCATAACTCCATTCTCTCCAGAACCCTCGCATCCGATTCTTTACATGGGAACTTTCGTTCAAGCGAGCGAATCAACTCCTCGTGATGCTGGGATCTGGGCTTGATTGACGTTTCAAAGTGAGCCGGGTGACTGATGACTCCGGGTTTGGGCTCGACCTTCGGCACGATAACTTTGCCATCGATGACTTTCTTGGCAACGTCGAACACAGCAATCGACTGAGTAATGCTGAGGAACAACGTCCTTTCAGCAAGGGTTTTTCCTGGGCAGATTCGTCGACCGAACCCGAACGACAGCTTGCGCGGGTCATACTCCGGTTCGCGATCCTGGCCTTCCAGGAACCTTTCGGGCGAGAACTACATGGGATTCTTGTAGACGGCAGGATCGTGAGTAAACCACCTAGACACGTGTGTACCATTAGTTCCGATGGCCTTCTGAGAAACACCGTCCGGGTAACGCAAAATCTAGGGGATTTCTTACCAGATGTTAGGCATCAGGATTGACTTTTTGGGGATGCGGTAACCCCGATAAGCCACTTCTTCTGTGTTCTCGTGGGGAAGACCCATGGGACCAATTGGCCACCATCGGATAATCTCTTTCACAAGAGCATCAATATATGGTAAACTATTGCGGTCATCCATAGTAGGCAACCTCTCGCTGCCCACTACTCGGTCGATCTCCTCTTGTGCTCTTTTCTGGACATCCGGATAGAGTGTCATAGCCAGATAGAAGCCGGAGATGGCTGCGACAGTCTATAAAATGTTAACTTTCACCGCCATAGCGCGCTGCTCGTCAGCAAAACATATATATGTTTTGGACTCTCAGTATCCGATCCACCTTGATACATGGAGGCGGCAACCCATTTGTTAGTATGCTTATCCTCGCTTGTATCTTTTCCATGGTTCATCAGACGCGAGAGAAAGGACTCGTTGTTGTTGCCCTGCGCAATTTGGTGCTCGACAAAGGCATAGGGCCTCTCAACTGATTCGTTAAGGTCTTTGGTGTATGTCTCTACCTCTTTCTTCCAACCTGTTCCCGGAAACCACGATGGCACACATCGTACTGTCAGACGTCAGAAAACGAATCATCGTTCTCTCAAGCTGTAATTTGGAGAGAAAAGAAAGAAAAAGCATAGAAACAACGTACGAATGGGGAAAATGTCAATCAGATGGGCTCCAGGCATAGCTGACCGGGCAAACTGGTCCATCACTCTATTTATCACAGAGAGAAGAGGATCCTCCTTGAAATTTTCGGCGCTGTAGCCGTAGACAATATGGAGGATAACGGAACCAACCTCCCTGATGAAACTTGCGTATTAGCCTTGCAGTAATCAACGGGCCCCCTCGATGAAAATTTCATTGACTGACTTTGTTATGTGGCTCTCCAAGTTCTCCGGGTCATCCAACAAGTGGAGGAGAAAGTGGGCTACTTCGGACTCTTGCAGCTTGTCGAATTGGCTTACTGATGCATCCGTACCGATGATTCGGGAAAACTGTTATCACAGGAAGCTCGTGTATGCGTGGCGGTTGTCGTCAGCCACACCACGTGCCATGTCACATGAACGAGCTCGAGGGCCCCCTTTATATGGGCCCTCCACCCGGGAGATTCATCTTCCCACAATACAAGCCTTTCTTCACTCATTTCGTATCTCCCTACCTGCTGTGTGCTCTAGCTCGTGAGAACTGTTTGCGATGGGCGCGCAGTGTCTCGTTGTATTGCAGCGCCCCGGTGGATTGCACGTATCCGACGCTGGCCGGTGTTAGAAGAACCGTTACGTAGAGCTATGTTGCAGAGATGGAGGATGCAGATGATTTTGTCATTCTATAGGTTACCCCCCCCGCACGTACACTGTTGTAAATTCCAGTAACGGTCGATCGGAAAACTTCAGAGACTGCTTTTCAAAGAGGTCGAACGCAATCTGAGCGTCGTTGATGATGATGATTGTGTCGCCTAGTATGCTGAGGGAGCTGATGGGACCTGTCATAAGAAGTATCACTCAGTTAAAACCTAGGGTATTCGAAGCTGCGGCATCTCTGCTAGTTGAGCAGTCTTTGCTATTCATACCGTACAAGTCTTTGTGTTTGGCCCAATGGTAAGGCGCGAATGTGTTTTGAGGAGGTATATCCCGTAGATTTCCCACAAGAGGGAGACCTTTTGGGCCGGGTGGCAAGGGAAGGCGTCTAGCATTCTGCCTTGCTTGGGATAGCTTGCCGATGGCAAAAATGACCACCAGACTGGTGCCGTAGTGTCCATCTCCATTCTAGTGATTCATGTCAGCAGCCACGTCATACCCCCCGGGCTACCACACACTGGCAACAGTCTCATTGAGAACATGCTCTTGACATTCAAAATCCAGCGCCATCGGAAGCGCCGGGATTTCTGATGGGGGTTTCTAATGTTCGCAATCCTTGTCATGGAGAATGCGGTAGGCATGAAATCCCAAGTCTTGCCCATAACTTTCCCAGGCTTTACCTAAAATGCTCTCTTGGCGTGATAACACATGGGTATTGTTGCCACACAGCATAAGCCAGAAGAAATGAAAATTCCGGAACTAGGCCACTAACAAGGGAGTGAGAGTGGCGAGCCTCCGATGTTTGCACCAAAAGAGTTGACTCTAGATGAAGAGAAATTATAACACATATACAATTGTATTACTTGAATGCATATTAACACACTATTGCTAGTTATCTGTATGATTGGTCTCCTAAATGACTATTCTAGCACTTCCCCGTGCAAAAGAAAAGCTCTTTAAATATGTCCCCTTACTAGCGCTTCTGGGTGCCCAATTCCCAGCCAACAAAACGCGCTTTATTCAATCCCAAACCTCCCTTAAGCCTCGAACCTATTTGCTGACTTTAATGACAACTCTCTTGGTGGGAGTAGGCAGGTCAGTTCCAATGTCCTCTTCGCCATCTCCAAGCTTTTCGGCTGGAAGCTGCTCAGAGACCACAGCGCCTCCAGTGTCCTCAACAACCTTCTTAATGTCTGCAGCACTGTCTTTCTCTGCGACAGGCAGCTGGGTGATTGCGTTAGTGAGAGACTGAACCCCAAAGGACAGAGAATGAGCTTCAGCCAAAAGGTAGGTCAGAGCAGGGTTCTTGTCAATGTTTGAGTCTTCAACACCGCTAGTAGACTCCATGAAAGTAAGGACCATTTTGTTGACAGTAACTGTGCGGCGCATCAGGACTGAGTAATCTGCTTCAGCAACAAGAATGTGGCCCTCAGAGACCTGGCTGATTTTGCGATTGTCTAGACCACATTTGTTTTTCTTCTCATCTTTGTCTTTGTAGACCGTGCTGGTGAAGATACTGGGCGCCGAATCTCTGGGTTTCTTGATCTGAGACTTGAGCTTCGCAATCTCAGCCTTGAGTCGTCGAGAACTGCTACTGTGGACAGCCATAGACTGGGGCTCAAGGTCGGAGTCAGAGTCATCCATCTTGTGCATCGCGTCGTCTTTGATCTTGCTAGGCTTCTTCGGAGTCTCGGGAAAGGTGCGGAATTGGGGCTTAAAAGACTCTTGTGGAATTGCTCCTGGCTTCTTCTTGGGAGTGCTTGGATTGGTAGCAATAGGCTTGGTATCATTCTCGGTCGGCTTGATAACAGTTGTCTTCTGGCGCTTTGCTGGAGGTGAGATTGTGGTTTTGAGTGAGATCTTCCTCTTAATCGTCTTTTCAGGCTTCTCAGTTGCTTCTGAATTCTTCTTGACATCTGTGGAACCAGAAGCTTCACACTTTACACCTGGTTCGGTCACAGGACTAGCCTTCTTGTGGGCACGAGTCTTGGGCGCTAGGGAAGAGTCGGAGGAGGACTTGGCAACTTTGCGATGACGAGCCATGGTGAATTTCAGCGCGCAATGTTGCGTTCAAAGCTTCCAGAAGGGGTTGAGCGGAAAATGGTGTATGCGAATATTGAACGGCGACATACATAGAAGAGTCCTGTTTATCATTGTCTGAGGTTAGTTATTGAATGGAGAAAGGGAAGAAGTGGCATCTCAAGATGAAATACCTTGCGTGAATCACAGTCGATCTTTGGACTCGGGCTGTTGTTTGTGCGAAGCTTCGTTGTGCAGGATCAAGGTCTTTGGGCAGTTGTTGTTGAGAAGTTTTGCTGTGCAAATTGGGTTGAGGCGGGGTGAGGTCATGTGAGATAGAATTTACTTGGAGGTGATAAGGAAAGAACGAGACGTAGTGAAGCTTGTCATAAGTGCAGGGGGAGATTCAGCAGGTGTGGAATACCGGTAGTTCTTATCGCGGTGTTCAAATTCAAGCCTGCCTGTATCCAAAATATGGAAGGTCCAGCTTGTTTGTTCGATAGCCATTGCTGGGCCACACTGAATTAATGACAATGTTCTTTGTAACTTTTGTGGATGGAACAAATGCCCAGCAAGGCCAAGATCGGAATGAATTGAACACGATTTCTTGTTCTTCAGGGTAGTTCCCAAAGCGTTAATAAGTCGACAGATCAACTGAGATAATGTATTCACTTTCAGAGAATGCACATTAAATGCTCTCAGATGATGGATTATAACACGTTCACTCAACCCAGACTAGGAAGCTTTGGAGGAAGAACGTTGTGCTAACCCTATAATATGGGGCACTAAAAACAATACTTCAATTGGGCTCGTTTCACATCAAAGGTTTCAGCAACTCGACAGGATTTCATCAAGTAGAGCTACGGTGCTGACGGTTCAGTGTACGAGCAAAGGTTACAAAATTCTCAACGTTATCCCTGGGGCTGGAATATCCAAGTACAACAAAGACTCTGATGGGTTTGTTTGATGGGACTATCCTTGTTGTCTTGCTGCATCTTGACCTCTGACATTTTCTCAGTGGCCCCGGAGTGGGATGCACGTGACATTGAGAGGGACCCCCCCCCGTCTGGGGAGGTGGATCCAGTCCGCCTAGTTAGAACGCCACCCCGGAACGCGGCCGGTGTCGGAGGTACACCAAGTTTTCCCCGCCAAAGGAGGGGCACCGTACAGCCCACCAAAGATTTTTTGCACCTACGATACCATCTGTGACCTGATTGCAAAGCTTCTTGGCCAACTGTTTCTCCTCTCAACCGTACGTCTCAATTCGGAAAGGTCGCTATATTTCACAAATACCAATTGCAATGGCGTCTCAAAAGTAAGACAATACACCTTTCGTCTGCCGTTCGTCATTCCTTGTACTGACTTGCCTGTCTGTCAGGGTATTGATGCTCGGTGCGGGGTTCGTCACTCGCCCGACTCTCGACATCCTCTCGGACTCTGGCGTCTCCGTCTCTGTTGGTTCGTTTTGACGACATTATCACCCCCAAGTCCACCTACTGAGCTTTCCACAGCCTGCAGAACGCTCGAGTCCGCCAAGGCACTCTCTGCCGGTGTCAAGAATGCCAACCCCATCTCGCTCGATGTCACTGACGACAAGGCCCTGGACGACGAAGTCGCAAAGCACGACCTGGTCATCAGCCTGATTCCCTACACGTTCCATGCCAGCGTTATCAAGTCTGCCATCCGTCAGAAGAAGCATGTGGTCACAACCAGCTACGTTTCCCCCGCTATGCTCGAGCTCGACCAGGCTGCCAAGGATGCCGGCATTACCGTCATGAACGAGATCGGTCTCGGTGAGTTTCCTCGGGCAAGGGCCAGCTGTTACCCATATGGCCGCAGGAGCTAACCAATTTCTTTTTGCTCGCAGACCCCGGCATCGACCACTTGTGTAAGAACCGACCCGAGAGCCGCTTAATTGACCAACTCACCAACTGACTTATCAGACGCCGTCAAAACCATTGAAGAGGTCCACAAGGAGGGCGGAAAGATCAACTCGTTCCTGTCCTACTGCGGAGGTCTCCCGGCACCGGAGAGCTCTGGAAACCCTCTGGGATACAAGTTCTCATGGTTAGATTTGCTTCCGTCTTTCACCTTCTTCGTTGCGCAGACCTCCGGTCCCACCACGCCTAGAAGCCTTGGAGGCTGTGCTTCGACGCCTGGAGTCGTCGTGCTAACAGAGCATCTAGGTCTCCCCGCGGCGTCCTCCTCGCGCTGAGAAATGCCGCCAGCTTCTACCAGGACGGCAAGATCGTCAACGTCGCAGGACCCGGTAAGTAGCCGTATTAGCCACGGATTACGCCAGTGTTTGAAGCTGACTCCATCCAAGATCTCATGGCCACTGCCAAGCCGTACCACATCTACCCAGGTGCGTAGACCAGTGTCCAAGTTTTCAAAACCGACCTCCATGCATCTCCTTCGACACTGACATAACGTGTGACTAAGGATTCGCCACCGTCGCGTACCCCAACAGAGACTCGACAGGATACAAGGAGCGCTACAACATCCCCGAAGCGCAAACCATCATCAGGTACATATAGAGGCTCAGTCGCTCCTTACAAGCACAAAACCACTGACGCGTGTATGTGTATAGAGGTACTCTGCGGTACGCCGGTTTCCCCGAGTTCGTCAAGGTCCTCGTCGACATCGGATTCCTCAAGGACGAGGAGCAGAACTACTGCAAGGAGGCGATTGCTTGGAAGGAGGTCACGCGCAACGTTCTGGGTGCTTCGTCTTCGGAAGAGGCAGAGCTCATCAAGGCTGTCTTGGCCAAGACCAGCTTCAAGGATGACGAGCAGCGTGACCACATCTTGGGCGGCCTCAAGTGGCTTGGAATCTTTTCATCCGAGAACGTAAGTCTACACATATACGCCCTTTGAGCCCGATAGGTTGGCCATGGTTCGTCGCGTGCGGGCCTGCGCCGACGTGACGTCAATCAGCGAGGTAGGCTAACACAGAAGGGCTGAAGACCACCCCCCGAGGAAACCCGCTGGACACCCTTTGCGCCACCCTTGAGAAGAAGATGCAATTTGCCGAGGGAGAGCGTGATATCGTTATGTGAGTGAAGCATTCCCGCACTTGTGCATGCCGAAGGTCCAAGCCACTGGATCCGTGCGTAGCGTCACTCGAGGCATATTCCCCCGTTTTACATGATGCTAATCCAAGCAAAGCCTGCAACACAAGTTCGAGGTTGAGTTGAAGGACGGCACCAAGCAAACCAGGCTCTCGACCCTTGTCGAGTACGGCAGCACCGACCCCAACGGCTACTCAGCCATGGCCAAACTTGGTGAGTACCACACGCCCACGAATGACGAACCTCTCCAACTAACCGAGCCTAGTGGGCATTCCCTGCGCGGTTGCCGTCAAGCAGGTTTTGAACGGAACTCTTTCCGAGAGGGGCGTCCTCGCTCCCATGAGCAGCAAGATCAACGATCCTCTCATCAAGGACCTCAAGGTAAATATGATCACCTTAATACCTGTTCATCGAGCTAATCTGCCGTACCTGCGCTCAGGAATACGGTATCTACTGCAAGGAGGAGATTGTTGGCCAGTAATGTTTCGCGGCGACGTCGTCAACGAACGGCTCCCTGGCAACAAGACACATTGCTTCCAACGCAATGATAGATTTAAAATAAAAGTAAAGATTGCATTTCACCATCCTAGTACCGATATGTTTCAGTGAACTCAGTGCTCGTCTCTTTCTTGTTACAGCAAGGCATCCTGCGGTGCGCGGCACAGCCCACCAGAATGCCTGTGAATGGATATGATCACCCTGGTTGGTTCTCAGTAGTACCTAGCCAGTCTTGAGCACGGCCGAGCTTCAATCATCTCCCCTCTCGATTCTTAACCAATCCTGCCCAGAAGCTGAAGAAGGCAAGCTCGACAAAGTCCCAGACAGGAGGAATCGGGTTTTCTCCACGTTGACGTGGCTACTTCTTCCACTCATCCTCATCCACCGTCAAGAAGGACCAAGAACAGAGCAAATGTCACGGCCTACTTTAAAGATCCAAATAGCTTTAATCTAGGAGGGTGTATGAAAGCAGGTAATATAGCTAGGTGCGCTAGTGTAAAAGTAGGGGAAAATAGTAGAGGTACGCTAGTTATTGTTAGGATAGATTTCCCTACCTAAATAACGGAAAATCAATGTTTTGCGCATCTGCCCCTAAGGAGGGCTAATTAGTAATAGTAACGCCTGAAGATAGGAACAACAATACAATTAATTCAGGATTATTGCTGCTGTATACGTACTTCAACAGTAGAGGCCTAGGCCTATCGCATGGATCTTCCTCTGCGGGACGATAGCCGGAGGGGATCCGTCGTTGGACGGCACTGCCCAAGTCGAAGATGCAAATGCTCACTGTTTGGCTGAAGCAGCACTTTACAATCGGCCAAGCATTGCGGAAGAATACTGGGCTCTGTTAGAGGCCACGGAGAGGAGTCATAACCTCGCCTACGCGGATAAGGCCCTCGCGTTCGCCCGCACCCTTTTACACACATGTGACAGGAATGATGAAGGACCCCGTATCAATTGCTAGGAGCTTCAGCGACTTTTGTAACGAGCACTGTCCCAAAATACAGAATGATCTTGAAAGGCACGAGTGGCTCAGGCAGTGGGCTTCGGCCGAGACTCACTTTATACCGTTCGTACAACGTACGGCGAGCAGCATACAAGGCGACAGGTTCTTCACCACGAGGAAGGGGTATTGGTATGTGCGAACATTTCTCGAATGGTGTTAGACTCTGAAACTTTGGCTTCTATTCTCTTGCTAAACAATTCTAGTGGAACAAGTACCCCCTTGGTCAAGCCCGGCGATTTGATATGTATCATTCCATCTGTCCAGACGCCCTTGGTGATAAGGCCCGTTGAAGGACGAGACGGGGCATTTCATGTTATTGGCTCATCATATGTAAATGGAATGATGTACGGTGAGGTTTTCAAGACATCAGAGCCGGATCATAATTCACCAGAAGTGGTAATTGCTCGGTTTGTGTGACAAACCGCAGACACCAAAGACAGGCATTGTTGAGTTGACCAAGAACTTAAGTATTAAGATTTGCAGCACATAATGGCGCTGAGTTATGAGTGCACTACTGATTTGTGTATGCTTTTGCTACGATCCGTTTGTTACTGTCATGGACAAATTCTCCCCGAAGACTTACTTTCCCGGCTTTGTTGCTCTCCGGCATTTTCAAGCCTCTGTTTGATTCATTTGACCACACCCTAAATTACTGGGTTGAATAAAGTTTCGATTGTGAAGCCAAGAAATTTCCCGCTTGGAAGCCGCAATCCTCCACCCTCCACCTAAAATAGCGTTCAGTATCTTCTCTGATGGTACACCACCCTCAACAGATGTCGCAAAACGAGGTCGTCCGCCAATGGCAATATGAGTGTCTGACGTCTCCTCCCATAGCGCATCTATTTGGTATCAACCCGCGTCTTGGTAGCGTCGACTTTGCAGCTGTTCTGCTGCTCTTTGTCGGCCTTGCCAGCCTTCAGAACAGTCACACGCTTGCGGACCTCGGATGCTTTCAGTGTAAGATTACGGGATCTACATAGATGTTGTTTGAAAACTCAGCACAGTGAAAAATTTTGACAGATGCGGACTTGGGCAACTTACTCTCCTGAGGGAATAGATCCCCGTGCCGGTCGTGCGGCAGCCGAGGACAAAGCATGGCCAGACTTTTGCGCCCAGCTTTCCACATCGCCTCTCCGGCTTCGGCTCCAGATTAACAATACCGCCATCAGTGGCCGCTGCAGATCGAGGTGGGCGAGACGTGGAAAGCGGAGTTCTCTTGGGTCGGTCCAGGCCTGGGGCTATAGGCTTGGCCATGGCAAAAGTCACGTCGGGAGTCTGCAACTGCACGTCCACAACGGAAGATTCGGGATCCGAAGTGTGGGTGGCAACGTATTGCTCTGGCGCCATTGTACCTGTGCTGCCGTTGCTGAATTCGAGAATTACCACGAGTATCGAAGGCAAATTAAGTAAATGGTAGTTTCAACCTGGTATTTTGCTAATTGGCCTGGCTTGTCGGCCTAGAGACATTGCAGATATGCTCGCTAGTAACACTGTTAGACGAAGAAACAGTCCACTACACGAGGGCAGCATTCACTGATTTGGATAACCCGGCTATTATTGCTTAGTCAATTCAATTGCCTGAATATAACAGAAACGTATGTCTTGGCCCTACAGTGTCTCAATGAGCGAATTCTGGGTAACAAGGTTGTATTTGTAGTCGAGTCTTCTAATGTATAATTAAGGCGAAGTGTGGATGATGTGGCCTAAAGTCACTGGACTAGCCTACTTTCAGCACTCAAGTCGAGTCAGAATATTGATAAACGCAAAAAGAACTCCAAGAAATCATCCTCCATGCAAAGTCATTGATGGTATGCGGATGCAGGGGGTTACTGAATGGAGCACAGGCAATAGCTATCGTCTCGCTGGCCTCCTATGGGTGATGTGTTAGACGACTTTGAGACAACAAGATTGTACGTATCAGCTTACCATTCAGGGCCATCGTCATCTGAATTCATACTATGTTCTCTTTGCCTCTCGTGGCACCTGCCCCTTCAAGGTCTCTGGCCGTTGTGGTTGAGCTTGTAGTGCTGCGCCTCTGTCAGACATTACTCACGCTGACACCACGTGCTTTGGCCGGAATACTCACGCGGTTACGCGAGCTCTTGTGATGAAAGACTCTGGAGCAAGCGGAGAATTCGCAAGGAAACTGGTTGGCGTTGCCTTGGCTCGCAGGGTTGGCCACAGGCTCGTCGGGAACGGTGTCCGAGTCGGAGGCAGGAGCCTTGACCTTGGGGGCGGCCCGCTTGACCGCAGATACCAGAGGCTTCTGAGCGGAGCGCTTGTTAGCGGGAGCAGAGGCCTCGGCGACAGCTGGCGCGGGAGCAGAAGCCTTTGGAGCAGATGTCTTCGCTGTGGTCTTCGCAGCGGCCTTGTTGGCGGTCTTGACAGGGGTAGCGACCGGCGCAGCCTGAGCGAGGGCCTCGTCCACAGCAGCCGGTTCCTCTTTGACAATGTTGTTCTCGATGATCGTCTGCGTGTCGCGCAGAACCTCATCGATGGGTTTGCGGGACTTATTGGCGACTTCCTCGAGGGCGTCGAGGATCATCTTATCGAGACGGGGAGCCATCCTTGGGACGAAGTCAGCTGCATGATCGGCCGCACGAAACGAGTTGATATACGTACTTACGAGATCTCTTCTGGCAATACTATTTGTAAAATGTATTTCGGTCTGAGCTTACTAGAGGTGGTGGCGAAGAAGAAGGGATAGTACTAGATGAAGCAAGTTTCTGTTCATCAAAATTTGGCCAAAGAGGATGGTGGTTGGTGGAGGTGAAGGATGAACGATATCGCAGCAGATGAGGAAGGAATAATGAGGGCTAGCAAATGAGGCGGGTGAGAACTAGACGAAAGCATTCCAATTGATTCCCTGATACCCATCGGAGGAACTGCGGTCAAACTGTGAGGCAAATGAGACCAGAATGATCACTTCTGCTCCGTCTTTCACAGATCAATGAACTGCGCGGATCTTTGGTTACAAATGGTACGCAGAAACAGCTTCCATCAGCCACAGGTGTTTAACAAAGAGATTGTTTTCCTCTGAAGTAAAAGGCCAGAATTACACAGGGTAGGCTGCAGACGTTCTCAACAGAATAGAGTGAGAAGACCTTGCTCGATAGTAGATATAGAAAGCACAACTGAAGATTCCACAACATATGTGGCCTAGGATGTACTCATTGCTAGCTAATACATATTCACCTCTCAATTTTCGCACTGTCTTCAAAGGTGGCGTCAACTATATGTATCCCACAGCAGTTATGATAGCTACTTGACGGTGCAAAGGTCCCAGGGAAACATACAAAACCTGCCTTGGTTTCTTGTTGTATTTTGAACTTGAAAAAGTGGTTTTCCAAAGACAATACCGTATCTTTAAGCAAGAATTCGTCCAGAGAAAGGTTCCTAAAAACAGTCATCGAATAGTCAAGTGAAGAGGAGAAGGAACTTCAGATTGGCCAACTCACAACCCTCATACTGTTGAATGGAACTGTTCCCACCTTCGAACAGAGTCTCACAATTTTATTCACTGTATTAAGGCCATAACCGGGATACCAGACGGGAAGTCACTGTAGATTCACCGGGTCGAGATCGTTTGAGAGGCATAAGAACCCTTCTTGATTTAGAAAGGTGGCTTTGAAGTTCCTTCTTTAAACTAACGACTTGACTTTTGGCCTTCCCTCGACAAGTTTTATCCTTGATTCTTGAATCATTCGGTATTCGAGCTTGCTGACGACGTTGCGCAATCACCCCGCTAGTATTCGCTATTTACGGTACTCAACATTGCAAGTAAGCTAATTTCAGCCCTGTCGCGAGTCTATCTCTTGAAGCGGAAACTTGGCAGACTTCTTTTGCTGATTTGGATAGCAGGTGAAGGTATTGATACAATGGTTAGGTCGGGAAGAGTCAAGGGCGTCGGTGGTGGAGGAAGTGACGGAAGTGTGGCTGTTAGACCAAGTCTCCTCCCCGAGGCTCCTGCTTCCTCGAACAGCTCAATCACCTCAGCCGGGAAAACCATTCGTTCCCGACAAAGCTCGCCGCATTCAAACGTATTGCCTCAATCATCCAAGCTTTCGGTCGGGGCCCGAGTATCTGATACCGCTGCCACTCTGAGCGGTAGCCTGCCATTTGCTTCTACCGAGTTTCGGTACACAGCATCTCCTATACCCAACTCATTCGACAGCAACAAACAGGCCGACATTGCATACCAAGGCGACTTTTCTTCTTCATCTTGCGGAGAAGTTGATAGCGACGAAGAAGAGGAAGAGTTTGACGAGGTATGCCCAATCCCATGTCCCATGGCAAATCACAAGCTTACAAGCGCAACCAGCAGACTCCCCAAAACAAGATGTCTGCCCTCACGTCGTCGACAATGGATCTAGATCAATATTCCACCGACCCTTTTGTCGATAAGACCACTCCGCGGAACGATACTCCCATCCCCATCGACCTGTTGAGCGCCCCCCGACCCAAGTCCCCCGACTTGGAGGGTGGATCGTCGTCGAGCTTCTCCTCGGCGCCCTCAACCCCAACCAAGGCACCAGTCAATCGTCGTCGCTCTGCGCCCCCCAAGCCCAAGCTTACCATCCTGCAAGAGGCTGCCCGGGAGATCCGCTCGGTCGCTGCCGAGATCAAAGAAACCAGAGCCGAGTACAAGCGCGCCCGCGACTTGTTCGAGCACCTCACGCGAGACGAGAGCGCCACCGCGGAAATTCTCGACGCCGCCGTCGACGCCACAAATAGACGCCTCGTGCGCGCGGTCGAGGACGACGAGAGAATCCAGAGCGGCAACCCGCCGAGACACGTGCCTTACCCGCCCGAGAAAATCCCCGAGCTTCTGGCGGCCGTTGAGAAGGCCGAGACGGACAAGGAGAACTGGTACGCGGAGACGAGACGGCTATTTTGGATCTTCGAGGTCATTGACCGAGAGACACTGCCGGCGTTGAGGCGCAAGATGGAGGCGGCACGGAAGAAGGAAGCCGCTGCGAGACAGAAGAAAGATGACCAGGCCGCTGCGGCGACGTGCCCGAAACCGGTTCTGGCTTTGGGAACTCGGACGGACCCGGGAACCGTCTCTGATCGTTCTCCTGCAACGGTTCGCCGCATTCGTCCGGACGAGACGCCGACCACTTCGCTGGCTACTTCGGATGCCGGCAGCCAATCTACCCTTGTTCGGGGTATACGGAACGCCATGCCACGAGCTACTGATCCTGCCGGAGTTCCCGAGACGCCTACTAAAAGATCTCGTCGTTGATCACATCTGGGGTCTTCCAAAAGGGGACTACTAGGGTAGTTCGCTTTCCTGTCTGTGGGTTTAATCAAGGCCAAGCAGAGGTACGTCTTAATAATCTTCTTCTTGCTGTTCAAACAAGTTTTGTGTCCATCTAACTGTATGATCAGACGGCCAATCAAGCTCGCTGGTGGCTTATGCGCCACGGCTCCGGACCAAGGGGCCGCACAAACGCTTGCCCTACCTTTACGCTAGTTGTTAGCCATAGTCTCCCTATCCATTTGAACCGGACCAAGCTAACAATGTCATTGATGCAGTTGTCCAAGTGAACCCGAACACGTGCATTGTGCTATGCCCAATGTCCCCTCAGGTTTGATGACAGGATTTGTGGGTACCAGAGCGAATGCATGAGCCCGTTACAGATTACCTACTCCACTCACTGCTGCAAGTCGCATCGCATGACCCCTTTCCCCCGCATTTTAAGATACGATGCGGACCGCGTGGCATACGCAATAAGTATGTCCAAGCGTCGAGGGGCTCGGGGCACAGGTACACTATTGGATCGCATATGCGCGGATCCTGGTGTGGATTGGCGTGCGCCTGAATCGGGATCGCGAGCCTGAGTCGGTAGCGTGCGCTTGAGTCGGTGGCGTACGTAGGTACTATGACTCGGCGGGCGGGATGGATGCTATAGCCTATATCGACTTTGGAGGATCGCTACCGCTTAGGATGCCGAAGCTGCGAAAGTGCGGTCTCTGGATAGCATCATTGGACATAATGCATTCCTTGCGCAGGTTTATACGCCGAAGAGTGGTTCCAGGCTAGGTAGCTTAACACTATGCATACCCTTGATCCGTATGCGGAAGCCGCTTTGCTTCACCCCTGCAATATCATTGACCACCAATCATGAGACCAAGGAAATGATGGTCGGGTGTCTTGGCCTGCGCCCCCGTCCGATTATTGGCAATATCCAGTGCGGATACCTGCCACAAGTTGATTGCGAGCTCAATGCAACCTAACCATGAAAATGGGTCCATTTGGCCACGAGGGTCGCACTTTTGAATTTCCCGATACAGAGGAATCGCCGTCATGATCAGACGCAAGGCCAGATATCATTTTTTAGCTCTGGAGCCGGTGCCGACGATGCTGCGTGGGCTTGAGCCGCCACTACAGAGTATCCGTAGTTCACAGGCGGTCCGCTCACCCTCCTCGCCTGCGAAGCGACCCCAGCATGCCACTTCCGAATTAAGCGCCCCTGCTCCGTCATCAATGCCGTGGATATTACCACCTGCCTGCCTGCCTGCCTGCGTTGTCCATGAGAGCATGGTATAAGGGGCGGCACTCTTCCACGGCTCCTCGAGGACCGCAAGAGCGGCAGCAGCAGCGGCAGCGGCAGCAGCAGCAGCAGCAGCAGCAGACTCCGGTTCTTCACAGACACCCCTAGTATGCAGCTCAAGTCTCTCGCGGCCGTGGCCATTGGCCTGGCTTCTGTCTCGCCCGCCGCAGCCGACACTACGACCACCATCGACCCGACATCCTACCGCGGGACGTGGGAGGGATGGGGCACCTCCCTCGCGTGGTGGGCGGCCCGCTTCGGCACCCGTGACGACCTCGCCGACATCTTCTTCACGACCAACACGACCTCGTTCGGAGGCGCAAACCTGCCCGGCTTGGGCCTTAATATCGTGCGACACAACGCCGGCGCCTCCAGCTGGAACAGCATCGGGAGCCTTAGCATGGTGGTCTCGCCCAACATGATACCTTCACGGCAGATAGAGGGCCACTGGATCGACTGGAACAGCGCGGACCCGACCTCGGCCAGCTGGCGGTGGGACGTCGACGTGAACCAGCGGACGATGATGCAGAAGGCCCAGAGCCGCGGGGCCAACCACTTCGAGCTCTTCTCCAACTCGCCCATGTGGTGGATGACATACAACCACAACCCGTCGGGGGCGGCGGACGGCACCGAGAACATCCAGTCCTGGAACCTCCAGCAGCATGCTGTCTACATGGCCACGATCGCCAAGTACGCCAAAGACAACTGGGGCATCACTTATGAGTCGGTTGAGCCGTTTAACGAGCCGTCGGCCGACTGGTGGGATGCCAACGGCACGCAGGAGGGGTGCCACATTGACGTCACCACCCAGTCGACCATTATTAACGCGCTCCGGACGGAGCTCGACAACCGCGGCCTTAACAACATTTCTGTCTCGGCGTCGGATGAGTCGTACTACGACCAGGCGGTGTCGACGCTCCAAGGCCTCAGCGGCGAGGCGCTCAGCGAGATGAGCCGCGTCAACGTCCACGGGTACCAGTACGGCGGCGGCCAGCGCGACAAGGTGTACTCCCTCGCGTCGGCGCAGGGCCTGCGGATATGGAACAGCGAGTACGGCGAGTCGGACGCGACGGGCGAGATGCTCGTCAGCAACCTCATCCTCGACTTCCGGTGGCTGCAGCCCACAGGGTGGGTGTACTGGCAGGTGCTCGACGGGGGCGGCTGGGGCCTCATCGACGCCAACAACGATGCCGGCACGGTCGGGTCGGCGAACCAGAAATACTTCGTGCTGGCGCAGTTCGCGCGGCACATCCGCGAGGGCATGCGCATCCTGGACGGCGGCTCGGACAACGTCGTGGCGGCGTACGACGCGGCGCAGTCCAAGCTGATCATCGTCGCCATCAACTGGGGCGACGCGCAGTACCTCAACTTCGACCTCAGCAGCTTCTCGCAGCCGTCGACCGACGGCGCCAAGGTGACGCGCTGGCGGACGCAGGTCGGCAGCGGGGACCGGTACGTGCAGGAGACGGACGACACGATAATGAACGGGAGCAAGTTCTGGTCGTGGTTCGAGACCAAGATGGTGCAGACGTTTGAGGTCAGCAATGTGAAGTTATAATTTAAGTAGTAGCATAATCGTTCGGAATGTATATATATCTGTGTGCATATAACCTGACGTTGATTGAGCTGAGATTCGAGTGCAGAAGTGCATCTTGTTGGAATGTTGATGACTTACTAGTTCAACCAAACAATTGAGGTTAGTTGAGCGAGTAGCATGAAGCCCGGCCCATATAGGAAAGGAGTAAGGAAAGAAGCTGTGATGGAAGAGGAAGGAAGGACAAACAGTCAAGAGAGGAAAAAAGCAAAAGAGAATGTTCCGACCTATGTCTGCAAGTATCCAATGCACAGTGCTATCAAAACTTATGATTAACGACTGTTGCGCCTGTGGCTTGAGAAATCAACATGGCGTCGCTCCACGAACGGATCTCAACTGGCCTCATCGCAACCACTATTATTAGAACGAACGGTTGCAGCGACTAACCTAGACTTGAATATAGATGGCAGCACGGCAAAGTGCCGTGAAAGGCCAGTCAGTTTGCACTGAGATGAGCAAAATATAAAAACAAGCCAATGGCGGCAAGTGCCTCATCTGATTGAGAAACCCTAACAGCTCGGAACTTATGTGGGATTGCTCGGCATACACGCATTGAAAAAGCGAAATAGAAACTGCGCGGAAACATCGCCGACATAGTGTTCTGTCTTTGCTGTGTAGATCCAAACACAAACCCTATTTTGTGACGCTGATGCAGTAGTATTCCTGTGCCCACATCGACGACGCGCAATTTTCCCCGTTCTTCCCCAAAACCGGATTCCATGCGTACAAGTGAGCTAAAGTAATTCCGTTGGACTTTGCAAAGTCAGTGCAAGTGGCGCCCGAAGGTGCTTCGGCATATCTAGCACAGTTGGAGTCGATACCAGCTTGAGTTGGACCCGGAGCCGCCACGGTGATGCCGACGCAGTAGTACTCGCTGGCCCACATAGAAGACGCACAGTTTTCTCCGTCGGTGCCGAGAACTGTGTTCCAGGAGTACAACTGGTCTGTCGAAATGCCGTTGCTGCTTGCAAAGTCGCCGCAGACCACTCCGCTCGGCGCCTCGGCAAACTTGGAGCAGCTTGACACGATGCCGGTCTGCGTAGGACCAGGCGCCGTTACTCCCGTCTTCGTCGTTGGACCTGCCGTGGTGGCTGGGTTCGTCGTGGTTGGCGCCGATGATGACCCAGAAACACCGACACAGTAATACTCCTGAGCCCACATGGACCCCGCGCAGTTCTCGCCGTTGCTCCCCAGGACACTGTTCCACCCGTAGAGCTGAGCAAGAGTGATGCCGTTGCGAGAGGCAAATGCGCTGCAAGTGTCGCCGGAGGCCGCTTCTGAAAACTTGTTGCAGTTCTTCGTTATTCCTGTTTGTGTTGGGCCGGGTGCAGTCACGGCCGAAGTCGTGGTTGGCTTTCGAGTGCCAATGCAATAGTACTCACTGGCCCAGAGGGCGGTCGAGCACTCGGATCCAGCTGTGCCTAGTACTGGGTTCCATTCGTATAACTGACTTGGCGCAATCGAGTTACGTGTGGCAAACGCTTCACAGCCATCTCCGGCTGTGGCACTGGCGTAGTTGTTGCACTGCGATCATCAGAGTGAGTTAGTCTGGTGTGGTGATTAGATTGATAGGGGCTCGACGTACGTTCGTGGCGAGCCCATCTTGGGTTGGACTGGGGGCTGCGCCTCCAGAAACTGGGTTGACAATGTCTGTTGCGGTAGTTGTTGCCGTCACAATACCCCCAGCACCACCTCGCTGTTGGTTTCCTGCATTGGCCGCTGTGCCTAAGGGCGGTGCAGGCAGAGTGTATGTGGCGTTGACACCAGGAGAGCTGCCGAATACGACTCGTCAGTTCAACCGGCGTCCGGGAGCAGCTGCTTACGTCTCGTACCTAACGCAGACATATTGGCCCTCCATAAGACTGTCACAAAGTCCGAGGATATACGTGTTCCACTTCTTAAACTGTACAATTGTAGTTCCCCCACCAATGGATGCCGCAATGCTCTCACTGTAACGAAAAGTTGTAAGTTCCCTTTGCTCAACGAAGTGGCAGATGATCCTCATATTGGCGTTTCGGGTGCTTACCAAGTTTCGTTCTTTCCGACCCTTTGCAATATGCACCGTTGAGGCACACAAACTGAGCCAGAGACGGCACAGGTATCGCTATTGGTAAACCACTGAAGTGCTCCAGTACTCACACCATATTGGGAAGACAAGTCATCACAATAAGAGGCATGTATGGGCCCCAACTCAGGAGTAGATCTCTTGAACCAATCCAGACCCCCGTCTCTCTTGGATGCGCCAGCGGAGCCTATTGTTTGGCCGACGCATGTTGTTGTGGCAGCAGGTGCGGAAATGGTGGCAGTGGGCATGGCAGTCGTCGGGGATCCCAAGTCAATAGAAGACAGGGGATCCGCAACATCGTAATCCCAGGGCAATCTTACCGTGAAGTCCGGGATGGTGATGTTACAGACATCTTGTATGTCAAAGAGCTGGTCTACAAGGTAGTCCGAATGGTCGGTATCCGGCAGGAAGATCGACGTGACGCGTGTGTAAAGCTGATTGATGAAGCAATCGCTGCACAACTATCTATATGTCAGTACGGGATGAACCCAGCGTTCCTTCGACCGAGAGGCTGAGCTTACAATGTCATCTTCGTACAGGTTTGCCATGCGAATATTCGCTTCGGGGATATCCGTGGCGTTCCCGCCGCAGGTGGGATCCGAGGGGTTGGCATTACAGTCGACTCGCAATACATCGGCGCCAACCCACTCCTGAGACTCAGTAAGACAGTAACTGTAGTTCTCAGACCTTGCAGACAATCAGCACTACATATCTTTGGATAGCTTTATGATGTGTTTGTACCGAGATTCTAGACAGGCGAATCTGAGATTGTCGACAACACGCTCAGTGACTGTCCAAATGGGGACGAGCTTCCCGTATGCCGTAAAGGTCTGCTCGTAGCAGGGGTCAGAAGCATTGTAGTTCCAAGAACCAACAGCTTGGGCACAACCAGAGTCACAGATGGCCGTGAGGTTATCGTCTGTCCACCAGTAGTTCTCCAGGTTCATCGTCATCTGCAGTAACGTCTGATCGCATTTTGATATTGTTTGGTTTCTTTCCCGTGCGTCAGTTTTGGAAAACGGCAGGATTCTGTTTGCGCCAAGATACTTACAGCGCCGCAACACAGTCTGATGTGACGTTCAGTGACTTGGCCAATTTGTCACCATTGATGGCTGGGTAAAGATTGAAAGCGTAACATGCTTGAACAAAACAAAACGCAGTAAGTAGAAGCCTAAATGAGTGACTCTCCATGATGAAATATATGCATGGAGTAGCTGGCCTTTTGCTGATGAAGAAGGAGCGAGCGTAGAATTTGTCTTGCAGCTCGCCTCATGGGCGAGTCCTTTGGTATATGGATCATGCGGACATGCCACTAAGTCGTCCCGCAGATGGAGAAGAAGACGGTTCTTTACCAGCAGGCTCGTAGGTTTCGTCAATACCACTGACACCAACCTAGCTGTCACAAAACCGGAAATTAATCTGACCAAAGACCCCGGAGGTTCACGTGGAGTCGGATTAGGCTGCAGCCTTTGCTTACATAGTATGGAGCCTACAAGGGACAAGTCTATCTAGGCTCTGGCCGTGCAATATTGGCGCCAGGGATATTGACGGAATGCACGAGACAGGAGGTGGTGTTTGCAAGGCTTGATTCCTTGTCAAAATCTAACGCCACGTACTTTGACATTTAGCCGCCGTTTTTCACGATGATCTACGTACGGCCCTTCTTCGGATCCTAGGCGGGTGAGGTGGAACGGAGCAGCCTAGGCCTTCTGCTTCTCGATCTGCAAAGAAAAGGAGTCGCCTCAAATGCTTAACCCAAATAAGCAGGACGGCCCGATGCCGTTCTGCAACCTGCAGCACAGCCATTTGGTCATATGGATCAAAAATCGACACACGTCAGCGGCATTTTTTTGCCGAGGAGCCAAGCGTAGCCAAGTTGAGGTAAGCTTTTGTGACAGGGGCCAGGGGCTTAAATGAGCTTACCATGATCAACTACGCCTGACTAGGCCCGAAATGTGCTACACCACAACACTATGCAGCCTTTTCGCTTTCCCCCCCACTTGCGGTTGTGTAATAAAAGCGGGATAGTCGTGGAAGCAGGGCGGGAGGTAGTGTAGTTTACTATGCAGCATTTTGTTACAAACCTGGTGGGCTCTTTGATATCAGCCAGAATCAACCTGGTAAGGGACTTTTCCTAAGCTGGCGAAAGGAGCCGAGATCGTGGTTTTCAGCATACGCTAGTAACTATCAATTGAACAATATGCAGTAACTTAAATTTGCCTACACTTTGAGCCAAATGAGTCAACACGAGATGGGATCATAATCCCTGCGACCTGTTACGGTCTGGAAGCGAGCATACCGCGTCGACGCTGTTGCCTGTTTGTCAACGATAAACCAGTTCCCAAAGTTGGATATGCTGGTCTCATTCTCGCAAAGTGATCATATTTGTGTCTGGAGGCTGCCGTCTTGCCCTCGAACTTCACTCACTTGTAGTCACCCATCAGTCTAGCGAGTCGTCCAAGGCCGCGGTGATGTTTCCACTCATTTATGTTTACGCCCTTGCGGCAGTCATTCCTTTCCTCATATCAGCAGTTCCTTTGGACTCCAATAATGCTCATCTTCTTCAAGATGCGCCTATCACTCCTTACACAATCTCTTCTATTCCACAACTCCTTACTGGACGAGCTCTTCCAACTGGCACATGCAACGCAGACACTCCATGTGAGAATGCAGCATGCTGCGGTACCAACGGCCTGTGTGGCTACTCACCAACGGAGTGTGGCAAGGGTAACTGCACCTCCAACTGTGATGCAAAAGCTCAGTGCGGACAATACGGCAAAGATGGCTCCCAAGAATGCCCACTTGGTGTGTGCTGTTCTGAATTTGGGTGAGTTGATGAATCTTCATTTCTCACCATCATGGGCTCGTTATCTCATGGAAACTCGCCTAGGTTCTGTGGTTCTACAAGTGACTTTTGTGGCAAAGGTTGCCAAAAAGAATTTGGTGGTTGCGGCAATGTCACAAGACCATCCTGCTCAGGCAATTCCGTCTCCAAGCGGACAATTGGCTACTATGAGGCATGGTCAAACACTCGCAGTTGTCAGGCAGTCTCGCCGGAGGATCTCAACCTGAACGGCTTCTCCCACATCAACTTTGCTTTTGCATTCTTCGATCCCAAGACATTCCAAATTGCACCCATGGACACGGAGACCGGAAAGCTGTACAGTCGGTTTACGGCACTGAAAAATAACAATGCCGGGCTAGAAGCATGGATCTCTGTCGGCGGCTGGTCCTTCACGGATCCAGGGCCAACTCGAACGGCATTTAGCGACATGACAAGCACGGCCGAGAACAGGAAAAAGTTCATTTCGGGCTTGATTGATTTCATGGAACACGTAAGTCTGAGCCTGCATTCGATTGGGACATCTTTTCTGCGGCCCATCTTTTCGGAAGCTGATGAACCACAATCCACTTGCAGTACGGCTTTGATGGTGTTGATCTTGATTGGGAGTACCCCCAAGCCGACGACAGAGGCGGCGTTACGGCAGACAAGAAAAACTACGCCCTACTAACCAAGGAGCTCAGGGCCGCGTTTGGTGAGTGCTTCTTCCAGAATTTTCATGCCAATTATGTCGTATCAGGTTCACTTACGCATGTCAGGCTCCCGCTACGGAATATCAATGACGCTGCCGACGTCGTACTGGTATCTCCAGCATTTTGACCTCGAATCCATCCAGGCAAACGTCGACTGGTTCAACTTTATGGCTTACGACTGTGAGTTACACTTGATTTATAAATTCGAGCCTTCAGACCTGCCGCTAACTTTGCTGGGGAGTGCACGGAACCTGGGACGCTGCGTCCAAGTTTGTTGGGCCTTATCTCGCACCTCACACCAATGTTACTGAGATTGACATGGGCCTCGATCTTCTTTGGAGGGCGGGAGTCAAGCCTGCCAAGGTTATTTTGGGGCTTGGATGGTACGGACGTAGCTTCACTCTCTCTGATCCATCCTGTAACAAGCCGAATGGTGTGTGTCAGTTTTCTGGTGGTGCCCAACCTGGTCTATGTTCGAATGCGTCGGGCATCTTGACCCTACAAGAAATTAACGAGGTCATTGACTACAATGACCTCAAGCCTGTCTGGGATAAAGAAGCCATGGTGAAGTGGATCACCTGGGATGACAACCAATGGGTATCATACGACGACGATGATACGTTTGAACAGAAGCGCAAGTTCGCCAACTCCCGATGCTTGGGAGGCACCATGGTGAGTGTTTTCTTACAGTACTTCAAGTGATACCCAAGCTGATCAAGTCTGTAAGGTCTGGGCCATGGATCAGCGAGATCAAGGCGAGGATAACGGCTTGGCGCCAGCATCTGGAGTCACTACTGGTCAGCAACAAGACGCACAAGAAATGGCCCAAGGCCTTGCTGCCGGCGTCTCTTGTTATACATCGGACTGCGGAGCAAGCTGCAAGAAGGGTACGAACCCTGTCACCCAAATGAATGGCCAACCCGGTATGCTCTCTACCAGTGACCGCTGTGATAAGAACCAATATCGCACACTCTGCTGTGATGATGGTACGACCATTGGGACTTGCAAGTGGCGGGGTTATCGGGGCTTGGGTCTGTCGTGCATGGGTGGCTGTGACGACGAAGAGACCGAGATCCTGCAGGACACAAACAACCACAGCAAGAATGGCGACCAGACGTGTACTGGTGGTATACAGAGCTACTGCTGCAAAGGCTTCGAATCTGCTCCGACAAAAGAAGAGCTCGAAGAGGAAGCGAAGGAGAAGGCCGAGGAGCTAGCCGAAGAAGCTGCAGAACAGGCAGCTCTCGATATCGCTGCAAAGGCCTTTTGTCGTGTTGCCATTCCGGCTCTTTTGGCTCCTTTGGAGTTAATTGAAGCTGCAATTCCGATTATTGGTAAGTTCTGGCGCTCACGTTCCCGATCTTTTCACTGAAGACCTGGAGCTAATGATATTACCAAGGCGAAATTTTGGACATCGCTGAAATTGCCGCGACGCCGGCCCTGATTCAACTGTGTACCAGTGGCATTGAGAAAGAAGGCAAAGCTATTTTCAAGGTGTTCGGAAAAGAGCACTCCGTGACATTCGACAGACCATCCAAGACTGTATCCCGGCCGCCCAAGTCCAGTCATGTATGCTGATTCTTTCGTGTCCTACGGATCTTTAACATAATGCTAACAGCAGCTACCAGACACCAGCAAAGACATCTTCTTGCGACTCCAATGTCAAGCGGGCAGACGACGGTAGACCTTGCAAGAGACGGAAACGTGTAATGACATCGCACCGGACCAGCGAAATCGTGGCTGCTACGAGAATGCTGCCGAATGGCGGACACCTAATTCCGTGCGCCGGCGGCGGTGGCGTGTACCCCGAAGCTTGCAAGAATTACAAGTCCATCGTCGACAACTATCCGCAGTACAAGACCATCACCTGCCCTTACCGAAAGGTTGACACCAAGAAGCGTCCGATCACAAAGGTTTTCGACGAGCAGCGTGCGACGGACCTCTGGGATCCCGTGATCAACGCGCCCAATGGATGCTCCCCAGACGAGTACCCGCCGGCGGTGATGGCACCCGTGAATGACGGGTACGACATCCTCAGAGATATGATCGTCCCTGCCGACCGGGAGGTTTACAGGCTTCTTAGTGCGAAACCTCCTGCTGTGGACGGGCAAATGGTTCGCTACCTTGACGCGGTCGACAATCGCGAAGCGGGAAAGATCTTCAACAAATGCGGCCAACCGCCGGCAGCCTCGGTGGTGCACACAACCACAACCATCGTTGACCCCGATGCCAAAGTCCCCGTTGAATGGCATTTGACAAAGATCGCCCTCTCGCGGCTGGTTTGGGAGCTGGACTTTGCTGGACTTCCTGATAACTCCAACGACTACGGTGTCGCGGACAACATCTGCGTACCGACGATCAACGGAAAGAAGCACCCAGGCTATGCCCTTCTGAATTCGGATAAATGGTTTGAGAGACCAGGTAACGAGGAGGAGGCGGATTTGAGAGACACGTGGCCCAATGGTCCTGCGAGAAAACGCTGGGTTGAGCCAGCGGGACTGGTGCTGGAGGGCGCCAACTCGACGCGGGTAGCGACTCCTGAGGAAGTGCGTAATCACCTCAGGCTCGACGAGTGTGCGGATGACAGCTGCTCGCGAGAAATCGAGAAGCTGAAGTATGTGGCCAGGGACTTCAGGGACAAGGCGCGGAAGGCAGCCAACTCGCCGGCGGAAGCGCCGGCACCGGAGCCGACGGCTGTCTCGGAGCACAACGGCATTCAAGCCCTGCCCCCGAGTCAACCAGGACGGTACTTTGACTCTAATATCCCCGTGCATACTGGGGTTTAATATAATCGTACTCACGATTTAGTTTCAAGTCCTAATCAATTTCTCATTATTGCCTCTGCTTGTGCTTGCACCACCCATTATTTATGTGTTATATGTCCGCTTGCCTCAGCCATTCCTCTAACTTTTTGCGGCCTTCTGTGCCATTATAATGTTCCGGCCATCCACTTTGGAGCATAATCTCTTCAATTTCCTTAACCACAAGTCAGCGGGGTGGGTTCTGCTTGGCTGCGAATGATGCGACATACCTGTATTTCCTTACCCCATCCCTCATTATCACGCCAAAGGACGCCTGGGGAGTTGTGGCGGGGGATACCAAACCACAACAGATTCCTGTACTTTTCGAGTATTCCCTCCAACCATAATTCCAGTGGAAGAGTTACATCATCACATAACGTTTCTCTCCACATCCGTGGATCGCCCTCGTCATATCGCCCTACCGGCTCGGGATAAACAGCCCCAGTGACGATGTATTTGGTTACTGTGCCGTCCATAGTATCCAAAAGCCAAATGTCACCATCTCTATTCACGCTTATAGTAAGCTGAATTACCCAAGGCGGAAATCCATCATTAAACGACCGAAGATCGTGAGACAGAAGGTTCACCCATTTGGGCTTGTACACCCCGGTAGTAGAGAGCAGCGCCACAGCGGTACAGTAGTTGATTGGGAATGTCTCGGGGGTGATCCAAAGGGGGTTGCCGTCGATATAGGGCAAGTGTCTGATCAAATCGACGGCCCGTTCGGCCAAAGGCCGCATCCCAGCTGCGGCAAGCGATTTGGTGGTGATTTCTGGCCAGCCACCCGATGGAGCGCGACGCACCAGAGACGGGTCAACATGAGGCAAGCTACGATAAAAAGCCGCCAGGGAGTTAACAATGTTGTCGCGTGAGTATCGAGGGTGTTGTCCAGGGAGGCGTGGGTCTAGTGGGAGATCTTGCGGATCTGGTATCGTCTCCATCTTGGCACTCATCTTGGCACTTGAAGTCGAGCGTGACGTGATGGAGAGTGATTGGGAAGAGACTTGAGAACCTCACTGCAGGAACCCCGCGCGTGCGTTCAGAGCTTAATAAGCTTTCAGGGGTAAGATGAAAAATGAAAAGAAAAAAGGAAACCCCCGGCCTCAGTCACCCAGTGATCGGTCGCTCAAGAAAATCAGCAAATGTATTGCGCGAGAGGACTTTTCAGAACTTACTACAGCTTCAACCAAGGGCAGGCCACGCAACGGATTCGGTGTGTCAAGGTCATAAGCTGTTCAAAGAACGGGGTTTTTTTTGTGATGACTCGTATCAAGGATACTAATTTTCCCTGCATTTTTTAAGCCCCTGTATTTATAAGCCCTCGCAAGCGACGCTGTAGTCCTTTAGCACTAAGTCTAATTTCATGGAGTTTTCCTGGCTGCCACTGTAGCCACCTACATCAATCCGGTGCCCAGTCACTCAACTACCTGTCAGAAATGAGTAATTAGCTGTGTGAACGATACTCCATTAGCCACATAGTCAGCCGGTACTTGACGACGTCAAGCCTCTATTTTGTTGCTACTCTGGCGCGGTCTCGCTGATGCATATTATCTTGGGCTTGCGCAGAAACTACAACACAACAGACCGGGTATTCGCTGGCCGCTGACCTGACTGCAAATTCAGTGAATACGAATTATTACTTTAACAAGATTCTCGGGTATTATATGATGATAAAGCCTCTATTTACACTAGTACAAGCTAAGTCATATCACACTGTCTTTGCTGTTTCAAACTCTACGTAAACAAGAAGCACTGAGTAGTACTCAAATGCATCCACTTGCCCTATTCCATTAATGCTTCTATTTATTCCCGTACTAGCTCAATAGTCAGAAGATCAGTACGTCCTACTAAATAATCTACCCTTATCTACCCATAAACAAGCTGATGGCTTTAGAACGCAGTTAAGAAGAATAACTATTGCATATGTGGAACGTGAGTATAAAGCTGGCGTGCCTCACTCGACATACCTTACTACCATGGGCGACTGGCCGGGGCATCGCGACTGGTATGTTTGTGGAATGTAGGTGAGAAACCGGCGTGCCCCGATTGACTTACCTTACCACTATCACAGTGACAGATTGCGTTATCATGGCAGTATATTGACCATATCCTGCGTTTGAGAGATAGCTATAGCAATCCTCAAACGAGAGAAGCTATTGCTCTGCTCAGTAGTTCCGTAACATATCCTGGTCACAACGCATCAATGCGAAGAAGGTAGAACTCAAAATATATTGGAAGAAAGCTTAAAAACTACAGGATTCACCTGTCTTCTGCGTTGTACCGTTTGCATCATCGCATGCAATATCGAAGTTGGCCTCCCCTTCCGCACTAGTAATACAACAAATCTATATATGGATTAGCATATATCCCTTGAAATGGGAAGTGTACTGGTTAGACTTACTCCCTTGCCTAGTTCTTTACTACCAGGACCTTCGCAGAGACTAGCGGTTTGAATCACGTTGTTACCGATGTCCATACACAGAAATGTAGAATTCGACTGCGCTACAGCCAGCGTTGCAAAGAGCGCGGTTACAGCGAAAGTAGCCTTCATCTTGATGCAATAAAGACTTTGACTAAAGAGCAGATAGCAATAGAATATATGAGTGTTGAATCAATTGATTGATTTATAGAAGGAGGATAGATAATTCAGAGGGAGGTAAACCATTGGAGATGGCGGCTTTTATTTATTAAAGTAACAGCTCATCCTTTTATATATTTTTATATACAACTGAAATCTAGGTACAATTGGACTATAGTAGTTGTTCGTTATTTCAGGGAGCTATTAATATCACTAATCGTCCCTCCAGACCGTTACATTGTTATACGCAAAAGCATACAGAGCTATAAGGCTAGCAATTCCAGAAGTCAGCCACGCTTAGGCCGGTAAGTCGGCACCCACACGCCGTAGTATTTCCAGGGGTTAAAACGTTATTTCAAGTCAATCCCACAGTCTGAAACACATTCAAAACCAGCATTTTTTATCTGAGACAGTCACCTTTATTAAGTTAGCCTGCTTATACGTGGTCAGAAGTACCTACTCTTAAATCCCCCTTCACTATGTCCAATATGGATTGGCCTGTCTCCCACTGGTCTCCCTTTGATGGACACATGACATAGCAACAGGTGAGCTTGCCGCAGCAGATGGTTACAAGGAAGACGGCCGGCCGGCCGACCAGCAGTAGCTTTTAATGAAGTACGTATATCAGCAAGAACGATAATTAGTTTTTATAACTATCCTGTCGTCTTATTTCTCGCAAATGTGCAGTCGCAGAGTCGAAATGCACTTTCTATCAATGCCCTCATTTGAGCAGGGAAATCTCAACCTATCCCGAAAATAACCCCCGAAATCCATCCAGACACTAAAGAATAACTGTAGCTAGCATAGCTCAAGAACAATTTCATTATCATTTCGCAACACCGATGGAATTTGCCGCGTACGTCGAATTCATACGTCTCTGCGTCGAGGGAGATGAATACTCCATGGGTTGACGTGTATCTTGTTCCACTCGGTGGAACAGTCTAACTCAGAAGTCTGCTACAAAGTCCAACCGACAACCAAGGCGATGGACTGGACCCAACTGCTGGAGCAAGTGCGCGAATTGACCAACCACAAGAAGCGGCCTGCACGAGAGCTTTCCACGTTTTCCGAACAAGGCTCAATAAGAAGCGAGGCCATCGAAGCTGACGCCGCTGACAATGAAGACGAAGTAGGCATTTGAAGGATGAAGGCTTACCCAATGCATGCCAAGGAGAGCGGTCAGTGAATAGTACCCTGCAGAGTGGTTCCTCAAATGGGCACCATACTCAATACCTCCTCTGGAACATGGTTTGAGGCCACACCAGGAGAGGAACTGCGGGCTGGCGACATTGACCAATCTAAATCCGAAATCTCCAAAGTTGCCAAATAACGACCAAGTTCTTTCTAATGATCTATTTCCAACTAATACTGACCACGTTGATCGCTACAAACGGATATCTGCTTGTGGCCCAGCCTTCCGGCAAGTCGACATTATCATGTCAAACTTCGAATGTCTCCTGAGAGTATTCCACAAATATGAGATTGCGATGCCCGCTTGCAGTCTTGGGTTGTAGAAGGTCCGGTCCGCCTCTGTACATCTCCAGACAGTCAAGTTCTCCCTCAAGCAGCAGCGTCTTTTCGAGCCCTCATAATGAATGACGCAAGGTCTTAGCCAATCGATTACACAATGTCGCTTATTGGCCTCTCCAACTCTTTAACACGCCAACGGAAGAGGCTGATCTGCGAGCACTCCTTGTGTAGTCGAGTCCAGTAGGGAATAAACCCGCGCAGATGCAGTGGGACTTCATCCGTCGCATGGTCCTCGACCAGGGTGAGGCAAGCGCGACGGGTTTCATGACCAGAAGGCAGAGGTACACTGTTCCCCGTGAATGATGTGCCCGGTAACTACATGACGGTTGTAGGCGTGCTAGCTCATCCTTTTGGTCGATGGTCCACTCATATTAAGAGCTCGGACTGCCGCGATCAACCTGCTATAGACTGCGCGTACCTGCCTCATCACTTGGATGTCGAGATACTCGCAAGCCATGTCGCGCAGATCGAGAGGTTGCTCGAGCATCCCATGTTGGCCTCTGTTCGCAGAGCGTCCGGCAACCGTCTCCCTGCCGATGCGGGATTTCGATCGTTGGAAGATATAAAAGACGCGGTTCGAAGGTACGGCGCCACCAACTACCACTCTTGTGGGACATGCGCAATGGCGGAAGACGGCCTCGGCGGGGGTGTTGTGGATGCCGATTTGCGGGTGAAGGGGACGAGCAACCTGCGTGTTTGCGACGCCAGCATCTTCCCCATCATACCGCGGGGCAACATCCTGACTACAGTGTATGCGGTTGCGGGGAAAGCGTCTAAGTTCATTCTGGCTTCGTATAAATAGAAACAGAAGAACGGAGCGTTTGTGCATGTTTCGCTTTCCGAACATGCGACATGGAAGCAACGACCTATTCGTCCCTTGATTTTGAGAGACCACATGGAAATATAATCAAATACAACCAATTCAGACTTACTCCAACCACATCCCATCAAGGAAGTACAGCGACATGACTGTTAACCGATTGGAGTTGCTAACATCGTTGTTGCCTCTACAGGCCAGGTACACGTAACATCACTCTATCCAGTAGGCTGTCAACAACCTTAATTTTCTTTGGGCTCAGCACACAAGTCTACCAAGCTCATGTTGCCTTTATGCAGCTGGGCTACCAAAAATAACACCGCGAGATGCAAAGCATAATGACAAGAGTGGGATTCGAACCCACGCCAATTACTTGACTAGCACCTGAAGCTAGCGCCTTAGACCGCTCGGCCATCTTGCCTTGACAATTTGAGATTATTGTGAAGCCTAGTATCGAAGTGTCAGAGGGGATGATGAGAAAGCCAGAATGTTTCTAACGTCGCGATGGAATACTCAACAAATTCTGAAGTGTTTAGACAAAGTCGGAGACTCATCGGATCAGTCAGCAGCTTTTGTCACATCTAGAAATTCCAACAAAGTTCTTTCACCACAACATGGGCTTTGTTTCACCAAGCCGCTTGTTCAAAAGCCTTGACTATTCAGCCAGTCCCTTTTGCTAAATTGCATTTTCTCCATTGTTGTTTCTTCACACTTCTAGTTCATTATGCATGCAGTCCAGACTCACTACTCAGCAATCATGGAGGCTTTCTTGACCCATAAAGCTCTTGCGATCAAGGGTCTTTCTGCTCCAACGCGTCCGCACTACACAACACCTTCGTTCTCAAGCTTCAAGTTCTCACTGCGGTTCCAAGACTAGAGATTCGCCATGCCTGCCACGGCTGTAAACGTTTGAAGTTTCTTTACACTTGTTTTCACAAAACGTTTCAATCCACAACATCAGCTTCTTTCAGCTCAGGCTGAAGTTCATTCCCAGTCGATGTCGAGGCCATCAGGCATGTCGCATCACAAACACTTTCATCACCATTGTTCGGTCCTTCTCTTGGTGCGTCGACACAACAGCACAACATAGACAAGCGCCAACAAGGTCGAGGCTTGAAGACGAGTACAGAAGGAATTGTTCAATCTTACAACAAAGACGTCAAGAGCATGACAGTCACTACTTTTCGATCATAATCCTGGCGAGTTGGTTCTTATTCCTACCCAAGATCACTCTCTCCAGAGAACTCACTAACAGATTCTGTAAATTAGATGACCTGACCTACCTAGATGGCCTCGCCTTCCAGCCGCGACGAAGGTGTCCAGATCAACAGCTTCACGGCCGTGGCGAGTGATCAGCAGACTTCAAGCTTCAAGACACGTTCGAATGAGCCTGGCCGAAACAAGGGAAAAGGTCCAATTACTCGAAACCGAGAGAAGTCGCTCGTCAGACTGTGCAGTAGTCGCGGCGCGATGCCCACCATCCCTGAGATCCGCGTCAAGGGCCCCGATTCCAGAGATGTCCGGATAGGTGCCGGCGGCAGCGTGTCGCCCTCCAGCCATCCCCAGTCCACCGACCACCTCCAAGTGCCTAACAGCTCCAAACCTCGTGCCCAGCAAAAACAACAGACCGTTCAGGCCGGGGTCGGCCGCAAGAGGACGTTCCTGGGCTTCGTCGATTGCGCCCTCGGTCTCCAACACGTTAGAACCTGTGGGGACCACGAGCCCCTCGTCGGCCGCAGATACCGTGCCAAGCGCAACACCTTTCGAATCATAGCGCTCTTTGGTGTCCTCATGATGCTCAGCCTCGCCGCTTCAATCACCCTGTTCGTCTACTTTGCCAGCACGGGCGGCGCGGGTCCCGAGTGGTTCGCCTGGATCGCGATCAGCGCGGCGGGTTGGATCTGTTCCTTGCTGGCCTTTATCATGGCCAAGCAATCCGAGAGGCGCGCACTGCATGATGTAGAGATCGCCCGACAAAGTACTCGACTGTCTAGCCGAGTTCAAGACGGCACGGCGGCCCCGGTTGCAATCGTTGGTGGTCCTGGTGCGAACAGGCAGCATGTCATGCCCGCCGGCTCTAGTGCTGCGACTGGTGCGCCTCCGGCGGTGTTCGGAAGGTACCGGGCACTCGAATTCATCCACGAGGAGGATGAGGCGCTCGATGCAGAGCATCGTTTGGATATGCTGGTTGCCAATCAGAGACCTCGAGGCGGAGGTGCATAGTGGGACTTGGACGGACTAAAGCAGGGGAGTTCTTGCAGTTCTATATTCCACTTCACCGATGATGGAAGTGGGGATCATCAAGCCTTTTCAGGCAAGTTGCCGCTCGACCTGTTTTGCGAATCTACTTATGAGTTTTTGAGTGGGTGTGGAAAAGAATATTTGCCCTGATGATTCGCCCGACATGGCGGTTGATAAGACGTGTGTGTATACAATGCGACCCTGGTATCTCTCTATGGTCAGTCCGACGTTGAGATGGAGAGCAACCTGCGGTAACCTGTGCTGTTCTAGTCGGCCGCAGGTGGGGGTAGCATCAGAGGAACACCTAGACACAACCAATCAAGAAACTCGTGAGACTGTTTTCCATGTTTCATTCCATTATGAACCGTTGGTTGACACCTTGGCCTAAAACTTACATTCCTTCTAATGCTGTGGAATACCCTGGGTTATGATTTCGTCCAGCCACGTGGTTCAAGAACGGCCGTCAGCATGAAGCTGAAGTTGATGGAGATTGCCTTGCCTTGCCTTCGGGGGACTGGGTTTGGCAATCTCGTTTGAGACATCAACAAAAAGCTCCAGCTCAATTTCCTGAATGAGGTTGTTGGAACGGGGGCTAATTGCTGCTGGCAACCAAGCATTCCACAGATGGCTTGGGTTCAAACTCTAGTGTGGTGATCTAGAGAGAACCCCGAACAAATGTGCTTGGCTGTTCCTCTTCTTCATAGAAAATTTCTTTACTCATCTGTCCGAGGACGCCTCCGTTGCTCCTTCCCTCTGCATGAAAGACATTTCACCAAAGATGATTGCCGCTGATTGGGTGCGGCACACGCGTGGTCAGCTGTGAGGATCCCGCGCCATCGCGTGCCCATCTCATCTCATATCAACAATGGGATAACATTTCTCACCTTCACCCACTGCCTCCTTTCTTTGCGGGTCTCAAGGTCTTGCTTTCTTCTCTTGCCGCGGTCTTTCACAACCCCTCTTTTCCACAAATCCCCCTCCGCCTTACCCCTCTCTCTTTATACTCCCTCATCCACAGTCACTACCGCGAATGCCTTCAGTCTGAGTAAGAGCAGCGACAGCAGTAACAACGGCAATAATGTCAATCCCACCCCAGGCCTCGTTCAGCTCTGAGACGACGGCGGTCGCCAGTCACGGAACAGCATACCCCTCGTTTCAGGAGCTCACTTCCTTCAAGCTACCTCTGAAAGATGATATCGTCGACTCTACCATTGACGACGTCCCTGACCACTTGAATGGGCTCAAAAGCACCCGTCGGATTGCTCCCAACCCGTCCACGCCCAGACATCCCTCTCCTGTCAGCACGGAGACCTCGGATGGCGACCTCACCCCTGAGGACACCCCTTCGACCGTCCATGGAGAGTCCATGTTCTATCCGCGTCACCCGCTGGCCAACCTCGCATCCTCCATCAAAGTCCCTGCGTCCCCGAGGTGGCCCTTCCAGAATGTTACTCCTCGAACCACGGTCATGGTACCCATTTCCCAAAGCATCACCAGCTCATCCAGAGCCCTCAACCTTAGCGGAAAACGCAGCACCATAGGTCACGTCAGCGTGTCCGAGTCCTTGGATGAGTTCCAGACCAGCCATCCGAACGCAAAGCTCCTCTCACTCCACCCTCGGCCCCTCACGTACAATAAGATTGGACGCAACCTCGCCAAAATACCGGAACTGGTCGAGAAGCCGGAGTGGAACGTGCAGCCTATCCATGGCATGCCGATGGAACACTACGAGAAGCCCAGACGCCCGAGCCCGCGCCTCTTCAAGATCCGCTTCCGCCGCCGCCGCCGCCACGAGAGACACGGTCACTCCGCCAAGCCCCAGACCTTCTGGTACCAGCGCATCAGCGTCGATAAGAAGATCTTCCGTGCCTCGGCCAGCATCACCATGTTCTTCCTCATCAACTCGTTCGTGTCGGCCTCGGCCCTCATCACCCTCACTACCGCCAGGCTCCCCGTGCCCCACGGCATCGTCGTCTGGGTCATCGTCAGCCTCAGCACCTGCGCCTTCACCCTGACGACCCTCTGCCTCATGCGCAAGTTCCGCAACGCCGTCATCTACGACGAGGAGCGCGGCGGCCACTCTCCCTACCCCGAGGTCCCCTTCGACGTCTCCCACATGTGCAATATGGACCTGCCCGCCAGCCCCACCGAGATCCTTCACCGTCGACAACTCGGAACCGCCGCCGCCGAGCAGGAGAAGATGCAAGCCGAGCGGACGAAGAACGGAACCATCGTGGACTCTCGAGAATCGGAAGTGGCCGCCACCACCCAGCCCTGTCCCGCCGGCCCTTTCGGCACTTTCGTGTCACAACACCCCCGCGACGCCGTCGCCGAAGACTACTGGACCGACGATTCTGTCATCGTGTCGGCCGGCTCCGAGACCAGCTCGACGACTGCCGTCATCCCCTCGCCGCCCAAGGCAACAGTGGAGGGACGCCGGACGGGAATGTTTGACGACGGCCCGCTACCGCAGCAGGAGGACGATGGATACGGCTTGGGCGACCTGGAGCTTCCGCGTTGGGACGAATGGTTGGCGTGGGACTGAATGGGACGCAAAGCGCAGGCGATCTCGACAATGATACCCGGTGGCGATGGCGTACTCAGTTTCGGGCGTTTGTTTCTCTTTTTCTCTTTTCTGTTCTTTGTCTCTCTTCTGTTCTTTTTATTTCTTATTTTTCTTGAAACGGCCAATGTGGATTCACTAATACCAAGCACACAACGACTTTGGGGGGAGGGTATTGCGCAAGAAACTTGGCAAGCGGTATCAGGATGACTTGATTACTGTATGAGAACACTATCAATGATCATTAATGATCATGCATGCGACACCATGAAACACATCTGGCTTTTGTGGTCAAAATTCCGTGCCTACAATGCTATACTTGATGGCAGTACTGCTTACATAGTGAAGATGGCTAACTGAATTGTGAGTCGACTGATTGTAGGTTGTCCAGTTGGATCTGGTGTGAGTGAGCATGCGCTTGAACAACAGACCCAATACCATACATTCCCGAGACTTGTTGTCCCCTTTCTTAACCCCGCATGCACCTTCTTCTTCTACAATGTGAGAACTGATTTCATTGTCCTGAGCCTCGAATCGTCTCGATATTTCTCTACGCCGCTGACAGCAAAGAGGGAGGAGACACTTGCTGGAACGTATGTGAAACGATAAACTAATATAGCTCAAGGCATGGCCAGAAAAAATGAGTGTCTTGAGTCCTGTCATGAGACAGCTGCACTCTCTGACTGTGTTTCTTGCCATAATTATGGGCAACAGCAATGTGTATGCACTTAATGAACAGGGTTCTTTTCATATGCCGTTATCCCGGCGAATGGAGTGAGCCTGAATGGCTGTGGTCGACCTGGGCCTAGTATTATCAGCTCTGCAGCCCCGGCTATGGGTAGTACCTACAGGGCGCTCCAAGAGTCATATGGTCGGTGCCTCTTCTCGCCCTGCATTTACCCTGCGTGTTTGGTCCCTTGATCATTCTTCCCATCCTCGTCGTCAGAGGAGGAGAGCAGGGCGTCGTCTTCCAGTACCCAGTCGTCCAATAAGATATCCTCGGCATCCAACCTCCTATACTTCCTCGTCCTACACTTCCTCAAGACGAAGACGGCCCCGGCGACAGCCCCGGACAAGGTGGCGACAACAAACCCGATCAAGAACCACGCCCTCCAGCCTTTGAGACAGCAGGGGTACAGCGACATGTAGATGCCCACGCCCCACTCCATCCACCCCAGCTTCCGCGCGTTGTCTGGCTTCAGGCCCTTCCGGACGAGGTGCTTGTACCGCGGGCCCGTCGGGCCAGACTGGAACCGTTTGAGCTTGAACCACGGCACCGTTTTCTGGCGCGGGTCCGAGTCCGGATACGACACGTCTCCCCAGCGGCCCGAGTAGTAGAAGAAGGACGTCAGATTCGACGACTCGGGTGGTGCGGCGGTTAGTTGGCCGGGCGGATCCAGTCGAGTCAAGGTGAATGACTTGGGATCGAAGCGATAGAAGTAAGCCGAAAGGACGGGATCCCATCTCTTTCCTTGGTCGCAGTAATCTACCAAGACGGCATTGTGGATTTGGTCGCTGACAGACAGACTGGGTTAGACGGAGGCCGGCGGCGATACATGGGGGGTAATGGAGCTTACCCCGGCGTTGGATAGTTTGCATGAGATCCGCATGCACTATATACTATTGGCTACGGCGCGTTAGCGAACCAACCTCATCGGGGAAAAAAGGGCTGGGGTGAGTTGGCTTACACGCCCGTCCGTCTTGGACAGTTCTGGGTCGTCCCAGTTATACGACGAGCCGTCAACGTGCTGGCTAAAGTAGATGCCGATAGGTTTCCCATCTCGGAAGCGGATCATGTTGTGCTCCCTTGGGACCAGTCTGTGTCAGCAAAAGGTACATCCATAAGGAGAGTTCGGCAGTCGGGGGGAGGGTGGAGGGGTTAACATACCAGTCGCCAATGTGGTCACCAAAGTGCATACCCGAGGCCGCCTCCCCACCCTTGACGATGTGGTTGAAGGGCTCCAAAACCTGGGTGACGTTCGGGCCCTCGTTGTACGAGTAAAAGTAAAAGTAGAAGGCGTCGACATCGCGTTCGTTCTTGTCGACCAGGATCACGACGCAGGGCGTGGCGTCGCGGACTCTACCGTCCGGGTCCGGGGGTGTGCCGAGAAGCCATGGCGGATGGGTGGTGGGATCATCGTCGGAGGTGAGTGCCACGTTGTCCCCGAACTGGTTGAGAAGCTCGAGATTGTCCAGGTCCAGCGGCGGCAGGTCAGGCACGGGGCTCCGGTCCAGGAGAGGCGATGTGTGGCGGACGTGGGTGAGGAGATCGCTGGGCATGTAGCGGTCATGCGAGTGCAGCCACAGGAGAGGTGCTGTTAACATTGACTATTTAGGGTTTTTTGCCTTTTGATGTGTGTGCTGCTGCATCGTGGGAGGGTGGGTGGCTGGCTTACCGTGGCTGGTGACGTAGTTGGGGCACTGACGATCCGCGCCGTTCCGCTCCGCCAGGGTCGGGGGGGTGGAGCATGCGAGGAGGCCGATCAGCAGGAGGGGGAGGCCCCGAGGCCGGATGGCCTGCATAAAAGCAGATGCAGCATCGGCCATCTGGTACGCCTCCTGATTCTTCTAAACGTCGTTCGCAGAACAGTCTCTTTGCATCAGGGAGAGGGGAAATAAAACAAAAGAGAAAGAGGGACGCCAACAGTCAATCAGTCAGCCAGTCAGTATGGGCGTAGGTGCTAAGGTAGGGTAAGGGTACGTATGCTTACTTAATCAACTAAGCCAAATGTGTTTACGTCAGCAGCACCGTGTGGAGACCTCTCCGGGAGGGCGGCCGGTTAGAGAGACCGGAACCCTCGGAGTGGGGCTGGAAGGCGCGCAGATGCCCTCTCTTTTGTATGTACAGTTTCCTTGCTGAAGGCATTCCGGGCATGTCGTGACGAGTCTTTCTTGCGCGGCCGTTTGCGACATAATGAGCTGGATCAGGGCCCTTCGTGATAGTAGTGCAAGTAAGATTGAAGAGAAAAAAGACACGGGCGGCGTTTCGAACATGGCGTCATGCTAGCTGGGCAAACGGAGCTGGTCCCCAGGGTTCTCCATGTTGCAACGACACTTGGTTTTAGCCTCGTTCTCGTTATCTGCGTTGCAAATTGCAGTGGTAGCAATGCATCATCTCTGCAATCAAAAACCGGTTGGCACCTACGCCCACGTGTCTTGGTCCGACTTGGCGGCTCATACGAAGAGACTTTCGGTGGCAAGAAGCGGGATAGAGTTTTTGACCACATGCCCGGAATTTGGAGTTCCCAAATCAAGTTGATATTGCATTCTTATATGGCACTCGGAATAGGCTTCGTTTCACGCGTTTGTGTTTGAGGCGCAACGCCTTCCAGTCGGTGTCCTCAGTCGATGAATCGGTTTCCCCAGGGTAAAGAAAGTGCTGATCTCGATGCTGTTCCTGGTGTACACGGCATCAAAGCCGTGGCCGTAAGATTGAGTTGGGGTGCCTAAACTTACCGTCACACGTCGAAACGCGGCTGTGCCTTCAAATGGCAACACGCGCGGCGATGAGCCAGCCTTGAATTCCCGACGTCGTAGTCGCCTAAACATGCTTCCCGAGCGATTCGGACTTGAGACAACACTGACTATCGCGGAAAAGGTTAGTCGATCGCCGAGATCCGTCGCCATCTCTGCCATAGGATATACTTAAGTACTATACGTCCTTCGGGAGCTTGTCGCTGGTTTCCAGGCCGTGGTCGACCTTGGCCAAATGGAACTTGATGGAACCACCGTCAGGATCGACGTGGATTGGGGCGTCTCTGCCATCCCCACCACCCATCACCCCGGACAAGGGTTCAATAGGCATTCTTTCGCGGGGATGTACCATGCGTGTGCGCCTCTTACGTTAGTTTAAGCCTGATACAGCAATAATCGTCATCCCCCTCCATCCTGCGCAGCGAACTAACTGCGTACCTCCCTTGTAAGAAAACGCTCGGAACTAGGTACTCTTCTTTCCCCTTTCCTATTGGCGGTGAGGTAAAACCCCCGGTACTTATGGTACACGATGTACTTATAGTCAGAAAGAAGCTAAGGAACAACCAAGCTTCCCCAAGCTTTGCTGCCAATGCCATGGAGGGGCAGCGCCCTTTTGGCTCGTTCTCACCCTGCGTCCTTGGTGGTACTACGTGGGCAAGCCGAGACCAGGCCGAATCACTGCTCGATGGCGATGCCGACAGGTTGCTGCAGCATAAGCTGGCGTGGTTGAAGGGGTTCGTTGCGTGCGTTAGACAGTCTACCCCGCAGGAAGCTTGACCAACTAAGTCGGGGCGCGTGTGTGTGTCTCACTCTGACTAGGCTCATATTATGTGTACCTCAGTCTCTCTGGTGACAGTTGCATAGCTCGATTCTGGTGTGGTGTGTGTGTGTGTGTGACTCTACATCGGATGACTTTCTCCTGTTCCCTCTCCTACCATGTCTCAAAAGTCGGCCGGCCAACCTACTTTCCCTTCCCCCGGCCATCTGCTCGCCCGACGCCCACGACGTTGCGGTGCATATCATGCATGGGACGAAGCTTAACCCATTCGCCTGTGGTTAAATTACGGGACGGCCAAGCCTTGCCCTCTCCAACGGGTAACTGAATATTTAACCTGAACCACCCCCTCCTCCCATCGGATGGGACGACACATGCACACTCGCCTGCCGGGCACCGCGTAATCTAATACCAACGGGCGTTGCTGACCACGTTGCGCGAAGAGTAGCCTTGCTTCCACTGTACCACGACTATTCAAGCAGACACCATGGCCGCGCCCGAGAAGAGACTCGACGCAGACTCACCAGCGTATGTTTTTCCTCCCCCACCTCCTTCGCTTTTCATTCGTACGATCCAGTGATGCGAACCGAACCGGCTTGACTCACACAATTCCCTGTGTGTAGCTTCACCAAGGATGGCGTCTACAACCACGAGGAGCGCAAGAAGAGCATCGCCGAGCTGACCCAGAACCTCGAGGGGGAGATCAAGAACCCCCTCCGGGGCATCCCCAAGGCGGAGCTCCTCGAGCAGGTCACCGACTATCAGCGGTCGTACGGCCTCCCCGACGACATCCTCCCGTTGCTGAAGAAGGGCGCCCTGGTCGCGCAGAACCCGGCCTTGTTCGAGGATCTCGATGAGCTCGACGAGGCCGAGAAGCGGGCGCTGCGCGAGGAGGTGACGCACCGGTGGAAGCACCCTTGGCCGCTATACTACACCATCATCCTCAACTCCATCGCCGCCGCCATCCAGGGATGGGACCAGGTAAGCTCCCCCCCTCCCTATTGCGCGCTTGTCTGGGGAGCCGGCGCCACCTAGTCGTCGTTCCCGTTCTGTGCCTCGCCCGCATTTGACGCGTGCAGCCTATGATCTAACGGTGTGTGGGCTGCGTAGACCGGCTCCAACGGCGCCAATTTGGCGTTCCCCGTCGCGCTTGGCATCCCCGACGCCGCCGGCTCAGCCTGCGGCCCCTTCGCGGACGAGGGCGAATGCGCCAAGAATAGCTGGATCATCGGTCTTGTCAACTCCATGCCCTACATCACCATCTTCATGTTGTAAGTCTATGACGCGCACGATGCTCATCGCCGGGTAGCTTCGTTGTGTTGCTTGTGAGAGAAAGCCCTCTTGGCTAATTGTCCCCGTTGCAGCGCCTGTTGGATATCCGATCCCCTCAACGAGCTCCTCGGCCGTCGCGGCGTCATCTTCATCGCCGCCATCTTCTCGCTGCTCGCGCCGTTCGGCATGGCCGTCTCGCAGACATGGGGCCAGCTCGCCGCGTCCAGGTACCGATCTCCCCCCTCCTCGGCATTATTTTCAAGCCAACCCCCTTCCGCATGTCACTGACCACCGCTGGCAGGATGCTACTCGGAATCGGCATGGGCCTGAAAGAAGTCACAGTCCCCGTCTTCTCCGCTGAAAACTCCCCCACACTTATCCGCGGCGGCCTGGTCATGTCTTGGCAGGTCTGGACCGCGTTCGGTGAGCCTCACTCTAGTCCTTCCCCCCAACAATGAGCCAAGACGGGACGGGATCCCTTGATGTTTCTTGTTGTTTCTTAGGGTTCTCTTGGCTCTCTCTTGGCAACGGAACGAACCCCCACCAAAAGTGCTAATTCGAGAACGCACAAAAGGCATCTTCCTCGGCACGTGCGCCAACCTCATCGTCGGCAGGACGGGCGACATCGCCTGGCGCCTCCAGTTCGGCTCGGCCTTCATCCCCGCCGTGCCCCTCGTCATCGGAACCTACTTCTGCCCCGAGTCACCCCGGTGGTACCTCAAGAAGGGCCGCCACCTCAAGGCCTGGGGGTCGCTGCTCCGCCTGCGCAACACGCCGCTGCAGGCCGCGCGGGACCTGTACTACATCCACGCGCTGCTCGAGTACGAGGAGACGCTGGTGCAGGAGGCCGGCCTCAAGGTCACGAGCAACATGTTCACGCGCTTCGTCGAGCTCTTCACCATCTCGCGCATCCGGCGCGCGACCTGGGCCGCGGGCATCGTCATGATTGCGCAGCAGATGTGCGGAAGTGAGTACAACAACCCTGGAGCCGCGGTGTCGAAGTTCAAAGTGGCTGACATGCAAGGGCAGTCAACATCATCTCGTTCTACAGCGCGACCATCTTCAAGCAGAGCGGCATCAGCGACTACACTGCGCTCTGGGCCAGTTTCGGGTTCGGCCTGATCAACTTCACATTCGCGTGGCCCGCCGTCTGGACCATCGACACCTTTGGCCGACGGACGCTTCTGCTCTTCACGTTCCCAAACATGTTTTGGACTCTGCTAGGTTCGTCATCACCAGACATCCCATCGCAAGGCCTCTTGGGAAAACCCCCCTTCCTCCCCATCCCAGACTGACATGCCCCGTCTATAGCCGCCGGCCTCTGCTACCTCATCAACGACAGCACCGCCAGAATCGCAGCGGTGGCGACCTTTGTCTACCTCTTCGCCGCCTTCTACTCCCCAGGTAAGTCCCGCCAAATCCCCTTCAAGAAACGCCCCGCCCAATACTGACCCCCCCTCCCCAGGCGAGGGCCCCGTCCCCTTCATGTACTCGGCCGAGGTCTTCCCCCTCTCCCACCGCGAAGTCGGCATGTCCTGGGCCGTCGCGACCAACAACTTCTGGGCCTCGGTGCTCTCCCTGACCCTCCCGCGCATGCTCATCGCCATGACCGCCACCGGCGTCTTCTCCTTCTACGCCGGCCTCAACCTCGTCGCCCTCGGCCTCATCTTCCTCTTCGTCCCCGAGACGAAGCAGAAGTCCCTCGAGGAGCTCGACTACGTCTTCGGCGTGCCCACCCGCAAGCACGCGTCCTACCAGCTCGGCACCGTCCTGCCGTGGTGGACGAACACGTACGTCATGCGACGCAAGGTCGGCCCCTGCCCGCCGCTGTACCACGAGGAGAACTTGGACGGCCGGCGCGGCGACGCGTAATCGTTGCATGGGCTCACACGCGCCGCAAGCCCCGCGCGCCTTGGATAGACCTGTGGGGACGGGGAAGGATACGACTTTCTTGGCGGGCAGTCTTTTATACTGGTGTCTGATGTTGTAGTCTCCGTTGGGAGATCGTACTATACCCCTCGTTAGTGCTAAATGTGCAAATCCGTTGCCGTCGAACATCACGCCCTCCCAAAGTTTTCGTTCATGACAGGTTCAAGATATCTGCAGTATTTGCGATTGTGCTATAAATGATTCATCGGCTTTGGACACAGCTCTACACCGGGTCAATGCCGTAATGACAGAAACGTTCAATGTCCTCCTTCCCCTCCCTCCCTATTCCCATCACAAAACCGACTCTAGAGCGAGTATCGGAACTGTCAAGGTTAGCGTCCGCCTTTCTGACGGGGGTTGACGGGGCTACTCACGTAGGGGTTCTCAAAATCGGTGTAATCCTGCTCGCCGTACTCCTTTCCCCGCCTCGCCCTCTCCTCGGCCGTGAGGCCGTCGGTGGCCATGTCGGCGTCCCTCTTCTTGTTCCGCCTCACCAGAATCCAACGCCACGTCAGGATCAGCGTGAACTCGAGGCCGAAGCAGATGGCGCACGCGATGGTGCCGGGCGTGTACTTGGGCGCGTCCTTTGCGCGGAAGATCTGGCTGCCGACCATGTTGCCAACGCAGTAGCCCACAAATGTGAAGCTGCTCGTGATGGTGCGCTTGGTGCGGCCGGCCGTGTTGCTCGGGATCAGGGACCAGGCGAGGAAGAGGCCGAGGACGAAGGGCACGGTGATGAAGTAGCACCCCCACTTGGACCACTTGATGGCCGGGTCGTTGGGGAGAAGGGACATGCCGAGGAAGCCGGCAAAGGGCGGGAGCACCGACGAGGCCATGATCCAGAGACGGAGGTTTGCGCGCCTGCTGGTGACGAGGCCGACGGTGATGAAGATGAGAACGGACAGGACAGAACGGGGGATGTCGATGAGGATGGTCTGGAGGTTGGCTTGGAGAGTGTTAGTAATTCGAGCCCGGCGTTGAAGAGAGCAAAAAGGGGGACACGTACTGAAACCGAACGAAGTCATGATGATGTTGCCAAAGGTCGTGAGGCCGCCGTTGGGCACGGAGCTGAGGAAGGCGTTCAAGCCGGCGAACCAGAAGCAGGGGTCAACAAAACACTCCCGGACCTGCTTCCACTTCCACCCCTTGATGGCGGTGCGGTCGTGGCCGGTGTTGTTGGACATGATGCGCGCGCTCGCCTGTTTTTGCTGGTCAGCTGCCAATCCGGAACACGGAAGCCGCCAAGAAAATTTACCATCGCCTTCTCCGCCTCGCTCAGCCACTTCACCTCTGAAGGTGTACCCAGGAGGAACAAGCAGAGACACCCGATGGCGGTGGTGAGACTGCCCAGGAACTGCAAGCTGTCAGATATCCGGCCCGCGTACGACGTACGTTCCACAGAGGTCGACTCACGTAGGAGATGTACCGCCACGGCTCTGCACCCTCCTTGTGCTGCGTTGAGGCGCCGATGCCGTACATGATGAGAGAGGCGATGACGCCAAATCCGGCGTTGGCGCTCTGGAACACGAGCGCCCGCGAGGCGTGCTCTTGCGTCTTGTACCAGGTGCCCACGAGCAGGATGAAGCCGGGCGAGATGCAGCACTCAAAGGCGCCCTGGAGGGCGCGGAGGACGATGAGGTGGGTGAAGTTCTTGGCGAAGCCGATGCAGAGGACGATGATGCCCCAGCAGATCATATACACGGAGAGGGTACGGCCCATTTTGTAACGCTGGAGTAGGATGTTGCTTGGGAACTCGAAGCACATGTATGTGATGTCTGGGAGACGTGGTCAGCTTCGCGAGACAGACGGGATGGCCGAGGGACCGGGGAGGAGGGGAGAGAGCGTACAGAATATGGTCGTCAGCCATGAGTATTCTTGTCCCTTCAGCCCTGTGTCCTCGCGCAGACCGAAGATGGCCTGAGTGCCGAGGGCGGTCTTGTCCACCTGTTGGATGCCATAGCAGAACCACATGAGCGGGAGGAGATACTTGTCGACCTTGCGCTTGAGCTTATGGAACTCGTCCTCTGTGTATCGGGCTTCCACGGAGACTGCGCCGATCGTGTGTCAGCCGGTCAGGGAATTTCCCAGGTGGGCTTTGCAGCCGTTCGCAAGAAGGAGTAAAGGTACTCACGAAGGTCCGTCTCGCCATTCTTCTCGCTCGCGTTGTCGGACTGGTCCGTGACGACGGCGACCTTCTTCTCCGATATGGGAGCCTCCAGATCTTGAGGCGATGCCATAGCTGCGGTAGTCCTCAAAGGAACTTCGGTGTAAGAGGCCGGGTCCGAGGAGATTCGCAAATAATAGGAGATGGAGCGAGATGGCGTGCCGTGCTGATGGCGATACAGCCGTCACGTATGCGCACGGGACCTCACTTATATGAGCACCCTATCCGCCATGACTGTCGTCTACTGGTGGTCACTGCTGAAGGCAACGTAACCCCTCATCCCAAAAGTCGAGATAAGGGTTTCTGCGGAGAGGGGGGAGGGAGGGACTGAGCCGACGATCGCTGCCTCCAACACTGGATAGCCGACCGCGGAGTTATCCTGGTGGACCTGTGGCGGACGGCCGAACCAACATGGAGAGTATATCATTTCAGCAGGCGAAGTTGACATGTCAGTTTGGTACTGTAGTAGTTCCGTGGGCGTCAAAAATGGGTCCTATATCGCAGGCTATTCCCAGATCTTATTCGGGCATGCATCCATCGACTCGAGGCAATTGGGGACGAGGTGAACGTATGTCCGATGATGCGATAACAGGCTCGAAGGACAAGTAAGGTCGAATGAAGGATATCGCCCCGCCGGATAACGAGACTCAGTCTTTCAGAGGTGACTATCCTGCAGGGATGGAGTTGACGATGTTACCCTGCCTGTGCCGCGAAGCTGCATCGCGTCTTGGCCGACGACGAAACGCTTGATAGGAAGAAACTTAATATGGGACATGATAAGGCGGAGACGGAGTGATGACCGAATAACCCATTAGCGGCCTACATTGTCCGACGACCGGACGCTGGAATCAGTCGATATATCGGCCTGTCTCCAAGTCGCAATGCAGGGAAACTAAAGAATGAAAGAGGGCCGGGTTCCCTTTTGCCGACTGCCAGGATGTCGAGTCCACGAGGGGGGGGTGGCGGAGGAAGCCGGGGTAGTTCTTATCACTATCCCAACTGTGAACATGGGAGAGGCGCTGGGTGGACCCGAATATGATAACAGATGAAGATGATATGTTGTCATCCGTGTTGACTTATCCTCCGTGACGCGGCCAAAGGCGTGACAAAAATAGAAAAACGTCGCCGAGTGCGGTATCTGTTTACGGTGTCTGCTTACCTGATGCCAGAACAAATGACTGATAATCCTCGGAGGCCCAGGTTGCGGTTGAACCTGATGGGAAGAAGATACGGGAAAGATAAATAAATCAAACTTTTTATTTGTATATAAACGCCGGGCAGACAAGCATGACCATGGCCCGCTACACGGCCTTGGAGGCGCGGGACTTGTTGTCCCGGTGCCGCCTCTCCTTGGCGGCCGTTTTCCGGCGCTTCATCCACGACTGGTTGAGGTTCTTGCGGTTGTCCCAGAACCACTTCTGGAAATCGCCGCCGGGTCCCGCCGCCGCGCCGCCGCTCTCGGCCTCGGCGTTCCGCTCCGCATTCAGCGTCGCCTCGATCTCCTCCCGCGTCTCCTCGTCGTCCTCCTCGTCATCGCCCTCGGCACCAATGGCCCAAAACGGCTTCATATGGTTCGGGTGCGCCGTGTCGGGCGTGGGTGCCGCGCTTCTAACGTTGCGCCACTCAAACTCCTCTGCAGTGAAGGGGGTCATGGGCAGCTGGCCAGCCGCCGCAACGTCTCCCTCGTCCTCCAAGTCGACGTTATTGGCACCACCGCTGAAAAAGCTGAAAGGCTCGGGCTTTTTGGCGGCTTGAGGGTTCCCGTCATCACCCTGCTTCGGGCGTTTGTAGAGGGCCTCGAGAGGGTGCACCTGCGACGGGGTGGAGGGTGGGGGTATCTTGATAGTAAGACTGACGTTGGAGCCAGCGGATATGGGCCGCGATGCATCGGCGGCCCTGATGGCAGGCAGAGGGGTTTCGAAAACGGATGGCTCAGAAGGCTTTGCAGCATCGGTCATTTCTTCGTCGTCTGAACCATCTTCGGAGCTAGTGTCGGCCGGCGAAGAGCCGCTGCTGCTGGTAGTATCGTCCTCTGTACGCGGCGGCCTCGGCGTCTGCTTTGCAGGTGTCACTGGCGACGCCTTGACCTGCTCCGGCTCATTGTCCGAGCCCTCGTCTGAGGAGGTATCGTCATCGGATGACGTGCCGCTGCTGCTTGTGTCATCTTCATCCTGAGGCGGCGGAGGCGGCGGAGGGGCCTTGGCCTTCTTCGACGCCTTGGGTGCTTTGGACTCGGGGACGGGCGCCGTCGCCGTTCTCCTCGTCTTGGGCGGCTCGATGACGTTTCCCTGGGCGTCTACCCATCCTTTGCCTTCGACATACTCGGTGGTGAGCGACTCAACGGGCGCAGGTTTGGCGGCCTTGAGAAAGGTGGGGAACTTTGTCGTCTTCTCGAACTCGTGGATGATGACCTCTTTGGACCTCTTCTTGCGCTTCTTGCGTTCGGGTTCGTCCTCGGCCTCGGTCGTCGCCGGAAGCTGCTTCGCGGGCAGCTTGGTCTTGAGCAAGCACTCCTCCTTTTCGGTGTACTTGGACCGTTCCTCACGCTTTTTGGTCTTGTCTTTCTTATCTTTCTTTTCCTTGTCCTTCTTGCTCTTCTTCTCCCTTATCTTGGCCTCCTCGGGGACGGTCCATCCTCGCTTGACCTTGCGATCGTGCAGCTGAACACCCTCGACAACGTTGTCGTCGCGCTTCTGCCGCTTCCTCTCCTCTTTGTCCCTGGACTTCTTCTTCCGCTTCTTTCCCGTCTCTTCGTCTTCGGGAACGGGAGTGTATTCCTCGAGGGGACGGGCCTTTTCGATGCGCATCTTGACGCCCTTCAGCACGGCACCGTTGAGTCTCTTCTTGAGCTTTTCGGCGTCCGTCTCGGGAAGGTCGACAAAGCCGTAGCGCTTCTCTGGAAAGGTCTCGATCGTGTGAAATGATATATTGCGGGCGTTTGGCAGGGCCGAGGACGGGACGACAATCTTCAAGAGGTCCTGGTCCAAAGGAGTGATATGTAACCTCGTGTAGGCGCTGCTGGTATCGGATGAAGGTCCAGCAGGGTCGTGAGTAGTCGGTGCGACACTTGAGGTCATGACTAATTAGATATTATCGAGTCGATGGAAGGGTCAAAACGAACAGGCTTGTGACGCTGGCTCGGCGTCGTTTGCCCGTCGAGTCGAAATGTCGAAAAAACGGCGATGCCTTGAGAGCTCAGCTAACGAAGCTTCCAATGAGGATTTTGCCGATCCAGTCGAAAACCCTTTTGTTGCGCAGGGATTTTTATTGGCCCAGATGCATCTCTGGCGCTGGACAGTAAACAGGCATACGCACTGTATTACAGCACTGTCCGACCCCCGCCAGTGCTTGCTTATGTCATCTCGCCATTTCTCTGGAACCTTGCTTCTAGAACATGATGAACAGCAACGTCTTCGTTACATATTATGTAGGTAATTATTGCCTATCAATGAGCTCAATCAAGCATCGATAAAAGGTCTCACTTCAGTTCAGTTGGAGTTGGTCACAATATGATTGTTCCATAGACTGTACCGAGATGTTCTTCCACCGCCGAGGGCGATGGGGAAAGACGACTCACGATTGTGCCTTCTCACCATGCTGCTCAGTAATCGATCCCCTTTGTCAATTGAGGAAGCCGTCATGAATCTTGAACTGTTTCATTATTAAGAAAGTGCTGTCTTCCGGCATTCCTTGTCTATTATGGTGTGCGGTCCATTCAATCGCCCATTGGGATTCTCTTCTACATCATACCCAACATCGTCAACCCTAGCGACGCCTTGTCCTTCCAGCCTTTCTCGTCAAGGTCTTACCACTTTGACTTTGATCTCCTCCCTTCATTTCCTTAACCAGAGTATTCCTTGACCCCCGTTCCTTTTTTGGACTCTCTTCTTGTTCCCCGGCCCATCTTTCGGACATGAGCAACGGCTTCAGCCCCCGCGACCATGATTTCCGAAAGGCCCTGTCGACTGAAGAGCCTAATGCCTCCGTCCACGAACGATCTCGAATAACGCAGCTGCCTGGGGTTTTTGTACCATCATGTCAAAATGGTTCTCTCATCTACCCAACAACCACGCAGAAGAATCCAACCCATCAGCGACGCGTATCCATCGTCCCGCCAGCACCATCCACCGCGCTCAACTGGAGCTTGCGTAGCCATGGCGATGATGTAACTATGGACTGGGTTCCTCAAGCCAGCTCAGTGTTCCGTCGACCCTCTCGTTGTATGAGTGTAGAAGAAACTTTCAATATCCATTCCCACAATTCAGAATCTGTCGATGAGCATCTCGGTGAAGCGGAAGCGGTGGTTGTATCTGGCGAAAGTAACAATGATTCTCATCCACCATCTTGTCGCTACCTCAACTTGTTGCTAACAATTTTGTATAGCCAACAACATCCCTGCCAGCGAGCGACTTGCTCTACCCTTTTTACACGATGGTGTCAGACCGGAGCATACTGCACCGACTACCGCCAACCAGCCTTCCTCGATGACATCAATACGAGCCCATGCCGGCATTACGAACGCCGAGAACGCCGACACTATCCACCATGATCCAATGTTCGTTCAGCCGGAGAAAAATGCAAATAACCAAGGGCGATCTGGCTACAAATTATGGGGCAAAACTCATATACGGATGCAGCGCATCATGGCGAAGGTCCGAGACAACCTTGCTGGGAACCGGAAGGCAGAAGTCAACCTACCCCAAGAGACGGATCAGCCCGCTACCAGTTCACAAGAATCTTACCAGTATGTTATAGATGACAGTCAAGTCCAGCGTGTTGTCGAGATCGTCTTGCAAGAGATGTGCAAGCATGATCCCAGCTCTCAAAGCACACCACCTACCGAATCTTATCAGCCAATAAACAACTCGGCACCCAAGTGGCTCTCAAGGAAGCCCAGTTGCCTCAAATCGTCCATTGAGCCTCAACTTTCAACTACAGCTGACCCTGCAACTACTATCAGCGAGCCAGAGACTTCCTTCGTTGCTCGAAGCGCTTCAGATGGGCAGATATACTCAAAAACAAGGCCTCAACAAGTACCTTCGACGAAAATTGTTTGTCAGGCGGGCAGTACTGATATCCAATGGCTCGGCAACAGTGGAATTGACCCAAATGTGCCCCGAAGCACTCTTCACATGTTCGATGCGTCCACCGACATTGAGCCTAGTCACACACCAGGTCCGTCAGCTGCACACGGAGTAGCTGACTCTGATGGGTTTTCTCTTGATCCTCAGCTTGGGTCCAAGTCCACCCAGGACAAGGCAAACATAATTGAATCGGTCATACATGACGATGAGGACAAGAGTTGTAAAATGACATCCTTCCCAGCACTCTCGAAGCGACATTGCACCAATGAATGGTTGAGCCCTGCAAGCTTTACTGACTCAAAAACTGGTACCGACATGTATCATCTTGGCATCGACGCAAGATCCAGTGGCATCGCCTCGATCACCCGCGCGCTGGCTGCAGAGCAAGTTGAGCATCCGAGCGAGGCGAGTGACTCCCTAATTGCATCAGCCGAAAGTGGAAAGCAACGATCTGCTGAGCTCGCCGACCCCCTCATACCAAAACATCCAGACCCCAAGCCTGGCTTCATGCAGAAGCTTACCCGAAAGATGAGTTCCGTATTTCAAGGTTCGGATAGAGTTGGCCGCCCAACACGAGCACCGGCACCTTCAGAGACAGAAGGACAGGTTTCTGGCAAGTTGACAGAGGGGCTCGGTGCAAGCCGACCACTCGCTGGAGACCAAGGTCCAGACGCTGGTTCTTTTTCTGAGCCCGAGCCTGACACTGTCTACCAGGCCATGGCCTTGTTGAAGCCAGGCAAAGGAGAGCCGCAGCGTCGGAGCACTTGTTCCGAGGACAACACCCCACATCAGTGTGACGATGATCTCAGTACGTCGGAAGTGCCAACACCCTGTACCCAAAGGACCCCTTAAACCATTGTGGGCGAGCCTGAAAGTAGAAATGGAGGAACAGCAGATTAGCCTAGATATTCGTCGTCCTTGTTCTCGATTAGACGAGTCCCGTTACCTATGTCACTCTTCATTAACTATCAAATGCCTCAGCATACGCGAGCAACGCCTTGCGGGTGAGTTTCTTGAATATGAACTTGCACCTGAATCATCGCGTAACCGTTCTAGTCTCCAGAGGATGTGCGATTTAACATTGGATTCTGGCTTTCTACATTGAGCTGGCCACCAGTTTGGCCAGATGAAATGAGCCATGGAATGCCACCCCCTTCTTGGCGGTGGATTGCGACGCCTGGCATTGCAACAGTTATACTAGCGACTGGTAGGTCGGTCATAAATGCGTGAAAGTGAAGCAAAGTAAACGGTGACTACTGCGATAGCAATTCCTTGGTATTCTCCTCATAGATCTCAATTCACCCTTTCTGTTCTCAGTCTCATTGATGAGTGGCTTCATGGATCCGTCCGGGGCCGCCGTAGGAATGAAACGTTGCCGATGGTAGCCGAATCTCGGTACACCCGCCCCACCGACGTTTCCCCGCATTGCAATGATACCAACATATACCAGAGTTGAGGCATAGCCATCATCAAACAACGGGCGCTTGGTCTAGGGGTATGATTTTCGCTTCGCATCTTCTGATCTCACTCAAGAGATTCAGATGCCCATGTGAAAGGTCGTGGGTTCAATTCCCACAGTGTCCAATCTTTTACTGCTGTTGCCATCTCTTTTGATGCATTGTTTGCTTGAAGTTGTCGTGAGGTATCAACAATGGTGGGTGAGTGAGTGAGTGAGACGACGATATGTGGTGTGGTGCGGTGGTGTTGATGACTAAGAGAGTGGGTGGGTACAGGCAGGCAGGTGTAAGTAAGTCTATGTGAGCAAGCAAACAGGAAGGTGCAAGCAAACAGGAAGGAGCGGGCAAACAGAAAGGAGCGGGCCCAGCCAAAGCAACACCATCAACAACACAAATTCCCCTGCGAAGTTCTAAGCCCCTGGCTGTTGTCTACAACTTTCACCTCGACTTTCGTCACTTTCAAAGAAATCATTTCCACTTTGATCCTTCATCTCGTCTTATACTTCATTTCGACTTTCGTCTTGACAACGTCAACGACGCAGACGTTTCCCCTACTTCGCACCTCAACCGCAACATGAACGAAAACTCCCACCTCGGATACCCTACGTGGAAGCGAAATGTCGAGCTCCAAAAGGCACAGAACCAAGCCACCGACTTCTGGTGTACCCTTTGCAAGTCCATCGCCCCTGATGGCGCGAACCTGGAGACATTCCAGACCATCGATCTTCTAGAGGCACACATGAATGAGTCTAATAGCGATGGCATCGCCGGTTCACCCGCCTGGGGAGCAGACGAGACGCTTGTGCAACAACACCAGGCATTGAAGGGAGATCTTGGCTGGGACAGCCCTGGCTTCCGTGCATCGACGGTAGCTGAAAAGCCGCGCCAGGAAAGAAGAGCAGGCAAGCGAAAAGAGCGAGGATGGATCTTTGAGAACCTTGAGGAGCTGGACGAGCCTCTCGAGATACGCAACAGTCCTTAGGTGGTACTAGGCGGTCCGAGAAAGCGATACCCTGCCCTCGACAATAGGGACATTACTGTTTTGACGCCAGTTGGTGAGCTATCGCTGGACTCTACGGCAGATGTCTGGTTGAAGTTTTCAAAGATATTGTAAGTAGTATGTGCCTGCCTGCTCTTGATATGGTTAAATAGGCAGAACGGTGGCAGCTACTAAGGTGCTTATATCTAAAACTGTTCCTCTCAAGACCAGGGAAGGTTCAAAGTGTACATGGCACTTGCACAGCCTTTTGGTGGGGTGGCGGGTCAAAAAGACGTACCTGCACCCAATGTTCTCTCCACAGTGTTTTCCTGTCGAGTTTTCCATTTTCACTCAAATTAAGGCCGATCTTATTGGAGTTCTTTGACGCCGTTGTGTTTAGCTTCGTAGGGCAACGTTTGGATAGTCGAAGGAGCATGCATATGTAATTTGAGTTGTGTTGTACTACATAAGGCGTTAATTGCTGCTTGCGATTAACGACGTCGTTTTTGCGACATGTTGTAAGGAATTTGCTCTTGGACGCAATCGCCCATCCGCTTTCCGCCCACACTTACTTCAAGCATCCTTAGGGCGTCACGCGAATCGCTTGTCCACGGGATCATGGCGGTCCCGCATACCTTGCATATTTATTCCCACTCGCCCCAACGTTAGCTCAGCGACATCGTCTTATGGCAGAAATAGGCCGCGCAGATGGGGCGATGAAGACAAGATCAATTAAATTGATGAGCAACGTGATGATGTATTATTAGCTGGGAAAAACTACGACTATTGACGACGGCCGATTTAATCAAGGTAGGTGTTAGGGTTGCCCGATTTGGCGACGTAGTTTACTAATCCTTCCACAAGTCCCCCCTTCAGGTCGGCGCCCCGCCGAATCGTGGAATTGCGTTGCGATGTCAACGAACAAAGGAAAGGAGCAACCGTCGTTAGTTGTGTGAATAATGAAAAGAAACGAAACCTCGATCAGTGTGAGTGAATAGCGATGATTCGGAATCAGTTGAATCGTCTTATGGTAACCACCCATCAGGCCCTCAGGCATGTCAGTTGCACATTCCAACGTCTCCGGATTCCGAGGCGCCCCTCGCTTCGTCCATACGAACGTCCTCATCTTTCTCGTTCATCTCGTCCGCAATAGCTTCCCTTGCGAGGATGATGTCTTCAACCCGTTTGAGCATGGCGTCCACTTGTCGTAGGATCGGACCAGCAAACAGCTCGTGGAACGTGAAGGGCATGCGGTTCCGCAGAGGGAAAGGCCCGGCCGGACCAACGCACGCGGTGAGGCGGACCGGCCAGCCAGGCCCAAGGTTCAACTACGTTGTTGGCAACGCCAGTGTACATCCTTTCGGCGTAGACCATGGCTGCACCAGCCTCGTGGGTGTCGCAAGTCGCTTGATGGCCTCATCCAGCGACATAGGCAGAGGCATTGACCTAAAGCCAAAGCATCTGGCCGCGTGCTGCTTGAAGAAGTGGAGCCGCCGCGAATCATCTCTTTCAGCGCGTCGAGGTCGAGTTTGACCATATGCAATGCCGTTGTTGTTTCCATTCCAGCCGCCCTCGCCTGCTCGATCTTTGGGTTCTCGGGGGGAATCGTAGACCAGCTGATACTTATGATCGTCTTGTACACTTTCATCACATCCTCGGCCCACTCCACAGAAGTCGGCTCGGAGTTACGCATCTCCCCGGTGTGGTCTAGAAGGATAGTCATGGCCAGTAAAGGACTCAGCATGTCGTGGTCCGACAAGAGGCGGTCGTGTAGGCGTCCCTTCAGGGCAACGGCAACTTTGTGGATGTGCTCAACGTCAATTTCACCATGCCCTTGTTCTTGAAAAGTTTGGGCCAATGTTCCTTTGTGTGCTGTTAGTAGACTTCTTTAACCAGCAAAGTCCAAGCTTACCTTTGCCACTGTCCCTCTTAATCATTACGGCGGTCCTAGAAACCAACAAAATAGAACCACACGTCCTATTCTACTTGTAGGGCGAGAACAGCGTGTTGCCTATTGAACTCCTCCTGCGGATACAGCATTCTGACCAGATTCCGGTTGCAAGGTGTTCTAGGAAGTCTGATCTTGAGATGCTCTACCTCAGCCAAGATTTCGTTTACTGTTGATGGGCCATTGGTATCGGTAGTCTCAAGCGTGGCCTCGAGGCACGCCAGCCGCGATTTGATCGCGTAGTCGGCCTCTGGAATTTACGCGCAGATAACAAACGTGCCGTCGGGCGCCTCCACCTTCTCCTGTTTCTGGGGATCTGCCGGGCTAGTGACAATACTGATCGCAGTCCCTATCGCCCTCAGTCGGTTCTCTTTGGCTCCTTCATGCATGGAGAGAAAATGTTGCTTGAAGAAGATGCGACTCATGCCGTCGGGAACCGGCGCGAGCTCACAAATGCCGTTGAAACCGGGGTCTGCGAGGGCATAACCCTCGAGATCCTTGGAACCCTTGTCCACCTTGTATCCATCATAGTAGATCTTCGAACCTACGACGTCCTTAGCAAAGGTCAGCGTGTGATTGCAATCGATCAGAGCGCCCTCGTAGTATGGTGCTCAACTTACCTTCTTTGAGCTACTTGGATGGTGTGGAGGAGCGACGATATCGCCATGAAGTGGTGGCATTGGTGATCTGTAAGTAGGAAAAAAAGACTGCTGGCTGCCAAGGTGAAGAAGCTGGTGAATCTGGTGGCAACAGTGGTCACATCAGGGAACCATATCGCCAACACATGGAGATGTGTAGATGTAATAATTTAGAAAGTGGCCGCTCACCAGGTGAAGTGGCCCGTCTCATTCCCCTTTCCACAACGGCGAGCTTCACCTTCCTTTGTTAGCAACTGCAAAGAGGGAAAAAACAAGAAGGTTCCTTCCCTCCAAATTAGGCTAGTGCATTCTCATCAATTCAAGCCTTGCCGTTCATCAGTTTTCTCATCGACTCAAAACCTCCCACGAACTTACACACACACACACACACACACACACACACACACACACACACACACACACACACATACATGATGATACGCGCGGCTACGACAACGAAGTAGTTCTCCCCAACTTCTGACATTCTGAAGTCCTTGCCATTTATACTCATAAGTAAGTAGGATCTAAAGATGAAAATACTTTCGAACATGAACTGACTCCAACAGCGCCGAACATTTCCCTTCCTACAATGGACACCACAAAGGATCCTATCCGCAGCGGCAGAAAGAAAGCGCCCTTGATGAAGACGAGCAACAGCCTTTTGGACGAGATCAATGTCGCTGGCCATATTGAATTGCTATCGCTTACTATCAATGACCTCAAGACAACGCAGGATTATGCGGCCTCGATTCCCGACATATCTGCGGAGTTGGAGTCAGAGATTATGACCAAGCGCGCGAAGTTGATTTCCATGTCCCAGAAGCTCCGCTCTCTCCCTATCCAGCGCACCCAGTCTATTCAACGCCCTGATTCTCTCGAGTTCAAACGTCTTGAGCGTAACATAGCCTTCATGATCAAAGAAAAAGAGCTACATCTCAAGAACGAAGACGAGACGGAACCTTTTGATCCGACGAAGCACGACTGGGAAAAGACTAAGACCGAAATGGATCAATTCGCCACTGACTTGAAACAGGCGATTGAGGAGAACTTCATTGGAACGGCCATAAGGTTTGAGGATTGGGAGAATGACGACTGCGACATGAACGATTTTTGCGACGCATTCGAAGCAGGGATGCAGGCCCAAGAGCAGAAACATAGTCCTTCGGGGTCTATCGAAGACCAAAGCGAGTGCGAAGCGGGCTCTGGTGATTCTGGCGGCACCGGGGAAGACAAAGATCCGATGGAGATGATTAACGCAGGCAACGACGTCCACACTCATCGGTTCCTCGTGAAGTACAGCGCTCTTAGTGTAAGTATCTTATGTCGGTGTCTTTAAACGGCTATTCGGAGCCTGCTGCTAACCTTACGTTGCGGTGTAGACCTTCGTCCGCGAAATCCCGGGTCAACCTGACGGTCAAGACGTGATAGTACCTGGCCTCACGACCGAGCTTCGTCCATGGCAGCTTCAGGCGGTTCGGAAAATCAGCCATTTGCTGCGAGGCCCTCAAAAGGGCGCCATTCTCGGCGATGAGATGGGCCTAGGAAGAACCCTGGCAGTCGCTATCGCCATGCAGAACCGCAATGGACCTTACTTGGGTCCCGCCCTTGTAGTCCAACCTTCCCTCCTTTTTACCTGACACGTTTTGGAGCTGTTAGTCTCCAAGCGTGCACTACACCTATTTCCTTAACACCTACAGTACTCGCGTAATCCACCCTAAGGCCATGCCGGCCCCTGATGGGCTGGCCCTGCTGCCGCCAGTGACGCCACGGCCAGGTCTTCAACCGCCAGCGTCAGCTATGCTCACTGTCTTAAGCTCTAGTATAGGAGAAGGTTTACTAACTAAGCGTAAGAGGTTTATAGACCCTTTAAGCCTAGCTACAGCTGCTACAGAGGTGTCACTACTAAAAGACTTTGCCTAGATAACTTAGACGCTTAAGAAGAAGCTAGGTATAGACATATCTCTATACAGACTAATAATAAACATAACTTAGGGGAACCTAAAGGATAAGCTAAGTAAGATTATAGCGCTTAATAATAGTTATAAATATATAGTAAACACCTTAATTAATAACCTCTAGTAGACCTTATAATAGATATAAACTAAGGGCTACTACTAGATAGTAGTTAACTACTATACTAACCTACTAGTTAACACCTTAAGAGGAGATAAAAAACCTATAAGACCTAAGTCTATAGTAGACTAGTAGGCGTAGTAACTAACCTAATAAATAATAACTATCTAGCGCGTGTAGCCTAAGTTAAGAAGCTTAGCTATAACACACTTAGAGGGAGCTTATAGTAAGAGACCTACTTAAGGCTAAAAAGATATATAAAGGAGATCTTAGTAATATAATATTAACTACTACGTCTTTATCTAAATACCTAATAACTAGGTCTTACCTTTTACTATTTATAAAGATATTACTTAAATCTATAAGATATAAGTTATAGATATTAAAAAGATAACTAGGATACTAACTAGTTTTATAGTTACTTTAGGTAGTAATAAAGTAAGATAGACTATACTTAATAGTAACGCTTAGCTATCTTAACACCTTAGTGTAACTACTATTAATAGTCCTTAGGCCTAGACGTTCTATAGGGTTAGAGGCGTCCTAGTAACTACCTATAACTATAATAGGAACATAATCCTAGTAATAGAGGATATAGTAGTTATAAAAGTTATAATTATAACTAAGTAAAAACTATAGAAGTACTATACTATAAAGGGTATAAAAACATAACACCTTAAGACATAGATTATTACTCTATAGGATAACACTAGGCCTTTCTACTTATTTAACAGCCTAGTATTAATATAGCTAAAGGATAGGTTTAGGCTAGTTTAGTATAGTGTTTACTATAATTAGTATAAGGTAAGGCTATATATTAGGTAGTAGCTTTATAAAATATATAGCTAACTAGAGATAGAACATAATAACACCTAGTGTATAAGGCCTACCTAGTGTACTAACTATAAGAGGCCCTACTAGAGCACCTATATAGACTACCCCCTCTAGCCTAGGCAAGAAAACTAGACTATTATATAACCCTTAAAGGGATAATAATAACATATTAGATAATAGGGACTTAAGCTCTTTAAGGCTGCTTAGGAGGGCGGCTAGTAGGTATAGGCGCTAATTAAGGCAACCTAAGGGAGCCTAGGACCTAATAGGGAAAGCTAATAGGAGGTTAGACTAAACTATTACTAAAAAGTCTAGGCCTTTAATAAAATCCTTAATAAAGTAATAGAGGACGCCTCTAAGGGAGGGACTACACTAAGGCTAACTAAGCTTAGTACGCTAGTACTATTATTACTACTATAAATAATAAGATAAATTAGAATACTACACGTTAATATATAAAGATTAGGGCTAATATATAATATTACCTTTACTTTTATAGACTAAAAAAAAGTTAATATTATTATAATATAAGAACCCTAGTGCTCTATAGATAAGCGCTTAGTTATAAAGATAACCTTAAACTATATAACCTTCTCCTTTATACACTAGTAGGAGAGTATAGATATATAACCTAGAGTCCTTATATATATAAAGAAGACTTATAGTAATATTACTACCTTTAATATTACTATAACGCCCCTATATAATACGCTAAGGATTATAATAAGAGGCTAGTATTACCTTAATATCTACTAAGAGCTAAGGTTAATATAGGTCCTAGACGCACTAGAAGCCTAAGAGGCACTAATAAACGTACTAGTAGTAGGGGACTTTAATATAAGATACCTAGTGTAGTAGCTAAGAAGCTTTCTAAATTAGGGGGCTTCCTAACTAGTAGAATAGTTAGATAGCTACCTATTAGCCCTTATTAGTCTGCTAGGGATTACTATATATAATAGGGGTAATACCCTTAATCTAGTTTTTTTAGATATCCCCCTAGCTATAATAAATATTACTAACTATTTATATATAGGGTCTAATTACTTAACCTTAGTTATAACTATCCTTATAACTATAGGCACCCTACTAAAGGAGATATAGATAAGAATTAACACTTTAGAGAAGATATAATAATTTAGAGAGGAGGTAGAGTAGATAGCCTAGGTGCTCCTAGAAGGGATAAAGACACTAAAAGAACTAGACTAAGCTATAGTGACGCTAACAAACGTCCTATAAGGTGCTACTACTATAGTAAGCACTTAACTAGTTAAGGGCAGATTAGTTATATAGTAGACAGAGGACTATAGGAAAGCTAGGAGGGCCTACTAAGAGGCTTATAGAGGAGGTAGGGACACTAAGGAGGAAGCTAAGGAGCTCTAAAGAGCAGCCTATAAGGCTAAGGTAACCTACTAAATAGATTAAATTAATAAGATAGTAACTAATAAGGACCTATATAAGGTAATAGGCTAGTATAAGCTCTTATTATAGCTATAATTACCCCCTCTATAGGATAGTAATATAGTAGTTACTACGCTAGCTAAGAAGGCCGCTCTACTCTAAAGGAAGCTACTAAAGCGCTTTAGGGCTAATATAGATATTAGTCTGTATATACTAATAGTTCCTTAGAGGAGGATAGAATAGGATAACTACGTCTACTTAGAGGAGGTAAGGTCTACTATACTTAGTGCTAGTAATACTACTCTAGGTATAGATAGAATTACTATTATTATACTATAGATAGTATAGCTAATAATAGGTAAGTATATTAAAAAGCTATTCTAGGTATACCTAGAACTTAGGTATTACCTTTTACTATTCTAGGATACTAAGATAGTTATAATCCCTAAGCTAAATAGAGACACTAGCTAACCTAAGGGCTAGCGCCTAATCTTACTACTCTCTATAGTAAGAAAGGGGCTTAAGAGGCTAATTATATAACGTATAGCCTGTTACTATATAGAACATAAAGTCCTATACCTTTAGGTAGTAAGGGTACTATCTAAGAGATTAGTAATAGATATAGTAGCTACCTTAATATATAATATAAAGGTAGCACTAAGTTAGTAATAACACTACACCTTAGTTATAATAGATATTTAAGGCGCCTTTAATATAGTAAATAGCAGCTAGCTAGCTTAAGCCTTAAGAGAGTAAGGCTAGCTAGATAATATAGTTAACTAAGTAAGGGCCTTTATAATAAGATAATAAGTATAAGTGCGCTTTAAGGACTATATATTATAAGTATAACCCTTTTACTATAGCCTCCCTTAAGGGTCTTTAGTATTACTAATACTATATCTTTATTATATAGAGCTACTGTATAGGTTTAGGGAGGAAAGCTCTAGGTTTAGTTATATAGATAACTATAGAATCCTTTATATAGGTAAGATAAAGCAAGAAAGCAGGTAGGTAGTATAAGACCTACTTAATAAGGTTACTACCTAGGGATATAAAAATAGTATACTATTTAATATAACTAAGACAAAAGTGTTACACTTTATATAATATAAGGTTACTAAGAACCTCTCTATCTAATATAAAGATTATAAGGTCTTCCCTTAGGACTTTATATGCTAGCTAGGGGTGTTTCTAGATAGGAAGCTTAGTTTTAGGACGTATATAAAGACGTAGGTAGTAATAGCCTAGGCTATAGCAGGACATATTAGAGGACTAAATAAGGTCTATAAAGGAGCGCTACTACTAAGCATAAGAAAGGTAGTATATATAATTATTATCCTTAAGGCACTCTATATAGTAGAAATATAGTACTTAAGGAAGAAGCGTTAAGGCTATAGGTTTCTAGATAGCTACCCTATAAAGGTTACCTATAGACTAACTAGCCTTATTAATAAAATACAGAAGGCTATAAATAGGGCTATTAGAGGCTGTCTACTAGTGTAGTAGACTATACTAGTAATAGCACTAGCCTAAGAGGCTAGTACTCTACTAGTAAAGCTTCTACTTAATATAGTATAGTAATAATATAGACTATAGCTAGGCACTTTAGATAATAACTACCTACTAGTAATGTAGATCACAGCCTACCTTAGAATAAATTAGAAAGGTAGTAAGGTCTACCTAACTATCCTTATAGACGTAGCAGATAGTATACTAACGTTCTTAAGACCTAAGCTCTAGAGCTAATTATATAATATATAATTAGTATATAAAGTAGAGGGATAAGGGAAGTAGTAAGTAATAAGAGATTACTAGGTCTAGGAGGTAAATATTTTACTAATATACGTAATAGTATATTTAGACAGCTTATAGGTAGAGTATATAAAGATAAGGTATAGTTATACTGTCTTTAAGGGACAGGACCTAGTACTTATAGGACGCTAATACCTACTAAAGGGTAAGGTCTATAACGTAGAAGCTAAAGGGGCCTAATATAGACTTAGGAAGGTAATATAATATAGTAAGGACTTAGGGGACGTTATAGGTATTATAGTCTGTCTAGATAACTTAGTAGTTATCTTTAGGCTAGATAGGGCCCTTATAACGTCCTTATAAGAAGCTATCCTTAATTTTATAAGGATAGTAAAAGAGAGTATAATACTAGTAAATATATAATAAGTACCTAGATATAATATAATTAATAGTAATAAATAGCTAATAAGCTAGTAAAGGATAAGGTAAAGATACGCCTAGCTAACCTTAAGATATACCTAGCTACCTATAGCTACGTTAAGTAATTACTAAAGGTATAAAGAAAGAAGGTATTTATAGACTAGTAGAATAAGAATTACCTAATAGCGTATAAACTACTATAACTTAAAGCACTTCTAGAACTAATAAAGGAAATCTACTTTCTTACTTATACTAAACTTTACTAGCTAGTTACTATAAGGATAAGATATAGTAACTTTATAGCCTACTACCTATAGTTTAGCTATAATAAGGCTAAAACTACCTGTATATATAGAAGTAAGAAGACGTTAGTATACCTGTTATAGTGCTAGTAGATAAAATAGAGAGATAATATCCTTCTAAAAGACTAGAGGAAGTATATAATAGCCTAGCTATTAAAAGATTATAACTAGTTTATTTAATATATTAGTAATAATAACTTCTATAACTAAATATACTTAAGGTATTAATATATACCTACTTTATTACCTAATAACACTAATAGCCTATAGCCTACCTCTAGATATATAGGGATATAAGCCCTTATTATAGGCGTTTATTAGATAGATAAGGACTAAGGATAATATACTAGGCTTTATTATAAGTAGCTAATAGGCTATTATCTTACACCTTACTACTAAAGGTAGCTACTAATAATAGCTAACTATAACTATATTAGGGTTACTAAGTATAAAAGTCTTTAGGAGATAGGTAGTATCTATAAGGACGCTATCTATTTACCTAGCTTTTCCTTTTTTCTCCCCCCCCCCCTCCTTCTTTACCCCCCCCCCCCCCCTCTTCTTACTTTCTCCTAGACCTTACGTTATATAAGTAATAAGAACAGGACGCCTTATACTATAGGATAAGTACCCCTAGCCTGCTTTACGTAGGGAGGGGTACCTTTAGATAATATAGATATATAAGTAGCACTATATAATAAGGCATATAGGAACCCCTAGGAGCCCTCTAAGGGGGACTACTAGGGGTACTGTACTAAACCTAGCTGCTAAAGAGCCTGCAGACACTTAACAGTAATAAAGAATTACAGTTTAACCTCCTAGGAGGCTAGCTAAATAGGTAACAATACAGACTGTTTAGGTCTTAGGCTGTAAGAGGCTTATAGGCTTGGATTTATATTTATATAGTTATCCTAGCAGCTAGTTGCCCCAGGCGCCTTTTGTCCTTTATAGGAACGTCCTGGCGTTAAATATAACACACACACACACACACACGCCCTTGTAGTCGCCCCCAAAGGCCTCCAGTCAACCTGGGAAACCGAGTGCAAACACCATTTTGCAGAGGTATGGAATCTTGCAAGCGTGTCAGGAGAGTTTTAATGTTAAGCTGGCGCAGCTAACAGTCTACTTTACAGGACAAGAAACCCAAGCTTTTCGTCTGGGACAATAAGAAAACAAAAACCATTGAGCTTTTGCGCGGCAGGTACGACATAGTGTTCACAAGCGACCAGTTTCTCATGCAACGCGTCCAGGAGCTCGAAGACGCCAACAAAACAAGCTCCCTGCTCTCCAAAGGCGGCCATGTCGCAGCCAAGAAACTGAGAAACGGCAGAGGACTTCCGCTGAAGTACCAGAAACCCTGGCGTGTCACCCACGCGGCCAACAAAGAAACCATGAGGCTGTTCGGTGCCTCTTTTCCGATCCTCATCCTCGACGAGACCCAGGAGGTAAATAACCACAAGGCGGAGCTTCACTCAGCCGCGATGACACTGCCTTATGACGCTTTCCTGGGTATCACAGGCACATTCGTGCCCAGCAAGTGGATGGATATCTATGGACTTATCAAGATCCTGCCTGGAAACCCCTTCGACTCATTCGAGGACTTTATGAAGTGTTTTGCCCAGTCTCCAGACTTGACCGACCTTTCCAAGGATGACGCTCTGGTGCTTTATCTCGACTCTCACCAGGGTTAGAAGGCTAGAGATCATAGGAAATAGGTCCGAGGAGGCTCACGGCACCCGTCGCGACGACTAAGGGCAAATGTGTATGAGCGGTGGCTTTTCTTTTCATTTGAGGAGGGGAGGGGGTGGGGGGCTCAGTGTGATACCATCACGATCCTAGGACGCCATCACGCATAGGCGCTAGGACGAATATTATGAGATTCGCCGATATGAAGTAGCCTCAGTGTGCACTGCTAGGTAGATAATTGACAGCTGCGTTGCAGTTTTCTTTGAGATCAAACATTACTGCAAAGCCTAGAAAGATTGAATAGTGCCTTTGTTCTCAGGGACTCTGCAATCCTCTTACACAGACATTCTGCAGCCTACAAGAGCGAGTAATAGGTACATGTCGGCACTGTGATGTTGAGACCGTTCACCTCCTACGCGAAGTCTCGATGCCATCTTCATATCGAGAAACGTCCTCGTTCGCCTTGTATAATGCGAATGCAATGCCCCTACAGAAGCACAGCAGTTCGGAGTCAAGCAGACCTTTACGGCATGTTTGCGAGACGAAGAAATGAAACATACAGTAAATCGCAGAAAGGGAGCACAGAAGTGAGCTTTTCTTCCATCGTGAGGTAGTGGACCGCAAGCTATCTCTAATGGCCGGAGGAGCCAAGTTCCACGAAGCCCATACTTTTAAGCTCTTTTAGTGAAGGTGGCAAGAGACGCGTCACTGGATTACGGAAGAAGCTTGGGAGGATAATCAGCAGAATTGATGTTATTGGTAGCTATATAACACCTCAAAGAGTTCCTGACCCATCGGCCGCAAAAGAAACGTTCCGAGTTGGGCACAAGCAGAATGGTGCACTCGGCAATACGCAAAGCCAAGGCATGCTTGTTGATCCCCTGAACTATGCCTTTAGATGAGCTCGTACTCTTCAATCAAGCCTTTGATCATCCCCATGGAAACACTACGATGCTTCGCATCGACGCTGTTAGGACCACCGCCAGTAGTGAGGTGGCGGACCTGAAGAAGGGCCTCAATCCAATTAATAATGGTAATACGGCGCTCGATGGCAGAAGTACCAGCAACGGCTGAGTGTCCCTCCACGTTACCCTGTCGACCAGTAGTGGAAGAGAGAGCCTGGATGCTCATTGGATGCTGGGCAAAGCCTCTGGACTGTTTCTGGGAGTCGTTGTGCTCGGAAGTGCCGGGAGGGTATTCCTGAGAGCGACTCAGCAGCTCAGTGATTCGAGAGGAGCCTTGAGAGCCCATTGAATGCTCCGCAACGCCGCCATTTCTCACGCTGCCCTCCTGCGACTGAGTGACGGAAGACAGTTGCTGACTGGCATTGCCATGGGGATCGGCAAATTTGTCGGCGGTGTCGCTCAGACGGGATATGGAGTTCTTGTTCCGCGATCGCACAGGAGGGCTAGAAACCACATCTGAGATTACTAGATTAGCGTTCATATAGGTGGATCCGAAATGAAGTATACACATACCGGTCTTCTTTCGGCCTTGAGGATCATCAGCAATCAAGCTGGCTCGCTTACGCTTTTGATGGGCATTTCCACTGGGTGTGACGACTGACGCAGTCGAGCTGAGCATATGGAGCTTGCTACGGTCTTCATCCCCGTCAGGGTTGGTGAAGATTCCGTTTCCATGAGGACGGGTAACTGAATTGTCAAAAACAGTGCAAGCAGAGTAATTAAAGTACAACAGAACTTACAAGGGAAGAGATTGCCCGAGGCTTCTTTATCTAAAAAGGTGTTTTGGTGATCGCCATCAACACTCTGATCTCTGGCAAGGTTCTTGAATATTTCGGCCGAAATTTCGAGAGACGTAGTCAGCTCGGTTTCGAGCTCGAAATCGCCTCCCTCCTCAGTCGAGGCTTCAATCTCGATCGCGGGTTCGATGGTATTATCGTCATGGGCATCTTCGTTCGCCATACGGTTGGGGCGGTTGTCGACCTCTTTGTCCGCCTGGCGCTTGACAAAGAGGGCCCAAGCCGTCGCTGCCTCTCCTGCCGCAGCGCAGTCTGCTTCCGTGATCTTCTCTGCGCTCTTCGGAGTGCTCTTCGATGTGCTTTTCGAAGCAGTCATCTCTGCTTTCTTTCTTCCGTGTTCTAGCCTCATTTTGGACTTCTCATATCGCGGTGTCGAATTATTTGTTAGCTAAGCAAAGTGAACGAGGCCAAGGTGTAGAGAGACAAAAGAAGAAATTTTGGTGGTCTGCATGCTGGGGAGGTGGGTCGGCTGGTTTTGAGAAGGAAATAAAAGGCGAGGTCTACTAAAGAGATTTCAGAAGTTCTGATGGCAGGTACCGTCAGCGTCCGAGATTCGGGATGCTCGTTGTTCAGTTCTAAGCGCAACACCGAACAAGAAGGCAAAGAAATAGTTCTTTAGGAGAAAAGATCTTTCTCTAAGATTTTCTGACAGCCACTCAGCTTACCCTGCATGGATGCTGACTGAGTAGAAGAAAAATGGAAAAGCACTCTAAAGTAGCTTGGAATTCATGTCTGGGGGCGAAACGTCGACAATATGTGTTGCCAAGAGGATAAAATAACTATGAAGAACATTAGACTCTGGTCTATTGATCTACCACGCAAAATAGAAAGGCAATCAATCTATCATGAACGATTTGAAGTATTGCCTGGAAACAGACGATAAGTAAAATACACAGAAAACCCATTCATCAACGCTGATGAAATCACTTTGAACCCTTTCTCCTGCCCCTCCCCCCCCCCCCCCCCCCCCCCTTTGAACCTCAGTGAAAATATAAGACATCAGAAGCAAATTCCTCGCGCCAGTTCGATTTCCTTACCCCCTAGCTCCGCACTCATAGACTACCTGATATCATGTATGTGCAACATCATCGTAAATCAGAGAGATTTACGCTTCTTGGTCATTGACCTTGCGTCTTCGTCGGAGCCGATATCAATAATCTCGTCTTCGGTGGTTTTCTCATGGCTCTTCGAAGCCATAAGTGACCTCACACAACCCCAGATCAATAAGACTACAGCATTCCAGGCCAACTATCCAATAGCTGTCAGTAATCTTTTCCAGAGACCCATATTTGGGTTATGTGAGGTCACTTCGCACTCAATGGGATACCTCTTTCCGCGATCGAAGTATAGATTGACCAAGTCAACAGATTGTGCTCGAGTGACAGCAATGTTCATCTCGTCTGTGGATTTTATTAGAATAAGATATAATAGACAGTGTATAGAATGCCACTTACAACTCACTGACCAGTCTGGTAATATGCCTTTCCAGTCGTGGTTCAAGACATGCTCCTTGAAGTCGGCTACATCCTGCTCGAGGTTCTTTGTTGATCCCCGTTTAATAAAAGGTGTTTTCTTCGTAGACTTGGTAAAGTCTCTGTACGCCCTGAACAGTATGTCTGTGTACTTTTCCTTTAGGCAGTCGATGTGCTCGGCCTCTTCCTCCGAGTCTGATGCAGGCTTGGCGTCATTGCGGCGTGGAGTCTTGCTCATACTACAGAGATCAAGTTAGTCAATGTTACTGACGTTCTTCTGTACTGTGCAAGGGTTACTTAGGTGACTTACTTGGGGATACGACCACCCTCCCGCTGGGATTGTAGAAGCAGACTCATGATGACGTTGTTCTGCTTGGCAAGGATTTCCATATTGTTCAGCAGCATCTGATCTACTGCTGAAAGCATAGAAGTATCCTTGGGAGCGGCCCAGGCTGTTGTCTTGGTGACATCTGTCTCCACGTCTGAGAGACTGGTTCGGGAATCAGTCTTGGTTCTCGGTGGCGCCATTGTTCCTAACCTCCTATGCCAGTTAGTACAATAGTCTTTGAGACGATGTCCTTCGAGGACATACAGTATAGCCAAGGGCTTGTACAACAGGAAGGTAGACTGACAGCAGGGGAAAAACGTTCGAACCCGAGATACATTCGAACGAAAGACATTCGAACGAAAGACATTCGAACGAAAGACATTCGAACGAAAGACATTCGAACGAAAGACATTCGAACGAAAGACATTCGAACCCGAGTTACATTCGAACCCGAAAGACTATTGGAATGTACAATGGAAAATTTCCTAGAATGAAAATATTATGACCACTGGAGGGGGATGGTTCCGGGAGCTTCTTTGGTGGGGGGATGGGGGGAAGAGCTGTCGGCCTCAGGTACTAAATGGAAGGAGCTCCTCCATGAAAGCGGAACATTTCACTCACCTCTCAGTAGCACCAGGTAAAGAAGGAACAAGCAGCGCTCCTTCTTCTAGTTTTCTCTTATCCCTTTTTCCGCGAAACTGTAAACAAACCAACAATCAACCCGTCTGCTGTCAATTCTAAAAGGCGTTCCTCAAACCGATCTCCGTCTACCGTCAAGATCGCATCTGTCCTCCTGCTATTAGTCCCAAAAGCAAAAAGACCTGTAAGCCTTAAACAGACTGTCTACCATCTCGGTGTCGGTCCTCTTACTATTCGTCCATTAATAGCTAATAATCTCGAAAGGTATCAGGCTTTCCCTCACAATCCCAACGGACAAAAAGCTTCGGCTCGAGATAGCCAAGATGGCCGTAGAAGTCACTGAACAGGTGATCAAAACAAGGGCATGTACCTCTGTCTCAGTGGCTTTTCTAAGTAACATTGAGCCGTTTTACTCATGATCGTTCAGGCTGGACAGGCATGGATAGACCGAAAGCGCAAGATGGCAAAGGAATTTTGGCAAAGGAAATTTCCACCAATGCCTAGCATTGATGAGCAATTCGCGGCAGTTGACCTCTCTGATGATAGCGAGGTAGCATTGCCTTCTTCTACACCGGCTTCTCAAAGTCTGCGGCCCTAGAATTGGAACCTCCGACCTAAGGACAAAAAAGTCACCAACAAAGAACTCTAAACCAAAAACGATTCCAGTGACAGCGAGTCAGACAACAACAGCAGAGGTAGTGATGATACATTGTCCACGGAAGGTTCTAATGGCAATGTGGGCGGCGACTCAGACGACGATACAGGATTTTTCCCGAGCCTTGACCCTGGAAAGGAGGAGCACGATTTAGAGACTCTCCTTGGCTATGAGGATGTTTTCAACGGACAGAAAGACTATCACGAGATCTACCAAGAGAACCGTGACACTGGGATCGAAGAGATCGCAATTTGCGCGGAATTGGATCCCGAACGGGATCCCGAAGAGAACTGGCATTCCGATTCGAGCTCTTCGGTAAGCGATGAGGCCTCGGATGGTTCCGCGATGAGCTCTACAATTGACGTGGATGAGCTGGCGGATGTCCTTGAAGGAGGCAGTTCTCATACGGATATGCTACGTAGGTTTCAAGAGAATTCGAATATGGCCATCCAGCGAAGCTTCCAGAGAAAGCGATGGCTGATATCCTTGCTGAGCTGGCTTCTTATCTGCCCCGGTTTGACACATGTTAACCAGCTCCCATATCAAATATACTACCGATCGGACTTCCCAAGACAGGCTGCTTTCTACAGGTTTACCATTCTGTCTTTTCAGACTGTCTCATTCCGAAAAGGGTCTCCAGGAGTGCTCATAACCGCTTTTGCTGGTGGAGACGTTTCCTCCCAAGATTTGCCTCAAGGAGTTAGTCAGGTGAGGATCATTCAGTAATCAAATCCTTCCGCAAACCGTGACCGTAAAATTTTGCACATAGTTCATTTTCCTGACAGTATGTTCGTAGGTTGCTTGGGCGAAACTTGGGGATCGTCCTGTATTCAAGGAGCGGGGTCTGGGGATTCGCTACACAGCGTCTCTGCAACCTGGGTGCCGACACGTAGCGCAAGTCTTTCTGCAATATTCGGCCCAGAAGTTCATCTAGCCACGTTGGAGCAATCCACTTGTCTGGATCCGAATCTGGGTCACTTAAAAAGTAAACAATTGGTTGGAGCCGACGGTGCGAAGGTAGTTGCGGCGGCAAACTCTTCCAATCAAGAAACGTTCTACGGGGAATTGACAAGCGGCCGAGGGATCACCTCGGTGGCGACTCATCCAAATGCTGAAGCTGCTAGCGTTAAACGGACGGTCCAATCATGAAACAAGAAATCAGATTGCCTGGCCCGATATTGCATTGCTCCCCTTCAATGTGCGAGGGCTGTTCCGGTTGAGCTCGGCCACCGCCAGGGGGAACCGTCCTTGCGTGTGCCCTCTTCAGAATCGACGACTGTGCCGAGATTCTTTATGGTGTCGAGAATGCTTGAATGATCGTGCACCGACTGGCACAAGACGTTCGACACCTGTCGCTCCGCATTATTGAATCATATGCTTTATTTCTTCGCGGAAAAGACCTACCGGTGGACCGAGGGAGACAACCAGTTGCCGCGGGCATCTACTTGCCGGTTTTTATTCTCATTATCATCTTGGTTTCTCTTCAACAGCCTCCACGATTGTTTTCACCCTGTCAGAGTTGTAGGGAATTCGCAATTTACGCCACATTCGCTGACCGCTGGAGAGACTTGACGCGACGTTAATTTCCCCTTCGGTGTCCTTTTTAATACTCCTTTGGAGTCTGGATTAGTGAAGATGGTCAGTCGCCGGGAGCTTAGGAGCGAGACTCTGTTTTTCTGCGATATAGCCGCTTCGCGAATAAAGATTCAAGCTTTGCCGGCTGCTTGTCTTGGTATCTCGCCGCGAATCCGTGCTTTGCGAATAACTTGGGGAAAGTTGAGATGATAATATGGGCAACAAAGTTTGAAGGAAGCTAACCATCCACCAAAGAATGCCCAGACCTTTCCCGTCCTACCCCCTACTCGGTGAAACCGGAGTTGAAGGCTTTTACAGCACCATGTCAAGTGCGGTGAAAGGGTTCCAGCTATTCATGCGCTATGAGTTTGGATGGCATATCAACAGTCCATCTTGTTATGGAACTTGACTGGTCTTTCTAGGTTCATGGCTATTGATTTGGCAGCGTTAAATTACCAATAGGCTAAGAAGTTGAGCTTTCTTTCGCACACATATATACTCAGGCTAGTGACCATCAATGGAGCAGATTAGCAATAGCAAGAAGTACAAGCCAGTGCGGGCATCCATAGAGGGAATCTGGTGTGAGGGTTGTGAGAACTAAGGAACATGTTTATGTGATCAGGCCTGGCGAATGGTGAGATTGAAGCGAGTGCAAGCCAGAGTCGAGACGCAATAGAATCGCATTTGCTTCGACAACAGGATCGTAGCAGGTTGTCAGAAAAGCTCTACAGTCTCTAAGAGCCAGTGTCGCCTTCGGCCTCAATCAGATTTCATGCATTGATGTCTTTTGAGAGGCGGCACAGGTGATTTTGCATCCGACCAGCCTTTGACCTACATCCCGTTTGTTGATAATAAGGTTTGTTACCGAGCCGATTGATCTTTCATGCCTGGTGGAAACAATTCCGGATCATGGGGGAAATGAGCCTAGCAATGAGATGAAAGATTGCCTAATCAAGTAATCTAAAGCTCCCTTTCTGGCAATGCGGGATATCTGATAGCGGGCTAGTTGCAGGGGTGTCCAAGCATGCGACGAGTAACATATATCAGGCCAGTCTACTCATCTTGACTCGAGGGCGCCAGTAGGAGGGCTGACTGCCAACCTTCACAGAGATCAAGCAGTTGAGAATAACCAGAGTTCAGAGTGCCAGAATGTCGCCCTTCAACTTGCTGTTCAAGCAGTCACGGCCATCTGACAACGTACTATCGTGGGCGCCATAACAGAGGGAACTGTACCGCGAGTCCATCCGGCTCATTGTGGCATTTTGCAGCTATCTGGCTTTCACTAGACATGAGATTATGCAAAGTTAGAGGGCAAAGAACGCTTTACCCATTGCGATTGGCCCCCTTCGCGACATCGCCTCTGTGGAACGTTTCGTCGGAATAATGGCCGGGGAGCGCATTCGAGCGTTTCAGCTTTGGTATCTAACCCATATCAGCCTAACAGCCAAGCCACCGGGTGATTGGGACCTAATCCCATTGCAGACACTGTGAGAGGAACAGAGTTCCGACTCGACTAGCGTGATTGGTTCCTCCCACGTCTCGATTAAGCCCCCGCTGATGAGCTTATTCCAATCGTCTTGTTCACATCACTGCAGGTCTAACGGCGACCGCACGGGAGCTTCACGAGTCCTTCATGCAGATGGCACGGGGTCGACCCGCCAAAGTATACATGCCATCCCACGCCGCTGCGCGCAACCACAAGTCGGATGAGTTCTCAGCACACCCTAATTAAGTAACGGCTGACGCCCTGAGCCGGCACCATGGGTCAACCAAAGGACACAAGCGTGTCGAATAGTCCCGAAGGGGCCCTATTTCAGGGCCGTCATGCGGTCATGGTAAACACCAACATGACACTTGGTGTCACATCGCTCGAAAAGGCATCTCCAAGGAGAAAAGTATCTGTTGATCACATACACTCTCTACGCGGAATGTTTGCCGCCTCAGTATGCTCCAAAGTGGGAAATCTGGGGAGAACACAGACACTCAATAGGAGTGACCGGTTCACTTGAGATGTTGATAAAATCGAGCTGAAGCGCCATATCACTGCGTTCGACCCATTCTTCACTGTTCAATCTCGTCTCCTTCGTGTCAATCATCATCTAAGTCAACGGTTTCCCTTCGTTTACTGTATTTGTAAACACCCACATCGGAAATGCTCGGATCCAAGGTTCTTGCCGCTGCCTTGCAGGTCTTGGCGATCACGGCTGGACCGGTCCTCGTAGCACGCCAGAGGGACGTCATCACCGGCGCCATCGGCATGGTCCAGGGCTCACTACAAAAGCTTGACACGGCCATCAAACAGCTGTCGGCGACCGACCCAAACACCGCCGTCGGCGTCCTCAACGCGGCGCAAGGCGCGCAGACAACCCTCGAGAAAGCGGCCACCCAGATCTCTGGCGCCGACGACCTGAGCTTGATCGGCGCCCTCGGTCTCCAGCAGACAGCCGGCGACCTCGTTACACAAGTCCAAACCACCCTCGGCGACCTTGAGCAGAAGAAGCCCGTGTTCGACCAACTCGGCGTCTCCTCCGTGGTCGCTGACTCCCTCCAGCAGCAGAAGGAGGGCAGCGGCCAGCTCAGCGAGATGCTCCTGAGCAAGATCCCAGCGATTGCCCGCCCCATAGCACAGAAGAGCACCGGTCAGCTCGATACTGCTATTGATAGTGCTATCGCGACGTTTAGGTCGCCCGCAGCAGCCAAGGCTGTCCCTCCAGCAGTTCCCGCCGCTCCAGCGGCTCCTGCAGCTCCCATCGTGGCCCCTGCCGTCTCCAAGCGGGCAGCTTCCCCAGCAGCGCCAGCTGGCGCCGCCGCCGCAGTCGGCGCAGCAGCAGTGTGATGGGAGACAAATAACGGCTGTGGGGGGAGACTGGGACGGGAGTGAAATTGTCAATGGGGCTGGGAGGATGGCTAAGTGGAAGATGGAAGGATATAAATGTCCGAATCGCGACTGAGAGAAGGGAATGGCGTAATCGAATGGAAATGCTTTAGGTTCGCGCAAGTTTCATGTAGGAACGGCAACCTCTCGAACATGTAATATTGTATGACTATATGAATCGTCTACGTTTACAGAAACTACTTTTGTTGGCATATGGGAGGTATGCTCCGGGGAGGTGGGCCACGTGATGTCCCACGTGACACACCACCCCCCCGGCAGTATCCACCCTTACTCTACAACACAAGGGTGCTGCCCACAAGTGGGTGCCCAGAAATCTAGATAGAACCACAACAATACCACGATCCTGCACATACACATATGTGACCTGTAATATCCCTTCGGTGTGATAACCAACAATGTTCTATTGAGGCCATTTACATAGTATGAGCATCACATCAAATCATGATACAACGGCTTGGAAAATCTTTAATAAGATCACGTCTACCATCATATTGGGATATCTGATCTCGGTATGAATATTCTTTTCTGAAATGAACTGTAAGAGCTCAAGTGTCAAGGTACGCAGGGTTCCGGTCTTTGGAGACTGGCGATGGTGCAGATACATCATACATAAATCCGCTTTGTTGGACTAACCATTGACGGGTCCTCCACAATCTGCCTAGTTAAATGTTTACCAGTAGGAAGTGACCGTTAGTTGCCCCCAGATATCTTGATCAAAGTTTTTAAGCCAATACAATGATGTCTGAAATTTTGCAGACGTCTGTTGCCCACCCGCAGGGGACGAATACAACCGGCGAACCCAACTTAGAGTTTACTCGGCAAGCTACCCAGGGGTAGAAAGTCTAAGTCAGCTCGGTGCAACGCAACTGAGTCTAAATCAAAGAAGGTGTGTAATAAGCTCAAGCTCGGGCCGAGGCGAAACAACAGGTCATTGGCAGCCAATAGCGGCCTTGCCGTCGATCCGAATAACATGCAGCATCATTACCTAACCATTCATCTTTGCCATCGAAACAGAGCACAGGGTGGTACTTCCTTGGGAGTTTCAGGGATAATCATTGCCACCACTGACTTCAGCATCGTGCTACCATGCTTCAGAGGTTCCCGACCATACCTATCAGGGGAAATCTTACCCTTGGATTTCCTCGGTGCTTGTACAAGCGATCCTCTTATTGCTCCTTTAGTCCACACACATGAGAAGCTTAGTAGTGACACCTGATTGACGGCTGAGCTCACAGGGCTGGAAACTCTTTATAACACGAGTCAATTCTGATCGTATCATATCGATTCAGAGAACCAAGTAGAACGAGGCTGTAATGACGCATTCTTCCTCGGCTATGACATTGCTCAAACTCCTACCATGAAATATTAGCTTCTGAGTGTTTGATAAATCTATGAGAGATAAAACACGTGGATCATGTAACTATCCACATTCGCCATTAGGGTCCATTTTGTGATTATATCCGTTTACACGGGAGAGTGCTGGAGGATGAACGCCTTCAAGACCGAATAATGGCCATAGCTTCGTGAACTAGTTCCCCAGCCACAACGTATGCAAGTGTCTCTAGCGATTGTTGATAGTTTCATGACAAAAGCAACCAATGAAATCGTACAATACTGTTTGATGATCAGTAACACATGCACAGCGCGCGTACTGAGGACTTTCCATGCTCCCGTATCATGTGTGACCAGACAGCCGCGACAAATCTTTTGCCAGTACCACTGAACATAATGATACAGCACTTTATAAACCCCATTGAATGCCCCAATCATCAGATAATGGGAAATAGATAAAAAGATACGTTGGTATAGAATAATACAGTAAGTATGGCGAATCTTCCATGGATATCAGCTATCCCATTGAGTGCCTAGTGACCTCACATAACCCAAAATGGGTCTATGTAAATAATTACTGCCAGCTATTGGACCGTCAGCCTGAATTTCTGTACTCTTATTGGTCTGAGGTTATGTGAGGTCACTCGGCACTCAATGGGATAATTGTAACACGACGATCATAGGTCCACTTTACGTCACCGTACGTACCTCCTTGAGATTGCCTGGTCCACATACTCCAGCGAACCTGATTCAGTTCTCATTCGGATTCCGGAACAATGGCATGTCATCGTACTACCGCAAGAAAAAAGGCAAGCGAAAAAAAACAAAGTCTTGGTATGCTCCTGATCATCACGAATAGCACAGTTCCACTCCTTTTGAACAAATACAACAGAAGATGGGCTATCTATTGTTCAAATTCAACCTGACATAAAATAAGGCGACGACACCAATTTGGCCTTCGGACTTCTAAACCGTATTTCAATCAGCTATTGTGGTTTGACTTCAAGAATGACTATCACTCCGATATCGGTGTCTAGTTATTACATGGAGCAAAAGCTTTTCGAAGAACTGATGAACTGAAGTACTTAAGGGGTCCATCTCAAGGTCCCAGAAGATAATGACACTCGTAACATAAATAGGAAAAACACACCATAACTATTATGCCCGATATTCTATATAATACAAGGTTTCTGGAAGAAATGAAGTATTATGGAGTCATCAGGCATTCAACTACACGTCGAAAAAAACTTGATGTTGACCACAAGAGGTCAAGAATAGCCTTGGAGGCAGTGTGGTACTATAAAACCGACGCTGGCTGGTTTATATGTAACTACCCCATAAAATAACACTGTTTATTATAGCGCTACATCGAAAAGGGCCAACTGCAAGGAACGTGCCCCTGTCCCTGCCGCCTTTAATTTGTGTCGGCTTGCTTCTTCTTGTTTCTTTGTGTCATGATCAATAAGCTTGTTTTCTCCAGCTTGCGAAAGGGGCAGGGAAAGTCTTGGAACCAAACAACCGCTCGCTTCCCCTAATAATGGTCAACATCGTCATCCAGGCCACATCATGCCCATGTGTCTCCACCTTTGCCATGCTACATTCATAGCTTTCTCAGCTGGTAAGTGGACGGAACGGACAGAATAAACCAGGAACTGGTGGACATGACTCTTGACTTAGCTATCATCGAAAATCATGTTAATCCCTCACCTACATGGAATACCCGTCGTCGTACGATCGTAATCTCCGTCACTGCACAGGGTCTAAGCTTTAAAAGGAATGGGCAGATTGATAAGTCAGGACGATCGTGGTTCGTCTTGTCTTTCCTAGCGGGACTTCCGCTGCTATTGTAATCAAGCGCGCGGTACGGAATTCCCTTATTCGATACTTGGTAAGCATGCATGTCAAAAGTTATTGCAGACCAAGGATGCGAGATTGAGGGATCACCTTAGACAACTTTACCGACTTTCAGCGAACGGCTGCGAGTGCACAACATTTTGTTTCTTAGGTTATATAAGAAGAGATCGACGATGCTGTTTAGCAAGGTTTCTTCAACCCGATTGCCTCGTCGGTAGCCTTACTACGATCGTTTTTGGTTTCGCCCACCCAAGCCTGTCATTATGTTTCGCACTCTCTTGGCCCTTGGCCTTCTCGGCACCCGAGCTTTGGTCGGTGCCGCGACCGAGATCGAGACCCGAACAATCGACGAGATCTACCAGGCTGCTCTTGCCGAAGGGGGCGTCGTCACTCTGTTCCAGGGCGGCGATGAGACCACCCAAGCCAACGGCCTGAAGACAAACTTCGAGAAAAGATTCCCTGGCATGACTCTGAACGTGACCGTCGACGTCTCCAAATACCACGACGGCAAAATAGACGATCAGATCGCAGCCAACAACGTCTACGTCGACAGCACCATCCTCCAAACGCTCCACGACTTCCCTCGTTGGGCATCTGAGGATGCTCTTCTTGACTACGCCCCTCTGGGCTACGACAAGATTCTCCCCGAGTTCAAGAACAACGAGACCGCTGCGTACTACGGCCTCTTCATCATCTCATGGGGTGGCCAATGGCACTCTGGAGAACTGCCCAACATCACAGCCCCGGTGGAGTGGGAGGACTGGGTCAACCCTGACCTCAAGGACAAGCTTGTCCTGACCTACCCCAACGACGACGATGCGGTCCTCTTTGCCTTTAATCTAATGTAAGTTGCACAACTTTAGTAGACTATGTTCGGTAATGACTAATGGTCCAAAATAGTCTGAAGCAGTATGGCCCCGCCTGGTTTGACAAGCTCCTCGCCCTGAACCCCCGCTGGGTCCGTGGTACTCAGACCCCAAGCACCATCTTCAGGAAGAACGATACCCAATGGGCTGCCACTTTCACCTCTTCCGGTAACCTGAACCCGGTTTCCCCGATCAAGTCGTCCTTCCCCGTCAAGGGTCAATTCGTGTCATGGCCCCAAACTGGCGGTATCCTCAAGAATGCACCCCACCCCGAGGGTGCCAAGCTTCTGCACTCCTATATCCTCAGCGCCGAGTACCAGAACATCCGCGGAGGATGGAGTGTCCGCGGCGACGTCCCTCCCCCACCCAACTACCCTTCCATCTTGGAGATGCCCGGTACCGACCCTACCGCCTTCGGCAAGTGGATGTCTGACCGCGTGGTTGTTGAGAGACTCCGCTTCTGGTTTGAGGACCGGATTGGCACCACCCAGGGCCTTAGCCCCCTCATTGATGATCTTTGAGTGACAAGTCGTGAAAGGGAGCACCGGAGATCTCTTCCATTCTTGATATATGAAATGACATCATTTGTTGCTTTGTCGAGTAAACAAACATCTTGAATATGCATCTTAAATCATGTGAAAGCGACCAGATGACCGCATGTACAAGTGTCAAGTATCGCGTTCCGAGGTTACTAAGCGGCGAAACAAGATCACTTACCAAAGAACCTACCATGGCCTCGCGTCAAAGGCCAGGAGATGGGCCCATTTTGGCGTTGTTAGGGCCTTGTAAAGTCAATGTGACAACGTCCTGGGAGCTAATCTCCTGTATCCAGCAAGCGGAAGAGTCAAGGGATTCCCTGTTTAGTTCTGTCAATCACTTGAAACACGTTGTCACCTGTAGCCAAGAAATGTTCAGTAGGTGCTTGTTGCTGTGAGGAGAATTGGCTCTGTAGAATCTTCCATCCAGCCCTCGGCCGGAATGAAGGAGATGGGCTGAGTCGAACTTCAGTTTGCTAATATGATAATCATCAGCCAGCCTGGTGATATCCTGCATAGGAATACAAGCAGATTTTGAATTGACGCGACATCTCACTTTCTACAAAGGCATTCCAAGTACGTGCGCTGGCCTCTCAGGCCCTACGTGGTTCCATCTGACCGACAAGCTTGGCAACCCGCGCCAGAATCCGCCGTACGCGCGATTCTATCGCTGCTATTAGTCAATATATGGGTAATTTTCACAGGATATAAGGCGTTAGTTACTGCCCGTAACTAACGGCGTCATTTTTGCGACAGTAATTTGTCTGCGGAATCCAAAAAAAGTACTTACTTTCTAGGCCATCACTATCGAAAGTCTTGCTATACCCGGCACTGTCCTCCTCTTTCAACTCCTCGTGCGGCGGCTGAGCTGCACGTTCCGTGCCATTCCGGCGAATTTGATACCAAAGATCGTGAATATCGGGTGAATTTGGTCTTGAGCTCACGCAATTGTTTCTTTCTCTGCTGTCCTCGTTCTGGCACGTCTCCCATACATCCCCGGCGTCCGAGCCGTCTGCACTGTATATGGTCAGGCTTTCGAACCGCGCCTCGACGTCATCAGACACAGTCTCAGCATATGTCGTTAACTCGTCGAGGTAACGTGATAGCATGAAGAAGCGAGGGCTCCCTGGGAGCTTCTATTGTAGATCGGCAATCCCTTCGAGGATTCTGGCCGTGCCGTCCACAATGTCCTTGGAGTCTTTGACTAGAACGTCTGTGTTTTGCTTCACCGCAATAGTCTCCTGCTGGACATCACGGAGAGTGGTTCTGAGAACGCAGTCAGTTCCACGATACCTGAACAAAACTTGAGATTACTTACAGAGAGAGAATCTCCAAGGCCAGGTTTAGTGTTGTTTGTGTGCTTCCAGAGTGGCTCGTAGCCTAGGCATGTCCCCCCTACCAAAGGCAACCCAGCGAGCTCCTTTTTGGATCCGGGAATCTTGATGTGTCTGAACACAGCCTTCGATCTCTGCGACCATGTTCTTACAGTTAGAAAGAACGCCGGATATCTGCATCAGCAGGCCGTCTGGAGGTGGTCGTGGTGCGTTTTCGAAATCATCGGCCATGAGTTCAAGAACGCTCTTCAAAGAAAGCAACTCTCGACTAACGGTATCTCTTTCGCTTTTTGCGTCTCTAACTTCGCGGACAAATATTGTAAGATTAAAGGCCAATGTAGTGATGGTGCCGGCCAAACCTACACAGGCGGTCGCGATCGAGCTTTGTGTCCAAAATCATCAGTCACTTCTTTGCATCATACTTTGGTCCGAACGTTGGAGTCATATGGAGTAGCACAAGAAGTACAGGGTGTCCATCCTGGCAACAAGCTCGTGCAAAATGCTATTAAAGCTGTGATATTATTTGTAAATACTGACGCCTGAAAAGGCGCGGCTGAAAGTGTGACACAGTGAGGGGTTGCATGCAGCGTCCAGACGCGAGTTGATGAGCTAGTACATAAAAGAAGAGCTGAGATCTCGACCATTCTTATTGGCGAATAGGTCGTTATCTTACTTATTCTTGAGTGGCTGGAAGAAACATGGATAAGCGCAGCTGAAGCGGCGCAGCAAAGGGCATAGTAAGTACGAGAAGAACAGTAGGAAAATTAAACACAGAAGTAGCGCAGGGGTTCAGTAACATGTAGAGAATATGATATCGTTCAAACAATGCTTATTAGTCGCTCTCTGCTATACTACATCCCAGTCTGGGGAGCGACTTGGCCCAAACAGGATCGACGAGATTGTAACAGAAACTCTCAAGGAGAGGCGAACGACAGCAGCGGAGGAGCGGATCGACTGTGCCAGCAGGCGAAATGTGTATTTAGTTGTAGTCAGTAGTCCACTTGAGCGCCCTTTGCCCTTGACAGGGACGTCCAGGCGTTAAATACTCAAACAAACAAACAAACAATCTGCTATACTACACACCAGTCCTGGTGTGACGAGACGCGGAAGCCTCGCCTCCATCACTGACCAGAAGCCGAGCTGATCGGGCAATCGAGCACTTCTTAGAGATGCAATTTATCCATACCGCAGTCACGGACATGTTGATCAGCTCACTGGCCGCAATTTCTGTCCACAACCCCCTGGCGCCAGGGGTGGATGAGCTTGGAAGCAGTGTCGCCCTTTACGAGTCGTATCAGGGCAAAGCAAATGCAGCTTTGCGAACAGCGAGACGGAGAAACAGGTGCTGTTTGTGAGGCTGGTGTCACGCGCACGTTCAATGCCCGCGTTCAAATCCGCCTCTTCTCATTATATAATCCATAACGGGCATTCCAAACATCTCTTTTGAATTGCCAGCACCAGCTCAGACACATAATTAAATCTCATAACTTTCATCAGGCATATATATCGGTTCCAGGGTATATTTGAATAATAAATGTGCATGCTGGCCATGCAGGCTTGGTGTCTGTGTGTTAGGGAGGCGTTATTACACCCATTTGTTCCTTGCACAGGGCTAATAGTCCAACTACTCACCATGGGCGCAACAGCTTCTCAGCCAGCCATCAATGAAAGAGGTATTAATGGCAGACTCTATACCGTACTCTAGCTCATTTACTTCTCTTCGGAACCATCAAAGGCGCGATTGGTCGTTGTCACACCGCGATTCCACCGGCTGGTTTGACCTCCACCCACCTCTACATCAGTAACAGAACGACATGACCGGTATAGGAAGGGCTACCAGCGACTGCGACTCACAACTACGATGCTAACTTGCTATGGTTCGTGGGCCTGCGCGAGCGTCCACTGGAACCCCGCCACCAGCGCGGCGACGACGCGACGCATCTCTCCCTTGGCAAAGCGCTCGCTTGTGCACCCCTTTGGGCCCTTTAGGAATGTCAACCTGTCGTACCGGTGGCCCTTCACAGTCCCCCCATTATCGTTGAGCGTGACGTGGGGCGAGCGGACGTACTCCTCGGTGGGTAAGGAAGATGCCGATACATCTCCATCGCGACTTTGATGGGGCGTAATCAATCGCCTAAGGTCAAAAGCCATAGCGTAGGGAGAGAGCACGATGTAAGTGACCGCACGCACGGCGTGGCTCCCGGCTTATAAGATGGCCGGTGATTAGGCTAGTTCCGGTCGCTCGAGCGGTTCGCCTGCGGAAGAGTGCTCACTAGAGCATGGGGACTGTCTTTGGTCGTACCGGCGATGATGACTAGAACGGCGGAGAAGATCCTTCGGCCTGCGGTGGTCTCTCGCATGTCATCGAGCTCAAAGCATGGCAAGTCCTCATCAATCCCAGTAGGGAGCCATGCTACACAGATGCAAACGTCAGGGGGCCAGGGCGCGAGCCATTCATCTTGATGGGACGCACATCCACTCTAGAGAGGCCAAACAATCACGCTGACCGACGCAAATAGCCACCGTTGGCCTTTGACATGAACAAAGGCACAGACAGACGCTGCGAGAGATTGCGACTACGGTCAGTGACACAGGTCTCAAACAATGCCACTCTATCCCTTGCGTCAAGTGTTTGCCATCAACAACGCACATCTCCGGTCAAGTGTTGGCATATATGCAGCCGCGCGTCGTCGATCGACCTCGAGGCGCACTACCTGTGGTTCAACAACTTCCACATCGAAACACAGAAACCACAAAAAAAAACATCAAGTGCTGCGAATACTCACATTCAAACGCCATCGCAAGGCGGCTCGGACCACAGGGGCCAACGGTTGTGAACGGCACCAACGTCATGAGGAGGCCGAAGCTTGTCGACTACTCCGATAGCGAAGGCGAATCCATGGACCCCTTTGGGCCCGTTGTACCGCCTGGTGAGCAGCCAAGCCCTCCTGAGCCGCAGGACGAGAATGAATTCGCCCAGATCGTGATGCAACTACAGCACGAGTACACCAAAGAAGTTGGCGATCTCGAGCGGCGGCAGGAAGAGACTGAAAGAGAGTTGCGAGTGTGGAAGGCGCAGATCGAAGACAGGCTGCAGCTGCAAGTCAACGTCATGGCCTCGATCATCAAGGTGAGTATGCTCGTGGCCGAGCAACATCCCCTGGCGAATCGGCCATTGGACGATGCTGACTGGTTACAGGAAGTCTTTGGCGTAGATGCAACTAACCCGACGTTGCGAGAGAACACGCGGCAGTCCAATGAGGGTGATGGTCATGAGGCCACACTGGTCTCGCCATCGCCGTCGCCGTCGCCATCGGCGATTCCACCTGCGCTTGTCGAGCCAGATGTCCGGCCAACTGTCCCCCTTCCACGACGCAGAAATACGTCACGTGTGACTTTGCCTGTCCACATACGAGAGGGAAGGCCGGATCCTCCAGCACGGAGTGAGGATGGACGTCAACTACAAACGGTCCACCTGTCGCCGCCGTTAGTAACACGCAGCACTGGCAAGAAGGCGCCTCGTCCAAGGCTTGTTGGAGCGAGTCATCGACCATACGAAGCCGCGAGGAAGCCAAGGAATAGGGCTAGCGAGACCAGCCACGCGAGAGCAGTCAAGACTGGGCACGGGCAGGCCATGACCACGAGCGGCATCGACGAATCCCACGAGATGACCGAGCCCACCGCCGACGCCGGCGCCAAAGAAAGTCCGCAGCCGCCGACGCGTACTCAAGCAGCGCCATTGAACCCCTACGAAGACCCCAAATACTTCAGCACGCTCACCGTCTTCGACAAGGACGGCAAGCGGCGGCCCATCTTCCAGTTCCACCAGCACCCGGTGACGGTCGAGGAGCAATGGGCCGAGTTTCGGCACGGCCTCCATGGCCAGCCGCCCGTGGAGCAGCTGGAGACGTTGTACAGGGCCAAGTGGCGCAACAGCACGTATGGGCGGTCCTGGTTTACGCGCCGCAAGGCATTCTGGGACAGGATGAAGGAGATGCTGGCCGAGGGCAGGACGGAGGGGCAGGCACTGGAGGCGATGAGGCGGCGGGCGGAGGGGGGCGGCGTGCCGAGCCTGATCGCGCAGCTTTGCAGGGAGCGGGGTCACGGGTCACGTCCGGATAGGCGGAGGAATCGGCCCCGTTTGCCGGGCCACAACAGGGGGACGGGGGGAGGCTGCGACGAGGATGTCGACAGGGGACGGGAGAGTGACGAGTGCTCGGAGACAGGCCGGTCAAGTCCTTTGAAGCTGCGGAAGAGGGTTAGAGTGTCGGTAGCGGGAAAGGAACAGGGTAACGACGAAGTTTGAATCACTCTAACAGGGCGATCACAAAAGACGGATTGATATCTAGCATCGGAATCTGGGGGGACTGACGTGATGGACCCGAGGAGCGACTTGGGGGACATTTTCGATGACTTTCAGGCAGGCAGGGAGGTGAAGTCGTCCATTCAAGGCGCAAAAGAACAGACTGCGTTGGCATGGCAGGGGGGCATGCAACCATGTCAGAGTAAAGACGGCTTGGGCGGCATTTCTGAGTGACGAGCTAGTGCAAGCACGATGCTACCAAATCGGCCGTGGTGTTGCTTCTCCGCGACAAATGTCAGCCGACTAATTAGACGATGCCTCGCATCCGAAGCGCGGATGGATCATGTTGATTCGTGCCAGACGTGAGGGAAGCCAAGCTCCTGTTGAGGAATCAGCTGTTTTACAGTTTCAGAACGACGGCGGCTAGGCTGCGAGGAAGCATCCGAGACAGCGAGGGGGAGACGGCGGTGCGTGGCTGTAGTTCGAACCTAGACTAGAAAATTAAAAACAAATTAGAATGGAGGTCGCAGTAACGACGAGCCACGGGGGGAGGGGAATCCTGAACATGTTTGGGGTTTGGGGTGTGGCTGAGGTTTTATCCGAGGGTTACCCTGTCGACAAGATCCGAAAAAGCCCGCAAGTGGTGTGATCTCTTGGGTTGGAGGGATCGAGTTGGCAAGGGCTGCTGGCGAGGGCGTCGCCCCCGTTGGTCGGTTGATCAGTCAGGAGCCTACAGGCGAGTTATGTCTATGTGTCAGCGTGTAGGAGACATATAGGTAGTATTTGCAAGGACAGCGGGACGAATGCAGGTGGTGGCCCGCTGTGGGATGCATGGCCTTGGTGAATGTTGAATTCGTTCATTGTCGGAGGGGCAAGGCATGCAGGCAGGCGGCCGGGTCCAGTGCTGGCCGGGTCTTGGGGTTAGAAACGGGGACAACCAACAAAGGATTCAAAAGTGACGAACATGGTTATTGTGTTATTGTTCCCGGCGCCGTGATGGACGGCGACGGCGACGGCGACGGCGACGGCGATTCGTGGAGACGGACCCAAGAGGAGGGGGCAGAGAGGAAGAAAAATAAAAATAAAAAACCACGGAAAATAGTAAGAAAGTGGCGCCAAGACATGCATGACCCAGGCAAATTGCAAACAAACAGGTCGACCTGAATCAGTGATAACGTGATTAATTGGCCCATTTGCCAGGAATTAAAAGTATCCACACGATCGATGCGAGTGCCTTGGTACTGTGTTGTAAGCTCATCCCGTCCATGTGTCGATGTTTTGGGCGTTTGGTCTCACCGAGGTCGATATTGCGGCTGGTCGAGAGAAGAATAGGTTTTCAGAAAAAGCAGAGAGTGTGATATTTGGGCAAACAAGAGTGAGTGGTCGTTGAGGAGAGAAAAACAAGAAGAAAAGAAAAATTGAGCACTCCTGCCCATTTGCATGACGTGTTTGTGTGTTACTCAGTGGGTAGGCACGGATATACTTGTGGAAGGAAGGCACGATGTCGATTTGGATATTCGAGGCAGGAAGAAACAGGTACGGATACTCTGTACCTACCTACCTACCTATCCACCTCCTTCTCCGAAGAGTAAGTATCCGTACCTAGATAGTAGATACGTATCCGTACGGACGGTACGTACAATGTACATGAGGATTGTGTGGGAAGGCAGGGACAGGAAGGAGTGGAGGGCCAGTGGGACATGGTCCTTGTGCCCCGACTAGAACCTGCCAATCATGGCCTGCAGCCCTGCTAGAGCGGGTCCGCACCGAGCCAGATCGGTCTGCTTCTTCAGGTGTGGATATCCACCTTTCCTTTTTTTCTGTCCTTCTGGGATCCCTCCTCAACTGTTGTTCTCGGTGCTCCTCCTCCCCTCATCGCCATCATCATCATCGTCGTCCTTCTCCTTCTCGTCGTCAATCCATTCATCGTCAGTGTATTAGTTATTTCCATGGGCAACTCCCTGCCGCGACTGCAATACAAACATACGAAGCCCTCTTCCCACAAACTTCTCACCCGACCCTCGTCAGGAATCCGTTTCGCCCAAGGAGCAACTACCCGGCTTCTTCCTTATGGATGTAACCCTGGGCCCAATCCGGACCTTCGTTGGCAGAACGTACATACAGGGAGGGGGAACCATGGTCATGCGCTGTGACCCAAGCCTCGGCGCGCAAATCCCCAGGGGGTTGCGGCTAAGAGACGTGACGGTTCGTCATCAAGGATCGCCCGTGGCAGTCAAGGGGCCCGCTGGATGCACACTCGCCAACGACATGCCTCACTACCCACAATCGTGCAGCTTCAGCACGGAATGCCCTGAACAAGATGGGGGCCTAATCTTGGACTTCAACTATTCTTGATATGGCGCTTGCAAGACGAATGGTACCCGACACGCCCATCAATCATGACGGCCCTCCACGGCGCCGGCGTGCGCATCTACATCATCTCATAGCGCAAACAAGACATGCATGATGGATATATCATATCAGGCTGGGCATGGAAAAGCCTGGACCGCCATGTAGGTTCCCTCGGTAGTTGAGACGGATGAGGCGCATCCACTCAGGAACGATCCTCACTTGTCCCCAGATCCATCTCTTTTGCCCTCCCCTCTCTTTTCACAATTCGCTTTTTCGTATCCGCATCTTGCAGCACTGACCCCTTTCTCTGCATGCTGATCGCCGAAAGGGGGGCCCTTCGTTGTCCGGCACTTCTGAAGCATGGGAGAACCCTTGACACGGCGGTGGACTCCGAAGCGGCGGCATGGGGATCACAAAGAACAAAAAAACCTGGGGCATGGGGCAGCCCCTAGGTATTCTTTGCTGCGCTTTTCACTCTTCACTCACCCTCGTTCAACCCTGCATCGCGTTTCCCCTCCTGACCCGCTAGCACGTGTTGCCGGCGCTCTGTCATCTAGACTGTCTGTCTGCTTTACGAAAAAGAAAAATCAATCACAAAAAACCATAACAGTCCCTATCTCGCGTCACGCACCTGCTTAGCCTCCTGTCCGAGGCCGCTCGTTGCTGGGCGAGAAAAAGGCCTTGGTGTCCGTCCTTCATTCGCTCATGGTCAGTCCTCGCGGGTTACAGACTCATATATTGTCTCACTCCCGCATACAACCCCGCCTACCTAATCAACGTCTAATATCCCACAATCGCCCGTCTTCCCTTCCATCGCCACAGCTCTTGATCCGTTACACACCCGTCTTTGGTCATCATGCCTTCATCATTACTGCTTTCCCTCCCCGACGAGGTCCTGTTGCAAATCGTCAGCCATCTGACGCCGCCCCTCGATGGTCTCGATATCCCGTTCCAGGCCTACACCGACCCGGATGGCGTCGTTGTCACAAATCGCGTCGCCCTTTACCGCCTCGCCTTCGTGTGTCGCCGGTTATCGGATCTGGCCATTCCCCATCTCTACCAGACCGTCTACCTCTGGGGTCAGACCCGGCTACAGTCGTTGCTCCAGACTCTGCTCGAGCGTCCCGAACTGGGCGACAACATGCGCGTCCTCTCCTATGTCTCCTGCCTGGGCACAGATCACTACCCCACCGACGTTCTTTGCCCCTACAAGCGCACCGAATGGCGCCGCCTGGTCGATGCCTCGTCACGGTTTCCAGACCGCATAAAGAATTTCGTCCGGGAAGCCAACACAGAGCTCGAATTCGCCCAGATCGTCTTCGCCCTCGTTCTTTACTCGTCGCCGAACCTGAGCACCCTCCACATGCGCATGCCCTTCGCCGCGGGTGAGTACCAGAAGCTCAAGGACATCATCACCCCAGACATCGAGACCGCCGAAGGCTGCCCCCGCGTCCTGAGCTCTCTCACCCGCGTCATGCTTGAGCCCATGCCCGACTTCCCGGGCGCGAGTTTCTGGCCCCGTCGCGAACTGCCGTGTCTTCTTCGCCTGCCCAAACTGCGCTCTGTGGAGCTCGGCTCCGCTGTTTTCCGGCCCGCCGTCCTCGATCCCGGTGACGGCTGGGGTGACGATGGCAGCTGGAAAAATGTAGAGGAGATTCGGCTTGTGCGCAGCAGCATGTGGGGTCAAGGCTGGCATGCCATCTGCGCCTTGTGCCCGAACCTGAAGCTCCTCGAGATGGGCCCTTCCGGCGTCGCCGAGCAGCCTGCCGACGGTGAGCACAATCTCAACACCGCATTGTCCCTCGTTGCCGATACCCTCGAGACCTTCTCGTTCGAAGGTATCCTCGCTGGCAACTTCTCCCAGCACGTCGGCGGAGACGGCACTCTCACTTGTCTGCCCAAGATGAAGGCCCTACGCAATGTCAAGCTCGATATTGGCATTCTGTATGGGAACCCGGAGGGGGTGCAAAGTATTGATCTCCGTGACCGCTTGCCGCCATCAGTGGAAATACTCGACTTGGCAGAACTGTGGCACGACGTCGAGGTCGACCAGCTTTCTACCAAGGAGCGTTGCATGTATGAAAAGGGTCTTCAGGACGCTCTGCATAAGCTCGTCTTCGATAGCAGAGAAGCCTTACCCCACCTGAAGGAGATCACCTTCCGCCCGAACCCCTTTTACGACCCTCTGCCGATACCCGATACTCTCAAGTACTACCCGTCCAAGGTCGCCTTCAAGCTCGTCTACTAAGTCCCGTTACGTGATGCGGACATGCGACCAACAGCACAATATCTTCCAATCAGCGGACTCCGAGTCATAGGCAGGCGAAGGATGGGACCTGGCCAAACGCAGAATTTAAAAATATGTTACAAAGACATGACCTAATGAGATCATATCCAATATAGACAGTGCTTGCCCGTCGGCTTGTATAAACAATGACCTACCTCTATTTCGAATGAAGGGGAACACCTTACTAGAACCTCCACGAGCTTCGGCACCGCTTACCATCCGATGAGCCATCCTTGCTTTTCCGCCGGGGCTCAGCCCAGTCATCGAACCGGACTGAATGACGCCTCCGTACTGGCTCGGGTCGAAAGCATCCCTCGCGAGCACGAATCCCCTCCCGACACTCCTCTCTGTCACGGTCTTTTCTGTCACGGTCTTTTATGTCAAAGCTCTCTCGACGAAGGTACCTCCACGGTCTGGCTTGCTCGTCCCGTCGGGTCTCCAGGCTGCTTGCCTTGCCCCGACGCTCCGACCCCCGCCGGCCGCGGTCTTCAACGATCCCGCCAACCCTCCGCTGCCCGAGCTCCTCATACCTCCGCAGCAGGTCGACATACCGGGTCCAGCAGTCCGCCAAGACCTCGGCGCTCAGCGCCAGGTCGTCCGCGCCTACAACCATATCGGCGACGCGTCGTATCCAGCCACACTCGTACTCGCGGAGGACGCCCTCGCACGCGGTGCCGTGGGCGGCGCGATGCCGGGCGCGTTCCCTCTCGACCCGGAGGCGGGCCTTGTCGAGCTCGGCCTCAGCGTGAAGGAGGACGCGGCCGATGTCGAGGAGCTCGTCGAGGGCAAGGCGGAAGTCGCGGGACTCGACGGCGCGGAAGTCCGGGTCCCGGTCGAAGGTGCGGAGGCGGCGCCAGGACGACGCGCTATGCTGGGCCGCGAAAGGGTCGGAGTGGATAGGCTTGGACGGGTGCGGGCTCGAGTGCGGGTATGAGCGGGAGCGCGAGGGCGACATTCCTCGTGAGGGCATAGAGGAAGCGTCTCGTCTGGGCGACGCGGAGAGGGAACGGAGGTATCGGTTGTACCTCGTTGGATCCCGGCACCGGCGCGCGCAGCGGTGGACGGCGACGTCGAGGGTGCAGCAGCCGTGGGAGGGACAGCGCCCGAAAGGGGCGAGGGAGTGCCAACGGCTGCTGCTGCGGCCGCGGGCGGACGGGGACGGAGGCGGGGCGCATGGGCAGGCCAGGGGCGTCTCGTAGGGATTGACATACAGGGTCTTTGTGGAGGTGATGACCGGGCGGACGTCGCATGACATTGTGTGGGTGTAGACTTTATAGCACATGGTGACGGGATTCTTGGATGTCAAGGCGTATGGATTCTTAGCAGAGTGGCAGACTCGAGTAGAAATGAGGATGCCGGCTTTTCTGAGTGGTGTGTATGTATACGCGTGAAACGCAATAATCAGATGTTGTGCGGGCGGTATGTATGCTTTTCCTGAGCCTGCAGAACGCTTGACGGGACACGCAGACCAGACAGGTCTTATAGAGGGATTTGGATCAGAACAACATGATCAATGCATTGTTTCCGCGGTTGGTGAACAAGAGGGTCGGTTCTTGGGGTGGAAAAAGCTGTAAGCGGGGACAAAGAGGCTGTCTTGCAACCGCCGAGGCATTTTGTTTGAAGGAAAAAAGAGGGGAGAAGGGATCCATCTTGTTTTTGTTGTTTGGCCTTTGATGAGATCGAGGTCTTTTGTGTGCGGACAGCGGATAAACTAAACGATCAAGTTCGAACAGTACTTTGTGTCTTTTTATCAGTATCACAGGGGGAGGTTGTGGCCTAGGTCGAACCTTTCGGCTGGGTGAAGCAGCAGTCTCTTGATGATGTCTACTGCCGCCTGAAGAAGGGGAGAAGAAGGGGGAAGGTAAGAATCTGGTGATCTAGATATCAGTGAGTTGCAGCCTCGGTATTCCAGTTGTTTCGAATCCAATCCATATCCCAACAGTTTCGTCACTTGTGGCTGGTGTGCTAAGTATAGACATTGGGGGAAAGTCAAAGATGGCGAGGGCCTGTCGGTTTGGGCACGAGGGGCTGAGTCTGTCATGCTACAATGCCGATCGATTGTCCGGGACAAGTACCACGACCGTCTGGCTTCGAGATGCACCACGGGATCCGGGGAATGGAATCAAACGAGTCGCATTGGTACTGCCCATCGTTCACAGAGCCCGTATGCCTACCGAGTATACATGCCTTCACAGTCACTGGCAGTTACTTAATATCTATGTTGGTTTCCCTAGGGTAGTGATACAGTTAGCTACACGTATTGATAGTAAACAACAGAAAGTGGGGGTAACTAGTAGTTCTAGATTATGCGTAAAGAGATAGGTAACTATTATAGATTACTAGTAAATTACTAGTAAATCTACCAAGTAATCTACTATAGTATCCAGTCGATACAATAAAGATTTAGCTATATCTGCCTTGGTGAAAGGCTTGAAATGACCCGAATTGATTTGAAGCATGGTCGAACGTTCGATGAACCAGAGGTATCAACAAGGAGGACAATTTGTAAGACCGGCGCAGATTTGGAACGAGCATTGACGTCCTTAGCTACCCAACGGTATTTGTGTAGTAATGGCTTTTTGCCCCTATCTACAAAATCGATGGCGAAGTAACGCCCGCTATTGCAAGCTGACGATAGTATCTTGTTCCAGTGAAATCTTGCGAGCTTGATCCACATGCCGAAGTCGTGATCCCGCCTGCCTATTTTAAAACCGGGCCGTCTATGAACGGTGTGTATTGCTGCGGGCACGTAGTCTTGGACGGTGGAAGTGCGCCTTGAAGGTATGCTTGTACATATCCAAAGTAACAGTTTGACCCCCCCAGGTTGACAACCGTGTGCTGCAGTAAATCTCACGAGCAAATTTGGGCCCTGGTTTGGTATGTTTATATGGCTGGGATGTGTGATAGCTTACACCGGCGGCTTCTTGTAACAGAAGTGCAGATCCGGGAAATCGAGAAGACATCTTGCGCGCCCTGCGAATGATTCGAGTTCATTAGTTATGCTTTAGATGGAGAGACAATTCAGTCAGAACGTACGCTTCCAAGGGTGTTATAGGGTCGACGGTGTTGCTCGCGAATAGGATCGGATAGGACGTGGGCTTATCCGGCCCACCTATCGGACCTGTTCGAGACAGAAACTGGTCAGCCCTTCCGACCAATGCAGGTGTTTGTTCGCACCAATCCAAAGGTGTTACACAGAGGAGCGGCGAACGGAAGCAGTAAACCTACCTTGAAACACCATGCCATCAGACAGTTCTGATCGGAATGACCTACACAGGATGTTCTCGAGGAAGATGGGATAGATGTCGCCAATGTACTTGCTCTTCGATACAGTGTACTCGACGTAAGCCTTGAATTCGTCAATGGTGGTGGTAAGCCCGTTTCTCCGGTACGAATCGGCGCACTGGATGGCAAGACGGGCGTCGGATGTAACCCACAGCCCGTCAAACAGTCCCACAAGAGCAGAAACGTCCCCTCTCTCGAGCTGCTGCAAGGTGTTGGCCAGGGCCGGGAAGGAAGCCAGTGGGTTGTAGATGGCGTTGATGAAGAGGGCCTTTAGGTCTGAGTCCGTGACCATTGACGGCGAGTCCCGAGTTTGAACCCCGCTGACTGGAACAGGATGGTCCCGAAACTGGTCAATGATGATGTTGATTTTGGCCATGATGTCGGCTGGCGTGGGTCCCCAGAAGGCGCATTTTTCAGGACCCGAAGAATGGCATAGAGTCAAGAACCTTTCCATGGCCTCGTCCATTTGATTAACGTTGCCCCTCCAGTCATTGATGTAATAATTCTCTGCGTCCAAAACGCCGTCGAGAATCATTCTCCCGACCCGGTCTGGAAACATGGAGGCGAAGGTGGTCCCGACAACAGTGCCGTAGGTGATGCCGTAGCACCACAATTTGGCCTGCGATGGCGACAGACCGGATGATTCAGCCTCGGATTCCGTAAACCTGAGCAAACTGTAGGCGACCGCCGGTGTAGTCACGTAGTATCAATGAGGCGACCCGCAATCGACAGCATCGTTGCACCACTCTCCGTAGATGGAGCTTGGATAGTACTGTTCCTCGAGCGACGTCGATGACACGTTGGTGACACCGGTGCTGTGCAGCCACATAAACGCCGCCCTCGCTTCCGTATTCCCCGAGAAGCAGTCGAGGCCCAGTCCGCTATTATTCACACCGCGGGGGTCAAAGGAAACGAAGTTATACTGCTCTCCAAAGATGGGCCCCGCCAAGGTTCGGTATTGAAGGAGCAGGTCAACACCGGATCCACCTGGACCGCCTGGAGAGGTATCAGTATGGTAACACGCAGGTGAGATGTCTTTGTACGAGCTGTCGACATCTTACCTGGGATGAGTACAATGCTCGGGGACTGGGTGGTTGCATTCTTGCAGGCCAGTTTGATGAAGGCAACAGACGTTGTGCCCAGACTCGTATTCGAGTAGTCCAGAGGAACCTCCAGTCTGGAACACGTGAAATCATCGAAACATGGTCTCCACGTTAGGTTGGCGGATGGTTCAATCTAGACGACCGGTCAGGACTCAGAAAGCCCAAAGGCTCTGAAGGATGTGGTTCGGCCAAGTCCAACACTTAACAGCACCGAAACGACGGCCGTCACACTCATGGTCTGCTACCTCTTCACCTGCTTCGATCAGCTGGCGGGCAACTACGTACAGGCAATGACGCACCTACGTGGAGGCGTGGAGCTCTTACGCAGCATCGGCATGGCTTCACCGAACAACAATGGTGCATATGACCCCGTCACACCGTCGGAGGTCCGCACGCTCGTAGCTCAAGTAACCAGACAGATCCGCCGACTCGACATGCAAGCCGTGACGTTTCTGGTCGACTGGATTCCCGCCAATTTTCAAGACACACTTGTGTCCCGACTTCCGCCTTTCGACGGTGCCTTCCAATCTCTCGACCAAGCCGCCGACCACCTCCAGACCCTCGTCGCCCGGGTGATGACTCTGCGCAACGCGGAGCAGTGAACGACAGCCACGGGTGACGTACTGCCGCAACACGCATCCGAAAAGGACATCCTCCACGGGCAGTTGGGAACGTGGTCAAGTCTCTTCGAGTGCATGATGCAACAGAACAGCTTCCGCGAGCCGGACTCCACAACCCGCCCGCTCGTACCGCTGCTACGGCTGCAACACACCATCGCGTGGATCCTTCTCAGCGTCTCCGGGCCTGGGAGGGAGATGGACTACGACGGCTTCCTGCCCCAGTTCCAACATTGCGTGGCCCTGGCGGGTTAGACGTGCAGTATTCAGCGTCGCTGGGGCTGACCTTCACACCCGAGGTCGGGATTCTCCCTGTGCTCTTCATAATCGGGGCTAAGTGCCGGCACCCCGCGGTCCGACGCGAGGCTTTGGGCATACTGCGACAGCAACCTATGCGGGAGGCCGTTTGGGACAGCCTCGTTGCTGCGAAGGTGGTCGAGCGAATCATCGAGATTGAAGAGGGCGGGCTGGGGGACGGTGAGAGGGCGCAGAGCATGGGTAAAATTGCGGCGTGGCAGAGGATCGAGATTTTCTCCTGGGTAATACAAGTTAGAGGACGATCAGCGGCCAGGGTGGACATGGAGTACAGTTTCTGTGAGCGCGAGGGGGTGCATGTCGAGTCTCATGAGATGGAGATGGCAGACGAAAAGTCCCAACACGTCTGATGTTCATGGGCAAGAAGCACTGTGCGCTTTTGTTCAGAGTCAAGCAGCGGCAATCGAATGCAGTCCGGGCTTGCACGGCTAGCTATATTGTCGTAGCAGCGTTCGGTGCTGTCATCAAAATTCTCGCAGTGTTATTAACGTGCCGCTATGGGCTTCGTATCGGCTAGTTGAAGTTATTCCTGGCGGTAGACATAAGCTTATCAAACTGTCGAGAAAGTTATAGAACTAGTAGCCCCAGCGAGGAATCCTATCTTGGTCGCGGACCCAGTACCGTGGGACCGGGGTCGGCTATTATGCGAGTTAAAAACTAAGGTTATTCTTCGCAGTCAGCCCTACCCTATGTCCATCGGGGAGTCTGGCGCACGTGTGCCACGGGGCCTTTTTCTTTCTCTCTCCCCCTGTATTATATTGACCTTGTAAGAGGGGTTTACTAGTTTTCGACATCTTTTGGGTTAAGAAACCATTTTCGATGAATAATTGTGGTGGTCATGCCTGGAGCAAGGCATCCTGCCCCCCCTCCCCTAAGTTCGTGGTAACCTAGCTAGTACCAAACATCTTCAAGCCTCTCGCAGGTAACAACCTTTTGAGTGAGAGTTGTTGAAGCCTACGTCCATACCCAGATCCTGATGGCAGTCTGTCAGTCATGATTGACTTTATGCTTAAACTCAAATTAAGCCCCTCTTTTTGTCTCCCCCCCCTCCCCTTCCCACCGCCCTTCTCCCACTCTCTCTCTCTGCCGAACGCAACTGATAGTGTGAGGGATGGGATCACAATGGTTTCAAACAATCGCAAGATCATTCTATAGTCTAGGCCTGGGCTTCTTCTGCTTTTCTTTCGTGATTTTGCGTGTACTAAGAGGGTTGGAGCTACCAATCCCTCAACAGACGACGTCTGTCGAGAGCTGGGCGGAAAGTCTTTTTGGCACGCCGCACAATAATCACAGCTCCGTGAAGCGCTGATATGGATGACGTTCACCTGAGACATCCTCCGAGGTATACACATCTTCACGGGCGACGTGTTAGATCTTGACTTCCCCCCTCAAAACGCCGTTGTCATTCAGGAAAGACACCCTACACTTTTGGCCCGGTCTAGCAGGGCGTTTCCCCCCTTCTGGGTACCACAATGTGGGTTTTGAGCCATATGCCTACGCAGGGTCGAATGGCCGCCCTGGGCCTCGCCTCGCGATGCAGCCAGGCAACTTTAGCTTTACAACTGGACTGTGGCTCTGAGCGTCAACAGACCGGGACCATGAGGCAGACCGAGACTGTGGTGTTATGTTTATCTGACTCATGGCTCAACGAACATAAGTACAGTTTATGGCATCGTCGAATGGCCGCCCTGGCCGCGGCCCACAATCCAGCAAGGCAACTTGAGCTTTACATCTGTACCACGGCTCTGAGCGTTGGCAGACCGGGACCGTGAGACAGACCGGGACCGTGATGGTATATTTTATCAAGAATGGGTCAACCAAAATAATTGAAGTCTTTGGCAACAAAAAACTTAATACCTGCTCCCCTACATAAATCTTCCCGGTCCCCCCAGGATCATTTTTCTTCTCTTCTTTCTACTTTCTTTCTACTCAAGCAAGCTTGCTCACGCTGTTGTCGTCGTCTTCTGTCGATCATCATCACCCTCACTCGTATCACTGTCACCGAACTATACTATCCTCAGTCGCCTACACCATCCTCTTCCTCTTCTCAATTCTCCTCTCAATTCTCCTCTCAATTCTCCTCTCAATTCTCCTCTCAATTCTCCTCTCAATTCTCCTCTCAATTCTCCCCCCAATCCTCCTCCCAATTCTCCTCTCCATTCTCCTCTCCATTCAACCTCCACTCTCATCTTAACTCTCATCCTAAATCTCAGGTCGAGAAGCCATGGACAACGAGATGATGACGACCTCTGCCGCGATGGCAGCTCGGCGAATCAATAACAGTCTGTCCGGGAAGATCATGTGGCTTCCATCCCGTAACAGCATCCCAAGCAACCTGCTCGAGCCTGTTCTCGAAAATGGTGCATATAACCACCCGGTAGTCATCATGTCCAATAACCCATCTCCCGAGGGACTCGTCGAGGTGTTCCTGATCACCTCCTTCGGCACAAGAAGCATCGACGAGGCGTTCGACCACAAGTGGAAGCACTGGCTGCATTACACACCCATCGAGCCCGCCGTTCATCCCGAAGTTGAACCACTTCGTCTGATCGAAGGCAGCCAGCGGCTCGAGAAGCAATCGTACGTCAACAGCCGTCAGGCCCACATGGTCCAACTCGCGGCGCTGCGTCCTCACCGCGGGAGCGGCCCTGGTGCGGACTCCATCATCGAGCAGGCGTCGCTCAAGTCGCTGAAGCTCACGTCTCACTTTATCGACCTCTTCAACCCTCGTACGCCTAAGAGGCTGAGGGACTACAAGATGTGGGAGATGGACCACAAGTGGCGCAAGGGGGAGGACCAAGCTCAGCCACTGCCTTCGGGAAGCGTGGTTACGAACCCTTACTTCCCTGCCTTTTCTTGGCTCGCCGCCGAGACACCGAGTAGTCAGGCGACTATCAGTCAGGCAACCAGCACCCCGATATACAACGCCCCGACATACAACGCCCCGACATACAACGCCCCGACATACAACACCCACACATACGATACACAAGCATACAGCGGCTATCATCAAACTGTATCTAACTGGAGAGCCACCCAGCATCAACATCGGGATATTTCGTCTCTGGCGTCCTGGAGGCCATCCACTTCGGCTCATTGAATACACATACCCTCTTATTGAATACACATACCCTTGGTTACAACAGCGGTGGAAGACGGAAGAGATATCATATGCTGTCTGAGAAGCAAATGCTACTTGGTGTCTGGGAGTTACAAGGGTGGAAGCAGTCAAAAGTACTGTTATTGCCTGGTTTTTGGATATCATGTTCTTGTAGCACTTTGACTGTGTCACTCGTGGCTACCGTTCTATATGCTCTGCGCTACGATAATAATTAATCGTAATGATTTGATCTCCTTCTAAGGAGGTCAACCCCCCATCTATCTCTACTCAGACTCTGTGACTCCAATATTTATCCAGTACCACAATAAACAGCACGGGGGAAATATCATCATGTGTTAGAAAATCAATACCACCTGACCGTACGATACCCAGTGATGCAGTACGCATGGGATGATAGGATCAGACTGGATACTCGGCCCCTGGTCATACAAAGGGAGAGCCAATGTACGTGGAGACCGAACTGGCACATAGAGTAGTGGACAGAGTACACCTGTTGATATGACAACCAAGCTTTATAGCTAGAAGCTTGATTATAGAAACATATTCTTTGGCCTACTTAGTATTGTTTACGCTTGGTATGAGTGTAATAAGTGCTCTTAGAACGCAGAGTCTAGTCAACATTCTGACCATAACTTTTCTATCTAGTCTTTATGTATAGATCCCATTGCTGATCCTGTATACATATCCTATTTCCTATTATAAGAGCTGACTTATGGGCCTAGATACACATGACTAGTGATGCGTATTACACCTTGGATACGATGCTCTTGTATATTGCTTCTCCCATACAAAATCCCTGAGTGCACGCTGCCCCGAATTTCCGTCAGGCCTGCCGCCTCATCTTCATCCACCTCTCAACATATCCGTGAGCCTCGTCGTCCAGAATGCACAATTCGTCTACATGGTGCGCTGTACGGCCAGTCCGGCGCTGCATCAGTAAAGCCATGGACCTGGGAGTATATGTAAGCGGCAGCGGACATGCGCGTCTCGCTAGGGGGGTTCGGGGTCCGGCGTCGCCGTAGCGAGCCTGCGCACCTTTGATGAGGTTGTTCTCCTGCTCCCAGTGCGTCGGGATGCGAAGGACCTTGCTGTGGATCACGTTGAGCGCGAGGACCGCGTCCTCGGCGCGGACGATGAGCCTGTCCATCCTGTTAGGTGACCGATGTTCTCCCCCTAAGGTCATGAAACAACATTGAACGGGGGAAAGGGTGCTCACTTACGATACGCTGATCTCGCTCGCTCCCTGGCTCACCATGAAGATGTTGATCTTGGCCGAGGCCAGTGCACTCGTGATCTCCGCCAATATGCCAACCATGTTCCGCATATTATGCCCGACTACCGTCACGATCGACACGTTCTCCGTGATGATGACCTTTTCGAATGTCAGCTCACATGGCCTGATATTGAATCGTGCCGGACCAGGGAACCATCGCATGTGTCTCACCTCTCCGAACTTCTCCAGCTCGGTTCTCAACCTCTGGTATCGACACGAGCCATCCTCGACATGTTGGAACGCGAGGCTCACATTGCGCTCGCTCGTCGTCACGAGGTCCGTCTGGATCCGTGCCTCCTCGAGCCGTTCAAACACGCTGACGAGGAACCCCTGCGACTTGGTGTTCCTGTTGGCCGCCACATTGACCAGCAAGATGTCGTCTTTGGCCGTGATGGCCGTCGGCCGCCGCCGCTCCTTCTGCGCGCCGTGGTATCCGTTGCCCACCATGAAGTCAATCGCGGGGAGCGACGGCTTGACGTCGACCCCCTTGGCCTCCGTCGTCGCCATCGGCGGCGTGAGGGGCGGAGACGGCGTCCACGTCGGGTAGACGACGGTCCCCGTCCCCGCCGGGTCGAAGACGTTCTTGAGCCGCAGCGGGATGCCCGCGCAGCGGATCTGGTCCATGGTCAGCGGGTGGATGACCTCGCTGCCGTAGTACGTCAGCTCCGTCGCCTCCTCGGGGGTCACTGTCGGCAGCAGCCGCGCCGAGGGGACCTTGCGCGGGTCCGCCGTGAAGATACCGTCTACCTCCTTCCAGATCTGCAGCTCGGCGGCCTTGATGCCGACCGCGCACATGGCGGCGCAGAGGTCCGAATATCCGCGGCCGACGCCCTGGAGCAGCGAGCCCGGCATGAGGCCGAAGAAGCCCGCGATGACGGGAACGCTGTCGCCGCAGGCGCGCACCCGCTTGGCGATCTCGTCGGCGACGAGGTGGTAGAAGCACGGGCCGAGGCCGTCAAACGCCGCCTTCTGGTCGGCGGCGCTGCCGCCGAAGGCCGCCTCGACGACGTCGTCGAGAATCACCGGCTCGGCAGGGACGTCCTTGCTGTTGAGCAGGGCCGACACGACCCTACACGCCAGCCTCTCGCCGAGCGAGATGATGCGGTCCCGCGCCCGGGGCGACAGCTCCCCGACGATCTGCGCGGCGAGCAGGAACCCGCGGAGGCTCTCACATTCCCTGAAGATGACGTCCCGCGTGATGTCGAATATGTCGTGGCACAGGTCGCTAAGCGTGCCGTTGGGGTTGACGAGGTGCTTCTCGAGCAGCCGCACGTGGTTGTCCCGCACGGCGTCGACGGCCCGGTTCAGCTGGGCCTGCGCGGGGACGCCGGCCTCGGCGTGGGCTATACACTCCAGCAGGAGGCTCGTCGCGCCGCCCGCCTTTGTGGAGCCGGAGAGGGCCGAGCACACGATGACGAGGTTGTGGTCCCGCCGGTGCGACGGGATGATGTTGCTGCAGATGGAGTCGAGGAGCTTCCCCAGACTCGTACCACCGTACTTCTGTACGAGCCACGGCCTGCTGCTGTCATTGGCGCCAAGCATGGTGGGATGTGGCACGACGGACGGGCAGACGGCAGTCAGACGTGGGAGGGCACTGGTGGTGGTGGTGTTCCTATATGCGGACCGTTGGCCCTTTGGTTTCGATGGGCGCGCAACAGCTTGATTCGCCAGGGCCCCATATATCGTTTTCTTCTCAAACTTGCGAGAACGAGGTAAACAGGGTTTTCTTCCAACGTACAATGAGCCACGGCCGTCAGCGAGGGGAGGTAGGGGGGGCTCGAAGTCTATGGTATCCCAGCGTCTTGGATGTGAGGTAACGTCGCGATCACCTATCTAGTTCGGTTAGCGGCCTTTTTGGTAGAGTCGGTGGCCCTCTTCCTCACTCGTCTAAAGATCCCATCTTAGGATCCGGTTGCGGCGGCTGTCACTGACGATGCGGCTTTTTTTTCTTATTCTATTTACTCGACGCCTTGATGGAGCTGTCTCGTCGGTGAATGGGCCCCCATGGTCGTGGGCCAAATCCCGGATGCCTCGGGGTTTGAACCGCAACACGTTTATACCACACATCTCCTTGTCAAGAACGGGCCAACCCCCCCTTCTCTCCCCCCTCGGCTCGGGGACCGCTCCGGACAGAGGATATGATAGGAAACCCCAATTCTGTTTCATACTGGAGGTTTCATGCCCGACGTCACGCCAATGAAGTGTGTGGTGGGAATACTCCCTGAGAAGGTTTGCACGTTAGCGCGAAGGGGACATTGAGGTCGTGCAGCTGCAGTGCCAGTTCATCAACGATGGCGTGGTTTCTTCTTCTTGCGTTTTTTTCTTTTCGCGTTGACAGATGCGAACGTCTGGGGTAGTTCTTTACATATTAATTCCCAAACCGGATTATCTCTACAAAATCAACGGTGGAGGGCAAAAGAAGGTTCGGACACAATCGTCCCATTCGCTGGTTTGATCCACCTCTCGAGCATAGAAGGCTGCAGTTTGGGTTCCTATTCATCTAGTCTGCAGAGCCAGTACGATTGATGTGATGTTAAGTTGCCAATGGGAAGAGCCAAACATAACTAGAAGCTTTTCGCAACACCGCGGCGAAACACAAGCTCCTAGGGAGGGTATCTCTTGCTCCGATCATAGGTACGTGGCAGGGGTTGAGATACTGATTCAGCACATAGTTGGCAGCCAACCTAGTTAGATTAGAGTAGCAGGCGGCAAGTGGCAGTCGTGCACTTGACTCAACGAGAGCGTTGTTGTGTCTAGTCGGGGAAAAGATGTCTCACTCTGATTTGGAAGCAAGTCTAGTACGCTGCGAAACTAGACACACGTTGGTCCTCCCAGCGATTGAAGGAGGGATAATAGGAGAGGCGTATACCCCACACACACATATGTAGAAATGAAGGCCGTGAAATGAAAATATCGATGTCAATCCTCCCTCGTCGTCAATGTGAAGGAGTTAGACGCAGGCGAGACTGGTTCATAAAAAAAACTCGAAAGCTAATGCCACCCATTAACATAACGCCAACACCAGTCCTCCGGCATCTCCGTGACCGTGCCAAGTCCTTCCAGCTCCGGTGAAGCGAACTTGGATAGTCAGCCGTACGTTACCAGCTCTCGAGCTCTCCCGTTAGGCTCTCGTTCACTCCTGCCTTCGTATCAAGACTTGCGGAGTCTGCTGAGCCGCATGCCGCGGCGTATATATCCGACAGTCTGGAGCGCAAATGGGGCTGGATCAGGGTGTTGAGCTGCTCGAACTCGAGCAGGAAACCGTCGTGTCCGTCCGAAGACTTTAGCACAGACAGCGATGCCCCGGGAAGGTGGGCGGCGAGGCGCTGTTGTTGCTCTGGCAGGAATAGCGCGTCGGTCTCGACGCCAATGACCAGCGCTCCCGCGGGCATGCTGGGCAGGACTTCGGCGAGACCGTCGTCGCCGCACCTCTGCGTGCGGCCGTACGCGACGTCGTGGCTGTCCATCTTGGCGGTGATGTGCAGGTAGCAGTTAGCATCGAACCGCTTGAGGAACTTCTCCCCTTGGTAGTGCAGGTACCTCTGTACCGAGAAGGACGGACCCCGGGTTCGCTGTGAAGTTGGAGTTTCGGGACAGCCCTCCCGTGTCCCCGGTGGCGCTATATCTGTCCGAGGTAGGTCCAGAGGGTGGTCGGGATGTTTGGACGGGGCAAGGGGCGGTTTCCTCCCGAAGCGGCTGTCGAAGCTCGTGCAGGACCGGTACGTCAGCATGGCAATCATCCGGGCGGCGGAAAGCCCCGCCGACGGCTGGCCCTCGGGCGTAGGATCGTAGTAGCCGTCGTCAAACTTGGGGTCGAAGAAGATGCACTGGCGCTGGGTCTCGGCCCACGAGATCCCCCAAGCAGAGTGATCGGCGGCGGTGGCGATGGGAACGATGTTGCGGACGAATCCGGGGGGCGTGCAGAGCGGCCACTCGAGGGTGGTCATGCCGCCCATGGAGCCGCCAACGACGGCGGCAACTGACTTGACGCCGAGGGCGTCGAGGACCATCTTGTGGGCCCTGACATCGTCCCTGACGGTCGTCTGGGGGAACTCGCTCGCATACCGTCGACCGGTGTCGGGGTTGACGGTCAGCGGCGATGCGCTCCCGTACGGGGAGCCGAACACGTTCCCGCAGAAGATGAAGAAATACGGGGGATCTAATGCCTTCCCAGGTCCTATGAGAGGGTTCCACCAGTCGCCGACATCGCTGCTTCCCGTCAGGGCGTGGCATATGACCAGGACGTTGTCGCCTCGCTCATTAAGCTTTCCCCATGTTTTGTAGGCGACGGGACAGTCGTGGAGCACTTCCCCTGAATCCAGTGGAAGGGAGGGAATTGAAGCGAAACGCTGGCTGTGAATGAGGCGAGCGTAGAAATTGAACGGGTTTGGATCAGAATCGAGCACTGGGGTGAGGATACGTCAGAGAGGGTGGCGGCTTGCTTAGCATGAAGAGCAACGTACAAAGAACCGTTTCCATGATGACTATCAAGCTGAGAGCCGAGAGAGAGAGATAGAGAGGGAGTGTGGTTATAACGCGCCGACTAAGGCTGTGGGAAGACTGGCTGAGCAGCTGTGTTTTCGAGACTGGGGCAAGGATACTGTGCCGGCTTGGTCGTGTAACTGACGTAGCTTTTCTATGATAGAGAGAACCGATCTAGGAGCTCTTTCGGATTCCGGGGGCTCTAGCAAAATCATCCGAGGTCCGTTTCAATGCATTCCGGTACCGGATCGACTTACCCAACCCAGTATTGATCTGGTATACCTCTTTCTTCAGAAGGCTTGCATCTGATGATTTTCAGCAGCCACCTTCTGCATGTGTGAGACACTCTCGCCTAGGCACTTCCTTAGATTCGCGTTGGCCTTCAATTCTGTTCACGTATTTTCTCTTTTAGGATGGACGAGCCTGCTGTGTTGCTTCTTACAGTAGAAGGTATATATATAGTTAAATGGTAGATTGACAGTTTAGACTATGTAGTCCAAGCTATATAGGCTATGTACATATACTAGCGGAATGCTGCTACTTGAGAGGGGTTAAGTGCTTAGCTTATGCATGTCTAGGCTACTATTGCATGTTGGCTAACCTATAAATATGCAGGCATCTTTTTCCCACTTGGGAACAGGAATGGAGTTGAACAATGCAACGGCAACGGCTTAGACGGACAGGGTGCGTCGTTGGCAACTAAGGGACCCCACCAGTTAAGACATCCTCGCAACATGACCCTGCTGTTCAGTCACTGTGAAACGATGGCCCAAGACAGGTCTGCTCCATCGGATCACACATCCCTATCATCGTCTGATGAATGGATCGCCGGAGGAGGTGCCCCCTCCGGGCATGTTATCATCGGGCTTTGAAAGGCGTCCGGTGCGGGATATGAGTCACGACCCCCGAAGATTTGGACGGCGAGAATCGGGATGTCATGCTCGCCGGAGCATCCCGCATCCAGAATCCTACCGGGCCAAAGCGGAAGGATTCTCAAACCAACTCGTCGATAATAACACATGCGACGATAATAATACATGCGGCAGAGAATTTTGTTCGTGACTCATTCCGCAGTCCCCTGGTAAGGAGCACCTTATAAAAGGCCCCGACTGTTTGTGAATGAGCTGGGCCGTCTGGGTTTTGATCATCACCTACAAACATTACCACAATGGAATCTACTCGTCCGATCGTCAAAGTCGCCGCCGTGCAAGCGGCCCCCGTTTCCTTCGACTTGGAGAAGAGCCTGCAGAAACTGGGCAAGCTGACAGAGGAAGCTGCGGCGGCCGGTGCGGACCTCGTAGTGTTTCCGTAAGTCCGCGCCACCACCGCCGTCTCGGTGTTACTACTAAAGATGAAACAGTGAAGCTTTCTTGTCTGCATACCCATGGAGATATGCCTTTGACATTACGATTGGCGCACGGGAGCCAAGAGGTGACTCGTCAGGACACCATTGTTGCGGAATGTGGAGCTAACCCTTTTCACAGGGCGTAAATGGTTCGCCAAGTACTTGGACTCGGCCGTCGAGGTACCCTCGCCCGCTTTCGACAGGCTCTGCGAGATAGCCAGGGCGAACAACGTCCTGCTGCAGGTCGGAATCATTGAGAAAGAAGGCGGCACGCTGTACTGCACGGCCCTGCTCCTCGACCGAGAGGGCAAGATGGTGTACAAGCATCGTAAGGTAATGCGACCAATGACGTCGAGTGGCTGCCAGAAACTGACCACTTGCAAGCTGATCCCAACGGCCGCAGAACGCCTCGTGTGGGGAAGAGGTTCCGGTGACGGCCTTCAGGTATCACAGACGGACATCGGGAAGGTCGGGAGTCTGATCTGGTTGGTTCGACCTGACCCGCCGGAGGGTAGCACAACGCTGACGCCAAGAGCAGTTGGGAGAATTACATGCCAGCCGCCCGCATGGCGCTGTACCAACAAGGCATCGAGTGAGTTTGGTTTTTTCTTTGGTTTCGTTTTGTCTCGACTTGTCGGGGAAGCAAGCCGTGGCAGCTGCCCGCAGACATGTGAGCTGACTCCGTTCGACAGGATTTATGTGGCGCCCCACGCGGACGATCTGCAGACTTGGGTGGCGTCGATGCAGCACATTGCGAAAGAGGGACGTTGCTTTGTCGTGTCGGTTAACTCGGTGTGCAGGGTCTCGGACTTCCCGTCCGACTATCCGCCGTTCACGGCCGAAGACCCCGACCGGCGACCGGACGGAGGCCAGTGGGAGCTGGACGACGTGGTCAACCACGGCGGCTCGTGTATCGTGGGCCCGCTGGGGACGTTTCTCGCGGAGCCGGTGTGGGATAAGGAGACAATCATCTATGCCGACCTCAGGATGGCGGACATCACGGAATCAAGGGTAAGGCCGCGCCCGCACGATCGTCGCCGCGTAGTTTCTCTTGGCTAACAGCGCCGGGGGCGCCTGCAGCTCGATTTTGACCCAGTGGGGAGCTACTCCCGACCCGATATCTTGTGAGTGGGCGATAGCGGTTAGGGTGAAAGGGCCAGGCCGAAGGAGGTCTGGCTTGTCGTCGATCAGAAGCTGACAGGTCGTTCAAACCAGTTCATTGACAGTCAACACCAAGCCCGGCACTAACGTCACGTTCACCACCGGCTAGGGGAGGCAACGGGCCTGGGGCCGCCGGTGTCGGGTGCCACAGGCATTACTGCATGAGTGAGTCAACGAATTGAATCGCCAGCGGGGGTCTAGTGCGGAGAAGCAAAGTCACGGAACTGACTAGGAGGCCGTGAGAGTGCATAGCGATTGGATAACAAGTACGGTGACAGAGTTGCTTGGCGAGTTGAAGCTGGGGAAGTTTTGTGCAACCTGCCAGCGAGCAGGACCTTTACGCCAACTACATTTGATATAGCAATGTGTAACTCGGGGTCAATTCGAGATTCGCTTTTGACCCTAACCCTGAGGCGATTTGTTTGAAAAGGGCAACGAAAACCCCATACATATACCACTTGCCAAAACGGGCTATTGATCCCAAAATGTTCTGTACACGGGGTCTATAAATCATGGAAGAATCATATAAATAGTCTATGTCGTCTAACCCCAAGAATCCCAGTAGAATTTTTTTCTAGAGTGGGGGCTGGCGTTCTGGTATATCGTACGTTTGGCTAGCGTGCTGGTGCTAGAAACCTTGGTTTAGAACATTTAAAACCTGGTGCTGTATATCTCATGGGAGGGCGGGGTTGATAGACGCGTAGATGTGGTGTCATGAAAATCTAATTAACTAGCACATGCCTTGAGTTTTGCTGCATAAAGAGAAACGTGTTGCCGGAGACACGTGCTGTTATACTGTCATGGGGCTTCGATGCGGACAGGAGACGACAACTTTTTTTCTCTGCCGTCGTTGTTCAGGAAGAGATAAGGGAAGAAAGAGAGAGGTCGTCATGTGGCATCCGAACTTGTGTTGCGTCTCGAGTCGAAATGCTCTTGTATTACGTAGTAGTAGGGTTGCCTATTAAAAGTGTTTAGAAGGATCAAGGGGTCTGACGGGCTTGGTAACGGAAGAGTTACGTCCGCCCAATTACTCCAATCAGGCGTACCGTACCGTCTCCATATGATTATGAATTCGTGATGGCAGAGTAAGATGATTGAACTAGGTATAACGGATGAGACGGATACGTACCCCCACCCACTGGTCAATGCCAAGGGAGACGCCGTGCGATCCGACAGATTATATACTGTGAATAAGGGAGGATGACGTGTATTGGTGTAGATACAAATACGGCTCATTCACAGTGCAAATATGTCGAAGGAAGGCCACGTGCGTGATAGATACACATGTGGCCGCCAGTCCAGGCGGGGGGGGGGGTCCGAGTTTATCGTTTATTGTATTTGATTGGTCTGGATTCCCGCGTCAGCCCCATATACGGATCCACTTCTCAATCAATTTGTGCCTTCCCACTCCAGGAACGCAGCTTCTCCGAGAGCAGGTACGGATACGCAGTAAGGCAATCAATCAACTACCGTTCAGAGGGAAAGAAAGAAAAAGCTACATACCGCCAGGCAGTCCACGTTACGTGTACGTACCTTGCCTGTATCATGTACCCAGCTATCCGTGCATACTACTACTATGTAGTACCTTACCATACATGTGGGGAGGTGGGCAAGCCCCAAATAGGAAAGGAGCAAGAACGGAGGACACAGCAGAAAGAACGCTTCCCACTTGGGGCTGGCTGACTTCGCTGCTGCCCGTTCTGGCCAGACGATCGAACGATGGGGTAGAGCCGAAGTACAGGTACGTACCTAACCCCCTCTGCTTCTTTCCCCCTCCAATCCCCCTCCCACCCGGCCGCGGCTCAGCTACTGCAACTCAACTGCCAATCATCCTCGCCACACACCTCCCGTCATACAACACTCACTCACGCTCACTCACTCACACGCTCACTCACTCACTCACTCACTCACTCACTCACTCACTCACACCCATAGCTCCCACAGCTTTCATTCCATTTTATTACGTATCCCACATTCCCCCCTCCCTTACCCGCGCGATACAGACGGCTCTGCGCTGCTCCGTCTCAATCCGCACCAGACACCGCTTCTCTTCGCCAACTAGCATCCCCGCCTCAACGACCTGAGCCGAGTTGTTGTTGGTCTCGTCCGGCCCCCCCGCTAACGCCGTCCGCTCCGTGTGACAGATCCCGATCCGCCCGGGAAGAATTGCCAGTCACCTCGTCTGCACCCCCGACGCCCGCCTTCTTCCTTTCCCTGACCCAGACCGCCGCCGTCCATCCTTTGATTCCGACAATCCGTATAGCCTGCCTCACCCTTCCCACTCCGTCATGAGCACCATGACCGAAGCTGAGGCGCCTCCAATCCCGGTCTCCGGAGCCAAGAAGAGGTTCGCGACGCCTCCCGTGAAGATTGCCTGCCTTGCTTGGTAAGCCCACCTCCCCCCACCCTCTGTCGCCGTCGATTGTTTCAGGTTCGCCTTTCGTCTGTTATCTGGCCAATGCTGCCGCCAGCTATAGTACTTTCCTTCTACCTGTACCTCGCCAGTGCTCTAGAGATATAACTCACACGTAGATAGTCGAGCATCACGAACGCGATGCGACGGATCGACACCATGCGCTAGTGTCAGTATACCCCCAGCGCGGCGCCACGCCGGTCCAGTCCCGGCCCAGAACCTTAGCTGACGCGACGCAGTGCAAAAGCAGAGGACGTGACTGCGTCTACAAGCCTAGTCGGAGAGGCGGCGCCCGTGTGAGAAGAAAGCCGCGGCCGTCTGAGGAACTGGCCCAGCAGGTCCGGGCCCTCCATGGCGAGATGCCCCTTGACGAGGTTGCCCCTCAAAACTGTGAGTTACTCACTACACTCGACCGCCCAGTCCGATCAGTCCTTGACCGAGGCTGCAGCCATCTCTGTACAAAACTACATCGACCCTGGTGCGGGCCTGAAGCAACTGCAAGATATCTTTCAGGATAGCGACTTCATCTTCGACACCCTCTTCTTGTCCGGCGTACCCGGGAGCACCAGTGGCGAGAGTGCTTCTGAACATTCCTTCAACTTCCCAGCACCCCCGATTCCGGTTGCGAGAACATACAAGAGCGACCAAGCCATGTAAGTACCCGCCGCCCACCGTGTCTTGGGTCGAATCAAGCGCTCATGGTCCGACAGCCTGGACGCCTACTACATCTTCATCCACCCCTTTTTCCCTATCCTGCCGCCCCCTGCCGGCTTGCCTATGGACCAGGCGGTGCCGCACTTTCAAAACGACACGGACAGCTTCGCCGATGACTATCAGCCGTCGACACCCCTCACCCTTGCCATCTCCGCCATTCTTGCACTGATCCCCTGTGCCAACGATACCAACCACCTCAACAAGGAGTCTGTCGTCTTTCGGCGGAGATATGCCCAGTTCCTGGCCCAGTCCTCCGTCGAGAGCATCGAGCTCGAGTCGGAAATCCCGGATTCCTCCGTCGAGCCGCCAAAGGCACTCAGTGAGTCCCCCGCAGAGGACTTCACCAGAGAACAGTTCCATCCCGGCGTGCCGGTAGAGCTGGAGAGCATCATCGCTCTCGACATTCTCAGCGTCTACGAGTATGCGCAAAGGGGCAACCTGAAGAAGATGCAGGCTAGGGCGGGCCAAGCCCTGGTGTCCGCCATGTCCCTGTCGCTTCACACCTTCACCGAGGATTGCGAGTTCTCCGAGGCCAAGCGCAGGGTTTGGTGGATGACGGTGTGTTATTCTTTCCCCCGCGCCCCGCCCCAGGATTGCATAGCTGACGGCATCTACAGTACATCTGCGTCTGCCAGGGATCCATCGTTAGCAATACCGTATGCTTTCCTCCCCTCAATGTCGCGAAGCGTGAGCTAACCCAAATCGAGGAGCCCACCTTCTCAGTATTCACGCCCAGCTACACAACCAAGTACCCCGTGATACAATCGGACCCCGAGGTGGGTCTTGTTGGCTCCTAGTCTCCCACGCCCAGAAACTGACCTTTGTCGAGGCCTTTGCCCTGTACATCCAAGCCCAGCAGGCGATTCTCTCGGCAACCCAGTTTGTCATTGAGCTCAACAAGACGGTGAAATCCGGGGGCGATATGACGTCCATCTACGCGCGGATGAAAGAGATGGAGCAGTATCTCGAGCCCCTCAATGCAATGGCCGATTCTTGGATCCTGCAGTCGACGACAACGACGCCGCTCGATCCTACAGAAGAAGTTCTGTCCCGCTCTTTGAGGTGCATGGCTCGCATCAAGCTCAACAGGCAAGCACACGAACAGTTTTCCGGATTGGGGACAATTGCTGACGATTACCAGTGCGCGGATCAAGCTACACCGATACTGCGCCTTCTTTGACATGCCGGTCTTCTCTGGGAAGCACTGCGACCTCAAGTCCAGGTCCGACAAGGATGGCAGCGGGGAACTGCGGTCCTGGCCATCATGCTCCTGCAGCTCCATGATGAGCTTGCCGTCACCACCAGTGCTCGCATCAAGCGGGTTGAGCACGCCGCCAGATAAGAAATCCCCTTACTCGGAACACTCGCCCAATGAGGCCTCGCCGGCTACGTTCCCTTTTAGCAGTCATCAGTCGGCCAAGATCTGTCTCAAAGCGGCCATCAGCATTGCCCAGTCGTTCGACGACCTCCCGTATCCCAACCCGTTCGGCCAGCTCTGCCCTCCGCCGTGTTATCTGGCACCCACTTCGACGATTGTTTGCCCGAGGACCATGCCCTCCTTTGCTTGCTGCGCCATGCAGTGCGCCTACGCGCTGCTAATGGTCAACCACAAGACAAGGGCCATGTATCCGGAGAACGCATTGGCCACGCCGATGGTGGAAAGCCTCCTGATGCGCCTGCAGACGGGGCTGGCCTCCATCTCGGCAACGCTGGAGAACTACGCCACGGCGTTTGAGGCTCTTGGCGGGATGCGCGGTAAGTGGCCCCCTCGGTCTCGCTCAGCAGTCCGTTGTTCGATGTCTTGCATTGCTAACACCCTGCCGCAGACCAAATTCGGAGCGTAATCGAGCCCACCATGATGTTTGACACGCCAATCTAGACATGGCCTCCCGCTTATCTCCGGTCTAAATGCGGATTACCTGCAAAGCTCCTCCCCCACCTTCCCCTGCGGCTTGTATGCAGTTTGTCTGCGATTTGCCTGCAGGCCGGCTGCAGTTTAAGTGTCTCGGCACGCCAACGGCATTCAGATGGGATTTGACCGCGGGCTTTGGGCGGGGTACAGGGAACGAGCTTCAAAAGAGGGTTGCGGGGTTTGCTCATTTATGAGCAAAGGCCGGGGGGCGGAAAAACTCCGACATCCTCCGACCTCCCGAACGTGCCATCATCTACGCACCGATTTGCGAGGGGTATTAACGACTTTTGAAACGATATGATGGAGCTGTCTTGAAAGGAGTTGAGGGGGGCATTTAAGGTGTCGGGCTTGCCATGATATAAACAAGCACAAAGCAAGCCAAATCAGCAGTGTCTTCAGATCTGGTACTGGTTCAGAAACCGGAAGCAAGGGCTATTAGAAATACCACCACTCTCAAACCTATTTCCTAGACCCTTCAACATGCCTGTCTCCGGGTCTTTGAGCAACGTGGACTGGTGAGAGGATCCCCGATCGGCTTTTGCATCACCGCAAGCTGCTGACACGTCGATGCGTCACCCAGGGAGCCGAGCTTCTCCACGGTGGCCGTTCACGGCGGCCAGGAGCCCGATCCCGTCAACGGCTCTCGTGCTGTCCCTCTCTACCAGACGGCCGCTTACAACTTTACCGATGCCGCCGGTCAGTCCCCCTTCTTGTGCCAGTGACGCCCCGCCCGCGCGTCACATCTTGACACTGACCCGGATCGCAGATGGCGCCAGCAAGTTCGCATGGAGCAAGGACGGGTACGTGTACACGCGCATGGGCAACCCAACCAACAGCGTGTTCGAGACGCGCATGGCGATGCTCGAGGGCGGCGTCGGCGCCGTGGCGACGGCGTCGGGCCACGCGGCGCAGTTCATGGCGCTGACGCAGTGCTGCGACCCCGGGCACAACTTCGTCAGCACCAGCTGGCTGTATGGCGGCACGTACAACCAGTTCCGGGTGTACATGAAGAAGTTCAAGATCGACGTCAAGTGGGTGGTGGGCAACGAGCCGGGCGACATCGACGCGGCCATTGACGAGAACACGCGGTGCGTGTACATTGAGACGATCAGCAACCCGAAGCACAGCGTGCCCGACATCCGGGCCATCGCCGACGTGGCGCACAAGCACGGGATCCCGCTCATCGTCGACAACACGTTCGGCATGGGCGGGTACCTCTGCCAGCCCATCCGGCAGGGCGCCGACATCGTCACGCACTCGGCGACCAAGTGGATCGGCGGGCACGGCACGTCCATGGGCGGCGTCGTCGTGGACGGCGGCCGCTTCGACTGGGGCGCGTCGGGCAAGTTCCCCGGCTTCACGGAGCCGGCGGACGGGTACCACGGCCTGAGGTTCTGGGAGACGTACGGCACCAAGGCGCTGTCGGCCAGGCTGCGGATGGACAGCATGCGCGACTTGGGGCCGTGCCTGAGCCCCTTCAACGCCTGGCTGCTCCTCCAGGGCCTCGAGACGCTCGCACTGAGGGGCGAGAGGCACACGGAGAGCACGCAGCGGTTGGCCGAGTGGCTCGAGGCGCACCCGAGCGTCAGCTGGGTGCTCTACCCCGGCCTCAAGTCGCACCCGGACTACGAGTACACCAAGAGGGTGTTCAAGAACGGCGCGGGCGGCGTGTTGACTTTTGGCGTCGTGAGTTTTGTTCCTTTCTTTTTTGGTATGATGACGATGGTAGTCGGCTGACAAAAGGAAACCCCTCCCTCCCAGGCCGGAAACATTGACCAGGTCCGCTCCGTCGTCGACAACCTCAAGCTCTGCTCGCACCTGGCCAACGTGGGCGACGCCAAGACGCTCATCATCCACCCGTGGGTGACGACGCACCAGCAGCTGCCGGACGAGGAGAAGATCAAGGGCGGCGTGACGCCCGACCTGATCCGCGTGTCGGTCGGCATCGAGGGGTTCGAGGACATCAAGAGGGACTTTGCGCAGGCGTTCGAGGCGGCGGGGCTGCCGGCGGCGAGCAAGGCGGGCGGGGACCCATTCGACGCCGCGCTACGGCTCGTCTCGGACGGGTTCATGGCGGGGAAGGCGACGGGGGCGCCGAGGCCCGGGACGGACGGGACCGTTTCTAAAGAGAGGGAGTGAGAGATGTGTGGAGTGACGACGACGGTATGAAAGTTTGACGTGGGCGCCGAGGCGACCGAGCCTGGTTGGATGGAGATACCAATGGATACTTGCAAAGTAACAAGTCGCATATTGTCTTAGCCCGAGTCCGGCAGTGCGTCGTGTGAGGGCCAGGTCACATCTCCATGCGAGACCAATATCGCAAATGTATGGACAGGAGTGGCACATCGTACTAGAGGCTTGAAGAGCGGCTGCCCCCTGTCCCTGGAGTCAATCACGGCACTACTGATGGTTCTAGTTTCCTGACTCAGGGTCTTTAACATGAGTGTTTGACAAGACCCAAAGCCCGCCTGTTTGCGGAACATTGATCCCTCTCGGTGCCTACTGGTGGTTTGATGCTGCCAAGACGTCGTCGTCGTCGTCGTCGTCGTCATCGTCAGTAGGGCGAAGGGAAGATGTAGCGAGCAGTTTGGTCCTCGGTAGGAGCTGTCGGCACTTGGCCAACTCGGTAATGGAAAAAGTATTCGATTATAAAACCATTGGGGCCTTTTACGAAGTCACATGACTGTCCTCACGACACGTCTGGAAGCCGCCCTTGCATTCGGGGACGATCACGGAGGGGGAAGGAACCGCCGGCACCCAGCGGCCGAGCCCCACTTGCCTCCGGGTGCTTTCCACGGCGGGTTCCGCGACCAGGTACGTACCTGGGTAGGGTAGGGGGGGTGTGGGTAGGTACGTACCCCTGGGGCAGATGGGGTGGTGCGATTTTCTCTCGGGCGACACCATCAGCCCATCATCAGTCGGTTTCTCAGCCCGTCGACCGCAGACACCACCGCGCACCAGGAATCGGCTCACCCGGCCACGGGGCTCGACGCATGATGATGATTATGATTATGATTCAGGAATCCATACTGGATCACTGTACGCACGGTCCGAGGGGACACTTCGATTCAAATAGCAAAGGGTTCCTACGACAGCGAGAACCGTTGAAGAGAGAGCCGTTCAGATTTTCGACCATCATTTACCAACAGAGAAGGACTATCAACCGTGTTAGGATATAACTGTCGTGTATATCTTTGGGGACATCTTACACCGATAACACAACAAGATTGACCTCGGGGTTTTTTTTATTCGTTTTCTTTGGTCGACTCGGACGGGGAAAAGTTCCCGTCATAGAAACAATCAAGCAAGATGGGTCTCATGAGACATATGAGCCATGTCGACCGTGAGGAGCTGTATACCGACCTCGAGGCGCGCATCCGCTACCTTCACAGCTTCCTCGACTTCAGCAGCAGTACGCCGGCTTCCCTCCTTCTGTCATCAGAGCGCAAAGAGAGAGAGAGAGAGAGAGACGCTAACAAACCCCCCAGAGGACATCGAGGCCCTCACCTCGGGCGCGAAATACGTCAAGGCCCTGATCCCCGCCGTCGTCAACATCGTCTACCACAAGCTGCTGCAGTACGATATCACCGCCCGCGCATTCACCACCCGCTCCACCAGCTTCGAAGGCCCCATGGACGACGTCCCCAGCGACGACTCGCCCCAGATCCTGCACCGCAAGATGTTCCTCCGCGCCTACCTCGCCAAACTGTGCTCCGACCCGAGCAGGATGGAGTTCTGGGAGTATCTCGACAAGGTTGGGTGCGTATTATGGCTCTTATTCCCCACCCACCCCCTTGCTCAACCCCCCCGCTACACCGAAAAAAACGACGACTGACAAACGGGTGCAACAGCATGATGCACGTCGGCCTCGGCCGCAAGCACCCCCTGCACGTCGAGTACATCCACCTCGGCGCCTGCCTGTCCTTCATCCAGGACATCATGACCGAGGCCGTCCTCTCGCACCCGCGGCTGGCCATGCAGCGCAAGATCGCCCTCGTCAAGGCCCTCGGCAAGGTCATCTGGATCCAGAACGACCTCATGGCCAAGTGGCACGTCCGCGACGGCGCCGAGTTCGCCGCCGTACTCGGCGACGGGCCCGAGATCGAGGAGGAGGGGTACCTGCACGGCCGCAAGGTCCTCGACAGCGAACCGGACGAGGACAACGCATGCGACAGGGATGGGCCTAGGTCGCCTTCGAAGTTACCGCGGCCGAGCAGCGCCGGCGGCGGGGGCGGAGTGTGTCCGTTCTCGGGGATCGCCGCCGGCGTTGACGGGTTGAAGGTTGGCGACGAGAGGGAGGACGGGGCGGCGCCGAAAGTTGAGAGCGCTGCGTAGAGGCGATAGGGGCGAAGTCTTTTTTGGTTCCGCGTTATACAAGGTATGAGTGGATGGCGTTTTTGGGCGGCTATGGCATCGGCTCACTTTTGCGGTTTTCAACACATTCGGTTTGAGGCATGGATATTTATCAATGGGAAGACAAGGCTGATGATCACAGGCGAAAAGAGAGAGAAACCTGAGAAAAGATTTCTTAAAAAGATAGGAAACTTGTTATTCAATCTTGACTGTCACAATGTACACAGCTTTCGGACCAGGCTTCCACAAACCCATCCCCCGCGGATTAGAACCGCCCATCAGAGAGACGGCACACGCGTCCAGCAACCCGTATATGTTATCCTCCGGCCTCTCCCGGCCACCAACACCGTGTGCCCTCGTGTACCAGTCACTGGATGCACGCTTCCGGGGCCCGCACATGTCTTCCGGAGTGGACCGACCGATGAGTGCTTAGTAGTAGCCGCCGCCACCGCCGCTCTTAGCACCACCGCCGCCACCGGAGGGAGCGCCGCCCTTGGGAGCACCTCCAGAAGGAGCACCGCCCTTAGGAGCACCTCCGTAGGGAGTACCGCCGGAGGGAGCGCCGCCCTTAGGAGCACCACCCTTGGGGCTGGCACTGCCGCCGCTGGGTGCACCTCCCTTGGGCGCGCCACCAGATGGAGAGCTGCCCTTGGGAGCACCGCCGTACGGAGTACCGCCAACCGGAGCACCGCCCTTGGGACTGGCACTGCCGCCGCTGGGTGCACCTCCCTTGGGCGCGCCACCAGATGGAGAGTTGCCCTTGGGAGCACCGCCGTACGGAGTATCGCCGACCGGAGCACCGCCCTTGGGACTGGCACTGCCGCCGCCGGGAGCGACGCCCTTAGGAGCACCGCCGTACGGAGTACCGCCAACCGGAGCACCACCCTTAGGACTGGCATTGCCGCCGCTAGGAGTGTTACCTTTGGGGCTATCGCCGTTGGGCACGTTGTATGACTGAGAGGGAACATTGCCCTTGGAGCTAGCGGGCTTAGGGCTATCACCCTTAGGCTGCATAGAGGAGTACGGGGTGTTACCCTTAGGGCTGGCACCACTGCTGCCGGGAGTAACACCCTTAGGAGTATTAGGCTTGGGGCTGCCACCCTTGGGCTGCGTGTAAGAGTCCGGAGTGTTACCCTTAGGGCTGTCACCCTTGGGCGCGTTATATGATGGCACAGAGGGAGTGTTTCCCTTGGGGCTGGCACCACTGCTGCTGGGAGTAGCACCCTTAGGAGTGTCGGGCTTAGGGCTGCCGCCCTTTGGCGCATTGTATGTGGGCACATAAGGAGTGTTGCCCTTGGGGCTGTCACCCTTGAGCGCGTTGTATGATGGCACAGAGGGAGTATTGCCCTTGGGGATGTCGGGCTTGGGGCTGCCGCCCTTTGGCGCATTGTATGTGGGCACATAAGGAGTGTTGCCCTTGGGGCTGTCACCCTTGGGCGCGTTGTATGATGGCACAGAGGGAGTATTGCCCTTGGGGATGTCGGGCTTGGGGCTGCCGCCCTTTGGCGCATTGTATGTGGGCACATAAGGAGTGTTGCCCTTGGGGCTGTCACCCTTGGGCGCGTTGTATGATGGCACAGAGGGAGTATTGCCCTTGGGGATGTCGGGCTTGGGGCTGCCGCCCTTTGGCACGTTGTATGTGGGCACGTAAGGAGTGTTGCCCTTGGGGCTGGCACCGCCGCCGCCGGAGGGAACGTTGTTTGTGGGCACATAAGGAGTGTTAGGGCTTGGGGAGGGGACGGCAACGGGGGTAGGAGCCGGAGTATCCTCACTCTGAGGGGTGGCAACGGGGCTGACTGCGGACGTGGTATCCTTGTTCTGGGAGGTAACGGGGCTGACTGCGGACGTAGTATCCTCGCTCTGAGAGACGGTATCAACCGGGCTGGGCACGTAAGGAGTGTTGGATGTAGCGGCAACAGGGGTAGACGCCGGAGCATTATCGCTCTGGGAGATGGCGGCAACAGAGGTAGGAACCGGAGTATCCTCGCTCTGGGGGGTGGCAACTGGGCTGACTGCGGACGTGGTATCCTCGTTCTGGGAGGTAACGATAACAGGCGTAGGAACCGGAGTGTCCTCGGTCTGGGGGGTGGCAACGGGGCTCACCGCGGACGTAGTGTCCTCGCTCTGAGAGATAGTATCAACCAGGCTGGGCACGTAAGGAGTGTCGTTGCTCGGGGATGTAGCGGCAACGGGGCTCGCCGCGGACGTAGTAGTCTCGCTCTGAGGGACGGTATCAACCGGGGTGGGACCGTACGGAGTGTCGTTCGTGGGGCTGTCACCCTCAGGGCTGTCATACCCGGGGCTGTCGTACTGGGGGCTGTCATACTCAGGGGCGTCATACTCGGAGGTGTCATACGCGGAGGTGTCATAGTCGGGCGATTCGGCAGGGGTATCATCGCGCCGGGCTCTGTAGTACCCGCCTCCCGCACCGCCACCGGGGCCAGAGGGACCACCCCCGGGGCCAGACGGGCTGCCACCAGGACCAGAAGGACCCCCACCGGGGCCAGAGGGACCAGCGCCGGCGCCAGAAGGACCGCCTCCGGGACCAGATGGGCCACGGCCAGGACCAGAAGGACCACCGCCAGGGCCCGAGGGACCACCACCACCACCACCGCCACCGTAGCCGTAGTCTCTGCGATGAACGGATCTGAGTGTGCGTTTGTTGCCGGAGTAGGAATCGTCGTCCTCGGGGCTGCCAGCGCCGTTCAAATCGAGGGAGACGAGGTCGCCGATGACGTCGCCGATGGGGCCGTCGTTGTTTTGCTCGTCCTGCCGGGACTGGATTCCGGCATTCTTCATGCTGGGGTAGCCGAGAACGGGGGCGGCCACGAGGGCGGCGGTAAGGATGGAAACGCGCATTGTGCAGACGAGGCCAGCGACGTTGGGGAAAGAATACAGGGGGGATTAGTAGCGAACAAGCGAAGGTGTGTGTAGGCGAAAAGCTCTAGACCAGAGAGATGTGAACGAACGACTGCGATGGAAACAGAACGAGCGTGGAAGGGAAGAGGATGGAGCGAATGTGTCCTGATGAAGCCAAATGAACAGAGACGAGGGGGATCGCGGGCTCATTATATGTGCGGCGACGATGCAGAATCGTCTAGAGGCTCTGCCGCGCCAAAGATGGATCTAGACCCTACGTAGAGCCAACCGGTCCGTCGCTTTGAGGCCGAACTTGAAGCAGGCTGTGGAGATTGAGATAGTGTCCTCCCGTCCATAGGCGCTTGGGGTACGTGCCCGGTATGTCTGCCGTATCGTTCGGGTCGTGTAAACGTCATTTCCCTCTCTCCTTTTCCCCGACTACTCGATCCCTAAGGATCCGGACGGGGCGTTGGCCTCGCCTCCTGGCCCCGGGTATCGGAAGCGTTACTTGCCCCGGCCTGCTTCAAATCAGAGCTTTCGAGATTAAAGCGAGCTAGTGGCTGACGGCTACTGTGGTGGTGTGGTGAAGGAGGCGTTGGTGGAGAGGAGATTAAGGGGGGTTACCCATACGGGCCTGGACGGGTAGGAAGACACTACCTGTTTGCTAGTTCCAACTGCTGTTTCTCTTGCTCTTCCCGTTGTTCTCTCTCATATACCTGGCGGCTCTTTTGAGGGGGCTCGCTGCCATGATTATTTGCAGATGAGGCCAGTAGTCTCAGAATCGAGAATTGCGGTGCTCGAGGCCTGTAACGTCTATCATGCTGCATAGCAAGCCGTAAAACTAGCGAAGCAGAGGACCGACTGGATGTCTAGACCGTGTGGGTGCAGGATTGACAGATCTCATGCTACAGCTTCCGGACAGCTCTAGAGTCGACATCAGCCCGAATCCGGACTTCTGGGGAAACCAACGAGGCCGTGCCCCGCGATGGCACCCGATGCAGGGAAAGGAGAGACGGAGACAGAGAAAGGAGACGTGCGCTTTTGTTAGGACTAAGGGGTTGTCGGGACACCACAGAAGCGGTTGAACTTGCTGGCGCGCCACATCATCCCCAAACAAGCTTTTGTGGCTTACCCGCTGAGTATCATCAGGAACATGGCATTGTTTTCTTCTTCCTTCGACGGGGGGACGGGCACAGCTCGGGATTTTTGGCTCCCCTGAAACAATGCCCCCCTCTGCCGAAGAAACTAATCGACAAAGCGCCAAAAAGTTACACGCCAGACGCCAAACGCCAGACGCCAAATGCCAAATGCCAACGCCAAATACATCACCCATAGCTCTCAACAAGAACATGGACGAGCTTGCGGAGAAGGCCATAAGGCCCTCGTTGGGTCTGGCCGCATCCCAAGACTCGGCCGAGCGGGCGGGAGAACGGCTCAATCGAGGGGCTGGTATGCTCTTGGTGCAAGGTAACGGCAATAGGTAGGGGTTTGCCTATTGGATCCTTTGGGGAATGAGACAATCTGTCTGGGCTCCTACGCCAGTCTGTTAGCTTGCCAGACTGCCTCTTTTTTGCCGGGACGACTGCGTCATCATGCCTGTACTTGGGTTATTGCGAATGAACAACAACTGGGTAGTGGCATCGACAGCTTGGCCCCCCTGGAAAGGGGATTTTGGCAAAACGTCTCGCGCTGTTTCGTTCTAGTCTTGGTTTCTCAATCCTTTTTTTCTTCTTCTTTCTTCTCCACCAACGCGGTGTTTCGTACTGTACTGCGATTTCCCGGGTTCCAAGCAAACTGATCCTTCGCGGTTTGCCAGGATCGCGATCCGTCGCCATGTCTCAGGGACGACAGCTAGCATCGGACCGCTTACGATTAGTCAGACACGCGATATATCATTGGCCTTGGACCTCTCTTTCTCCCCCCCATCCCACGGTCTGGGGCGAGATGGTCGCCGGCGAACTGCGAACAGACTTGCAAAGTGGGCAACAGTGGGACGGCAGAGGCGCTGGCTCTTCTTTTGCTATGCATGTTACTGAGATTATGGCAATTTGTGCTGCGTCGTTGCCACAGAGTGTCCGCTTTGGTGAGACTTCACTGCCAAACCTTGCCAGCTCTGCAGAGAAAGAAGGCTACCGCCCATCATGTGCACAAGGAGTTAGTCTTGGCCGTGTGGTCATAACAGGAAACGCAGGGTTCGTGACAAGCCCGCAGTGATTCTGTTAGTCCAAGGTAGCAATTTGCACCAGCCTATAACAAGGAGGCTACGTACGCTATAGCCGTCGAAGGAGGACAAAAGACGGTCTAGCCGGGTTGCTCCCCCCTCGTCATCTCCAGGATTCACGCTTGGGTCATTGACGTACGACATACCACAGGTCTAGGGGGCAGGCCTTCAAGAGCTTCTTCCCCCTCAGTGACACACACCATGGCCGCCGCTGGCCCTGTGGTGCTCTGATGCTTGTTGAAGGACAGTTCGTTTGGCGTGTGTGTGTGTGTGTGTGTGTGTGTGCAAGCCCACGCTCTTTGGCAGGCGACCTGATTCCAAGACTCAATCTGGGGTGTGGGACGCTACAGAATGTTTGATTGATTTTGAAGCCCCCTTCCCCGGCGGAAAGATATTGAGGCTCCGAGTGGGAGGCGGTGCACAGAAGAAACCCAATATCTTGGCGGCGCTAGCTTCAGAGGAGCGCTTGTTGCTGCGAAGGCGTACCCTTACGGAGAGATCTATGGGATAATGTTAATTGATTTTTCCTTGGCGAGACGTTCCAGACGACGGTGGAACCTCATCTTGGCCTTTGTATCAAAGAGGTTATTCGTGTGCTCCTTATGAGTGATAAAATGCAGGTTCCCCGCCGTGATTCCGACATTTCTTTCATCAATTATTTTACCTGCCTGGGCGATTCAGAAAAGAATGAAATCATTGAAAAGGCGTAATCTGCTCCTTTGCCCAGACTGCTCCGGAGGCCATCCCACAACTTGTCAATGCTACTGTTCCTTCGACAAGTCTTGGGTGCCCCCTAGCCGAGCAAACCGGCGTGTCTGGACCAGTGCCGCACAGCCCGCAGAGAAGATGTCTAGATCCATAGTGCGAAAGCCATGTTGGGTTTTGATTTCTCTGCTGTCGATGAGGACTTTGGGGGGCGAAGCAAAGATCGCGGCGAAAGCTCGCCACCTATGCGATGATCTAGGGTATGAGGGAGAGAAGTGTGCCGCACAGGCGAGGGTGGCCGAGTAATCGCACAAGGTGTAGCAGACCCTGTATGGGATATCTGTACTTCCCTCTTTGGGCCCCTGATGAGCCCAATATCTTAAAGTATTGCGATTACACATCTAGCCAGGATGCTATGGTGCTCGGTTACCTTCTCGAGGCGAGCTGGGGTGTAGATATGCGCGTCGCGTCTAAGGTCTGGTCAGGCTCTGCAGGAATATCGGCGTCTAGAGGGGGAAATAATCCTGCCAAAAAGTCCAATGTTCCAGCATGAACACATTCACAGACATGGATTTCAGCATCGTCAACCTGAGAGCTGGTTGTAACATAATATACTGGTACTGATTAACCAATCAAACAATGCAAATGTAAAGGGCTGCACGGAAGTTCTCTCCAAATGGGTAAATGGTTTCATCTATTTCGTGACACGGTGTCTTGGCCGACCTTGCTAAGATAGATTGTTGGAAGGACTCTAGATGGGTTGACGCATCAAACAGAAGGGGCTGTGAAAGGCATGAACTCTCCAAGTCTAGTTGGTCTGGCTGACTAGAAAGTGGCCAGCTTTATAGACTTCTATAGTGACTGGCTTATACATGAGGGTCAGTCGGAATGCTGTTCTAAGATAGATATTTATTTGGGTAGAGTATTATACACAGGTGAAAAGCTTTAAATAACACTCACGCCGCCGCACATCACCTCACATATTCATATTGGACATATTTTCAAGCTGTTGGACACGTCTAGTCATGAATAAACGCTTCAGGTAGTACTGCCATTTATTCAACACGATGTAGACTCCAAAATCTTCGCTCAACTCAATGTTCGATGGGTCGATACGCTTCATGTATATCGTAACCGGCAAATGCCGACGTCGGTCAGTCACGTGGAAGCTTCTACTACGTCCAGATACAGTTAGCCACCGCAGGCCAAAAGAAGCTTTAAGTACTGTGTGAGTAGCCGTCAATTGGTGCTTAGATGGCCAGAGAGGGACGCTTCGTCGACACGTCCGTCGTGGTCCTCTTGTCGCGTCGCCCTCGAACTCCCCATCAAATCCACCATTCGCCTGATGTACGCGGGAACCCGGAGCCAAATGTTCCCGTTTCCGTCTTCTCAGTCGAGACATGACGATTATTGGGATGAATGTCCCTACGGTCCTTTGTTACTGATTGCTCACAGGATCCCGCGTCGCTTTACACTTCATTAGCACAACCCGCGCCGAAGCACCGAATGAATCAGACAAGCACTGGATGAATCGGACGAGCCCTATATGGCAAGATTAAAACCGGCGTATATTGGAAGCCTCTGTTCTATGAGTTGTATATGTCTACCCCGCGCCTGCCTAGAGCGCCTAACCCGTGCATTCATTCATCCGTATTATACAGTTTACATTATACATTTGGTGCGAGGAGATCGTACTTGACACAACGTTCGACCTGCGACAGGTTAGCCGTGTCACGATATTCAGCGTTCGGGAGCGATTCGTAACTTACGTCTTCGATGCTGGCCTGCAAGAACCGTCTGGTCTCCAGGCCGGCCCACACCACGAGCATGCTGAAGTCGCCATGCTTGGCCATCTCGGTGCCGCTCTGGGCGCTCAACTGGCGCAGGATCGGCAGGGAGCTGCTGAGCAGGTCCATATCGGGGTGCAGGCTCCGGCCAATGCCCTCAAGGAGGAGGATGCTGATGACGACGTTGACAAAGTCGCCCTCGAGGCGCACATGGTGGCGGCGGACCATGCCGAGGACGTCCTGCAGAATGTCGCCAATCTTGATGTTGCCCAGAGCCAGGGTGCGGCTCTTGACGCCAAGCACGAGGTGTTGCATCTTCAAGGCAAACACCTCCTTGTCCAGCACAGCGTCGGGCTGGCGGCAGCGCTCGCACATGAGGTTGCCGGCCTTGTAGCCGTCGAACTCGGCCACGGCGCGGAAGAGGTCGAGGAAGTTGGTGCGGTTTGTCTCGTTGAGCTCCGTCACGAGGCCCGTGTCGATGAAGATGAGCTGCGGACGGAAGCCCTCGTCGTCGATCTTTTGGAGCTCGGCGGCCCAGGCGGCGGGGTTCTTGCGGTGGCGATAGGGACGCAGCCTGGCGAGGACTTGCTCGGTGACGTCGTCCTGCTCCTCCGGGTGCCCTTTGCCCGTGTTCCTGCGGAACTTGAGCTCGGGCTCGTGAGACTGGTAGAAGCGCACCATGATGTTGCCGGGATGCAGGTCTGCGTGGACGAAGTTGTCGATCAGCAGCATGCGCAGGAAGGCGTCGAGGCCCTCGGAGGCGATGTCCTCTTGGAACACGCCGCCGCCGTTCTCGAGAAAGTCGGCCAACGGGATGCCCTGAGCGAACTCCTCGACGAGAACGCTGCGGGTGGTGAACTCGGTGTAGGGGTAGGGGAACCAGGCGGTGGTGCGGTCTTTGAAGTTCTTGCGGAACTTTGCGAGGTTGGCGGCCTCGATACGGAGGTCGAGTTGGAGCTTCATCATCTCGCCGAACTGGGCGACCTCGTCGGGAAGGGAGAGCCACTCGATGGTGGGGATGAGGTTGAGGGCGGAGGCGAAGAAGTGCATGATGCGCAGGTCTCGACGGACGGTCCTCTCGACGCGCGGGTGCAGCACCTTGACGGCGACGTAGGATGAGGGGACGCGCTTGGGTGTGCTCTTGAGGGCAGCCTCAACGTTCTTGGCCACCTTGTGACGAAGTGGTTTGGGCGTTTCGTCGATATCTTTGTCACCGGGGGCGGCAAGACCGGGCTTCAGTTTAGCCCGGTAGACCTGGGCGATTGCGCCGACGCCGAGGGGCTTCTCGTCAAACTCGTCAAAGATGTCGTCGAAGTTCCGGCCGTCGAAGGCGGCGGAGACGATGCGCTTGGTATCGTACATGGAGTGAGCGGGTGCGTTGGAGTGGAGTTTGGACATGATTTCGCACATTTCGGTGGGAAATATGTCGGTGCGGGAGGCTGCCCATTGACCGAGCTGAGAGATGGTGAGCAATGTTGCAGGGCATCGTGAGGGGAGGGGGGATCTCTTCAGGCATCACATACCTTGATGAAGGCGGGGCCAGCCCATTCCATGGACTGGACGAGGAAGCCGTACCACCAAAGGGTGCCGGTGCGCTCGTTGTCACGATCGGGGCGGCGGCGGCCCAGCCAAATGGCGGGGACAGCGAAGATGACGGGCACGAAGATGACGAGGAGGTGGAGGAAGCGGACGCCGGTGCACAGGGGCTCCCAGACGTATAGGTCGAGGGTGATGGTGAGGGTGTGCCAGACGCGGGAGATGCCGCTGTCATCGTCGGCGACCTTCTTGTTGATCTCGGCGCGGCTGACCTCGAGCATGCGCTTCTCGCCCGTCTGGTCGGTGCCGCCGTTGTCCTTTTCGGACAGTTCAAAGAAGGCGGCGGTGCCGAGGGCGCCGACACCTGCGCCGCCTGCTCGGAGGGTATATCTCGTGTAGCGAGTGGCCCTCCATGGCAGCGGCCTCGTCTGGCTGGTGCGAAATGCGCTTCTGAATGTCGAGTAGAAATGGGTGCCGTTTGACGGCGCTCGGAAGCCCGGACGTGGACAAAAACGGCCCAGGACGAAGGCCAGTCTCATCTCGAGCGAGGACTGGGGGATGAAGGTCGGAAGGCGGCTACCATGTTATCAGTGTCGGGGTCGAGATCGAGGTCGAGGTCGAGGTTGAAGTCGAGACGGATTCGGAGAGGAGGAATTGGCCTGGGCCGCGGGGGCAGAGTGAGGTTCGGAATGTGCGCGCCCAGAACCGTGGGATTGGGACCAGGTTCCTTAGGTAAGCATTATTCGTACCTAGGAAGGCACGTAGTATTCCGTACTCGTAGTTCGCTATTTTACTATCCGGAAGGCGGAATGGAATGGGGTCAATGGCCCGCGGATGGTGACGTAAGGGTTAGATTAGGTATTTGGCTGCATTTAGGAGAGACCGCCCTCGATACGTACCTCATCACCAAGTTCCTTGCAGACCGGGAAAACCCCGGAGAATCACGTGCCGGCTGGTTGGGCTGATTGATGACGCGAGCGAGTGACACGACATCGAGGTACGTACTCCTTTTTTTATTCCTGGGAAGAGCGATTGACGCGGGACATGGTCGGAAAGAGTGGTCGCGGGTCTATCCGATGGATGGCCCACAGAAGCCTTCACTGCTGTATTCGTCCACTAGGACCACTGTTATGTACCACTGTAGCCACTGTAGAGCTGAAGCGAGCTGAGGTCAGCAAAACCACAGCGCGCGCAGAGGGCCTGAAGTGACCTCGATCGGTTCTTTATCCGCCGATCCCAGTTTCTTATCGCATTAAATCTTTTTTCTTTTCCCTTCATCCTTTAACCCGGCAAAAAACAAAAGCTCCTTCACCATCCAACCCCGTCGCATTTGATACCTTCTTGTACAATAATACCTTTGTTTCTCCTACGACTATTTGCCTATTCTACCTATTTCTCCCCCTTCCCCTTAATCCGCCTCAGCTGCACATCATCATGGGTTGGTTCTGGGCCGATGGTCCTGTTGCGCCCGTCAAGGCGAACTACGTCTCCGCGGCGCATCCTCATGGTGTCGCTGTCCCTTCCGGACCTCCTCCTGTATGTCTAACCAGCACTTTCTTCGATACATGTCTTTGTCTGACACTTCCCAGCCTGGATGTCCGATGCACGAAAAGACTCTCGGCGCCCTGAACCCGAGTACAAAGCCCGCCACCGCACCCGCTCCTCCTTCCGCATGCCCCGTCCCCCACGATCAGCGACAGTCCGCCGCGCCGCCGCCGCCGTCGTCATGTCCCGTGCCGCACGACGCGCCCAAGCCCAAGCCCGAGTCCAAGGGCGGCTTCCTCCAGCAGATCAACCCCCTGAACTACATGTTCAAGGAAATCTCCCAGGCCCCCGCCGAGAACCAGGCCATCGTCTTGCCCACCGAGCGCGAGCCCTCGACGATACCAAGGGGCTCCGGCGACGGCAACTGGGAGTACCCCTCGCCCCAGCAGATGTACAATGCCCTGCTGCGCAAGGGTTACACTGACACCGATATCACCGCCGTTGAGTCCATGGTCTCGGTTCACAACTTCCTCAACGAGGGAGCCTGGGCAGAGATTGTCAGCTGGGAGGAGCGCTTCGGCAAGGGCCTGTACAGGGGCTGGCAGGCCTGCCGCCGCGGCGAGGAGAACGCCGACGATGAGGTCGAGAAGCTCAAAGACGGCTCCGAGACGCCCCCAACCCTGATCCGCTTCCAGGGCCGCCCCAAGGACATGACCCCCAAGGCCGTCATGTGGCAGGTTGCCGGCTGGCTCTATCCCTCCAAGTTCGAGTACGTGCCCTTCCCCCATGGCCTTCTTGCATGCAACATCACCAACTGACTGACCCTCTCCCTCATAGGACCGAGCCCCCCTTTGACCGCCACGACTGGTTCGTCTCCCGCAAGATGGGCGATGTCGAGAAGGAGGTCCGCTACGTCATCGACTACTACTCGGGTGAGCCCGAGCCCACCGGCGAACCCGTCTTCTATCTCGACGTCCGGCCCGCCATGACGCCCCTCGGCGCGGCGGAGCGGCTGATCCGATGGGGCGGCGACGTGTGGTGGAGGGCCTCGGGCGCCGAGGTGCGCGAGAAGGAACGGCTCGAGAACCAGTGGAAGAAGAGTTAGACGGAACGACGACAAGAACAAGAACAACAATAAGACCAAGACCAAAAGCGAGCGGAAATTCCCCCAGGCTGAGCGCGCTTGCTCGGGGACGTGTGAGTAGTGATTATTTGGCGGCGGCAATTTGACACGATATAAACGGTTAGGTGCTTCGGATAAAGAAAAAAAGAGGGAACAGAGTCTCTTTTTTTTTTCCGACCTACTTCCCCCCTCCTGTTATTAATACCATATCGACAATATCATATGGGCCTGTATAGTACGTCGCGAAACGGCGGCGCATCTTTAAATGTACTTTCAATGTCGAGACGACCCCCGGTTGGATATAATGATTTCAATTCATAAATTACTTCCACCACTGTTAACCTCCCTCTCTTCTCTCTCTCTCTTTTCCCCTTTGACCTCTCGAGGGGTTTCCTATTCCTCGTTCCACGTCCTCTCGGCACGGAACTCTCATGACGTCTTGGCGGCCAAGGCGGTGACCTGGTCGAGCAAGGCCTTGGCCTCGCGGGGCGCGTTCTTGAGGACCTTGTCGCGGAGGTGGTCGACCTGCTGGCCGGCGGCGGCGGGGGGATTGCCCTGGGCGGTCTGGATGCGGGAGATCTGCATGGCGAGGAAGAACTTGGGGATCTTGATGGCGGCGAAGTTGCCGTTGACGGAGCGGATGCCGGCCTCAGTGGCGGTGTAGGCGTTGACCTGGTTCTGGAAGGTGGCGAGGTCGTTGTCGGCAAGGGGCTCCTTGGTGGCGAACTTGGAGAGGGCGAAGGCGAGGGGCGTCTGGGACGAGGCGGCGAAGTTGATGGACGAGAACTTAACGCCGCCGGCGTCGACGTCGGGGACGCCCGAGATGGTCTTCTTGGAGGCGTCGCAGGTGACCTTGTTGGCGAGGCTGGCGGCGGCGTCCGAGACCTCCTTGGGGAGGACGGTGTTGCCGACGATGAAGCAGGCGTTCTGGCGCGCGTCGAGGCTGGGGGCTGGCGGGATGGGTGTGTCTTGGTCAGTTTCTCTTCGTTCAAGGGGAAACTAGGGGGGAGGAAGGGTATCTTTTCACTCACCTGCGAGAGCGGCACCGAAGCTGGCTGCGAGGACGACGAAAGAGAGCTGCATCTTGAAACTGGAGAAGACCACGAGGAACTTTTAGGGTCTCAAAAAGAAGGTGATCCGGCAAGGGATTGTGGGTTTAGGAAGCTTTAGTTGAAGAGGAAATCGGGAAAACGAAGCGAAAGACCTTGCCGGAAGGACTGGTTCAGAAACGAAAAAGAATGAAAGAATGAACGGGTTACTGGCAACGGGAAAACAAGTAAACGGTCAAGGCCTGATCTGGAGGATAGGACATGATCGCCTTTTAAGCATCACATCACCCGCATGGGTGTGTGTGGGAGGGTAGGGGGGGAAGGGGTTTCTTGGCAAATAAGCATAGGGCGCGCCCACCACTACCCCCCTCCAAATCTTAACATCGTCAAAACCTGCTCACTGGTTTACTACTTTCTAACTCTCTCTGATGGGGTGGGGGGAGGGCCGTCGTCTTTCCCCTGTTGACGATTTTCGTCCCAGCATTCCGAGAGATCGTCCCCCCCGTCCTTAGAGTTCGCATCTTTGATCAGAGCATGATGCAGATACCATGGGATACCATACCGAGATGCCGAGCCCTGCCTGCCTATCTGTCGGTCAGTCGGTCACAACATGAATCAGACTCGTGGGAAGCCGGGGCAGCGGTTAGGTTGGCAGAGTGTCAAGGACGGCAAGGGGGAGGGATTTCCTCCGCGGGTATGCGGGTATAACGAGGACCGTCATATAGGCAAACCCATTGCACGCAGTTCCGCTCAACCTCGTTTGCAAGAGACAGACCGATAGAGAGAGAGGGAGAGAGAGAAAAGAGCCGGCCAGCGCGTGTCGTTTCTGCAACAGCACGAGTCTCGAAAGCTTGTCGCGCGCCACCCGATGCGGTAAAGGTTATCCCTGACGGCCTGCTTTTAAGCCGCCGAGCCATAGAACCACATCTGCGGTTTCGGGCGGGGGGGTGGACAGGGGGGTTTCCTGTAAGGACCTCTCCGTTTGTGTGTGTGTATGTGTGTGTGTGTGTGTGTGTGTCGTCCGAACTCTAGAGTCCTTGACGGAGGACATGGCCGATTCGGGAACATGGGTGATCCCATATCTGGCATACACGAACATGGGGGTTTGACGGTCCTGGTGGGGGGTTCGTCCTTCGACCTTCTTCCTCATTCGTACAGACTGAACTCTTTTCGCTTACAGTCCGAGCCAGATATAGCTAGTAACCCCCATCCCCCCCCCCTGTCAGCTCGTCCTTTCTTCTTTTCGACCTTGTTTCAGCGCGTCAAGGGGATCCAATCATGACCGGGAAGACGGTGGTATCGAGGCGTTCCAGAGTTGGACATCTCGGGAGGGTGCGACGTCGTCTAAGAGCCCTGCTTCTCAGGGAACAGGGGATTGGTATCCCTTCGTGTGCTTGCCACCTTTTCTTTGCCTGGGTGACGGTTCTGAGAGAAGGGATAAACGAGGTTGAGAGGTGGCTTGGCTTCCCCCTCCCAGCGATACGGTCGAGAGCTGTGGTCTGCTAATGAGACGTCAACCGACATATCGGTCCGCATGCTTAATAACTCAATTGTCGTGTCCGCAGTCCTCGGTGGGAAAAGAGTACGGATAGAAGAAGAAGAAAAATCACGGCGGCCCCGCGAAAGGGGGCTGTGTGCGCACATCTCCGGGAAGACTCACTCGACCGTGGTTCTGCATCCAAGTTATTTCACGAATTTGGCTCCTGGGATGTCAATGCTGAGGCTTTATCTTATTTTATATTTTATCTCAAGCCGTCCGGCCCGAAGCTGGGTTTGACTTTTTGGCAACGCCAACCGACTGCGACGCTCTTGGCGACGAACGACCCGCCGTGGGACGGCCAGGTATGGATGCCATGGCTCAAGAGGCCAAAGACTGTCTTCTCTGTTGATCCCCCGGGTCATCCGGGCATGGTAACCTGTCCAGAACTCTGGCTGGCTCGCTGTGAGCGCAGCTTTAGTCTCGTCTCTGCGCTCCCCGTGTGCCTCTCTCCCTGTACGTGGCGAAACATTCCTTGTCTGTGCAGGATCGGTGAGTTCCAAAGCCTGTGATGGTATCATATCCGCCGACCTTGTCTCTTCTCGTCTCGGACGATGTATCAGACTACATGCACACTTGCACACACTGCACGTCGGGGTTAGAATGGCTTGTAAACTCACGATAGCCCCCGATTGGGGAGTGAAGCAGACTGGCAGACAAGACCACGAGAATATCCAAACAACTACCGATGAAGGAGTGTTCAACGGTTCCAAACAACGAAACCTCCCTCGGTGTGACCGATCTCGCCTACCTTGCCGTCAAGCCGGCATGCTTGTCGGACGACAAGCCCGACCCGATGCGGGTGCTCTCCCTCGACCGGAACTCCGCCAAAGCCCATGTCAAGTACTGCAGCACTACGTCCGCCGCCGTTCTGACTTGAAAAGTCTCCGCGGCCGCGATTTTGCCGTTCAACATGGGCGGAACCCTTCATTAGCATCCTGTTCTTGCGCGTCCATGAAGTATCTTCACTTGACCAAGGGGGCAACATAGAGCGCGTCGCTCCGGTCGCCCCTCTCCACCGGAAAAAGCAAGAGAAAATAGAAATATCATGAGGTTTGAACTTGTCCATAATTCAAGTAACCATGGCCTTTTATCCCGAGAGAAGTGACAACTTCTCGGATTCCCCGCTAGTTGTATTAGCAGATATCAACTCCATTAGGCATTTCTTTCCTTCCATTTGAATTGTTCGAATGATGATAGTATTAGTAATAGCTCGCCACATCCCCCTTCAGGGAAGCAGCCGCCAAATGATATAAACTCGCTGCAAAATACCTAATGCTCTATACGCCTTCGTACACCTCCAAAAACACCTCAGCCCTGCTCCCGACAAAGAAGGATCCGTACATGGCCGCGCCAGCCGGCGTCTCACTCGACCACGGCCCACGAGCCCGACGGGCCGTACTCGACCTCGTGGAAGCTCTCCTTCTTAAAGTCTATGACGTGGATGGGCGTGTCGTGGCCGTCGACCATGGTCCCGGTCTCGGCGCCCTTTTGGAACCACACGGCGGCCTGCAGCCTCGGCGTCAGGGCCTCCCTCCCGGGCGGCAGGGGGCCGAAGTGGCTGACGTAGACGGGGGCCTCGACGCCGTTGACAGTCTTGTACACGACGGCCGACGCCGACGATGCCTCGTTGACGAACATCATGTCCTCGTCGGACACGTCCGGGTCCGTCGTCGCGCTGCCGTCGCTCCAATCCTGCGGCAGGACCCACGACTTCCCCGAGGAGATGGGCTGCGGCGTCGTCGCGACGTCGAGGCGGACTGTTGCGCTCGTGTTAGTCCAGGGGAATCGTGTGACAAGTACGTGTTTGGATTGGGGAGCTTCTTTTGTGTTTTTCTTACCTCCACTGGCGAACGCGCTGCTGCTGGCTGCGATCGAATACTCTTCCTTCCACGTCACCATGAGATTCCGCGCGCAAACTGACCATCGGATTAGCAAATGGTTCTTCTTGGTCTGGGGTTCCTTTAACAATGCAGACGGTACCTGAAGAGTAGCCGATGACGTTGAACTTGGTGGAGCCCGGCCTGGCGCTTGTATCGAAGCCAAAGGCAAGGCAGATCTTGTGCCCGCTGGTCTTGAACTTGGCAACGCAGTTCTTGTCGATGCGGATGTTGAGTTTGTATTCGGCCATTCTTGCTAAGGTTTGGGGGGCTGGCGGGCTGGCTTTTCGCGGCGGCGCTGAGATATTTTCCTTGGACCGCGTAGATGGTAATTTTGTATGAGCTGAGGAATGGTGATGAAAAGGAACCTCCTTGAGATATCATCCCTTTCTCGAGCCGGGGGCATCAGAAAGATAAATATCTATCGCTCTACATTCTCCGTCGTCACCCCTTCTCAGACAGAGGACCCTACGTCTCCATGCAATCATGCGAACTCGGCCTACAGAAGAGAACGTTGGGCTGAGGGTAAAAGGGGACCTTTCTGTCTCAACAGCGCCTTGACGTAAGTTCACGGTCCGATGACGCAGCTGTCTTGGTTTCGCTTGCGGATCAGCCAAGCTTCGGAACTCCGAACGTGATGGGCGAGAGCATCTGGTAGCCCGAATGAATCCATTCCCCTTCACCGAAGAATGACGAGCGTGAACCACCTTGGAGGCATGGCATCGCATTCGCCCCGTTGGGGGGCAGGCGAGGCGAGGCTAGGCGAGACGGGTTTTATCGATGCTTTTGATAGACTTGCGTCCGGCTCATGCGGAGCTCCAATGATGCTACTGGCGCTTCGCTCCCGGCTGAAGGGTCTGGTAGCCTGCGTGCACGTGGGAGGCTGCTCACCCTTCCCACCCTTTCTCGTGAGCAATGGGCGCGGGAGGAATGTCTCTGGCTTGACCTCTCACAGTCGTTTCCCAGCCACATGACACGGGACATGCCAGGCAAGGCGGCCGTTTCTTTCCTTATTTAGACCCTTGTTTTTTGTTTTTGTTTTTTTCGAACGCCATTGGGATCGGGCTGGGCATGCAGAGGAAGCTGGATATGTATGGCCTCCCCTGTTCCGTCTGCTCTCGTGCTGGTGGCGGCTGAGCCGGATGCGGGCGGCGGCAGTGCTCCGGTCACCATCGGAGAAGGGCCTCTCCGGGTTTCGACGACGCAAACGAATGGGTTTGGCCAAGTCTGCTTGTCGCAGTAGATGAAGAAACGCGAACCAAGATCTGGACCGCGTATCCCAGGTGTGATGACCAGCTAGAGGCAGACATAATGCCGAACTGCCCCTCTCCCCCCCCCTGCTTCGGGTTGTCGAGCCGCACCTGGTAACCGGCTTCGTGTCTCTGGGCGGAATAGCTCTGCGATGTCAACAGGAAGCCAAGGGAGTCAGCATCGTCGGGTGTAACGAACCTCGACGTCGTCCTAGGTTTGGGGCAAGTTTACACGTTGCGAGGCTATGCCAGAGTTTGATGTGGTCATTGGAATTTCTTTTCCACACTTTCGGCTTTCAAGGCCTCCAGCAACACGGCCCCCCAGATGCAAAGGCCCTCCAGTCTTCATAAATAAAACATGGCATTAACATATCAACAAAATCCCATCCGCGCGGACGCCAGAGTCGCATGACGGCTTGTAACGTGACGGCAAAACACCTTATATAGTAGCACCTACACCTATTAAATAATAGGGATTATAATAGTTAATTAATCCTGTAGGAATAGGGAAATCCCCCTATTTCTTGGTTGGGAAATCCTGAGCTAATCCTGGCGATATTACCAATTTGGCGAAATCACTATTAAAGTGGGGGCGATCTTGCCGCCTACTCCCTAGCGATTCGCCATAGGGCAACCATGCATTCAACAGTAAATTCACGTGTACTTTCGCCACATTTGACAGATACACACATAACAGAGATATTAATTAACAAAAGGTATTGCTGCCAATCCGCGCTTCAATAATTACGCGCTTTAACAATTTCGGCCACATTTAACAAAATCCATCTGAGAAATAACTAGCGTATTGGCGGCTAATTGACCCACCTTGCGCCCGGGCGCACACTGTCACATTGCCCACTTTCACAAATTAACTTAAGGTATCGCTGCTAATTACGCGCTTTAACAATTACGGTCTTCGATGTCCGCGTCAAATATACGGCCATTAATCTGATGACTCTGCGACGCCCCTGCGATAGGACAACATTCAGAGTGCTGGAGTTCAAACATCGCCGTCGTCCTACAACCGGCCTGCGCAATCCTTTTGTTACTATGTCGTAACGCCAAGTTACAATTTTTTATGCTACTGATGCAGACAGAGAAGAAGCTCCATAACATTTTAAGGACAGGGACGCATAAGACGAGGTTGCCAACCAGCATTGCAGTGCTGACCTCGCGGACGGCCCAGATAAGCCACACAGCTCCTATCTTGTCTGGTAGAGTTGTAAAAGCGTGCACTTTAAGAAGAATTGCTGAGAGCATCTGTTAATGTTAGCTATTATTAGATTTTTAACAGTTAAAGTTATTGCTGTCTTAGAGCATTGCCTACAGTTAACATGCCCATACTTAACAAAGCAATGAGCATTAATTTTCTATAAAACCGTATATGTTAGATCTAGAGGACATAAGTAAAACTTGATGTAGTAGAAACGACACTTACTTCCCAATCCCCACTTTTAACGTACTAACGCGTAGAATTGGAATCAGCATCAGGACTAGATCCGTTGAGAGATTCAAAGATAGCTGTAATATGTTATATTTAGTTAATGAAAGACATTGTTCTACTGTCTCTGTTAACCTCTGTTTGCATACGCCCTTTGATTACTAGGGTGTATTTCTATCTTTATTGATATATACGTACTATTGTGTGGATGAAGAACTAGATAGTCGGAGAGTGGTCGACACCATCCATCATATAGAGCAATAATGACTGCCATATATGATAGACCAATAAACGTCAAAATTACAACTATGATTTTGTGTTCAAAACCTAAGAGGCTGTTGTTCCACACAGTTGTCGTCAGTAACGTTGCCTTGGTTCAGCTTGCAGACAGAGCAACTCAGGGGCAGCTTGAGGCAGCACTTACTTAATACGTTTATAGAAGAGTGAAAGGCATAACTTATTACCCCATAAAGTTGTCTGTAGAGCCCCTTCAAGGATTATACCTAGAGTACCGAGTCGTCGGCCAACAAAAGACTTATATCCAGGTGTAACATCATCATAATCCACCTTTGACGCAGTTTCACTGTATAGGTACAGAGAAACTAGCGAGGTGGTATATGTGAACTATAGATTAGAATCAGGACCTATTCAAACTTGCCAGTAAATAGGTGGAACATGCTCTGTAGTGGTCTCACTACTGGCACTAAAAGGACGCATTGGGGACAAATGGTTATACGAACGACGTTAACAGCCATCAATATGTCCTCCCCAGGAACCTTTCTTAGAAACTCTTTTTTTCGAACGGTATACTGTGATACACTTATAAGCTGGTTAGCAACGAAAGCCCGACGAAGGAGGGTAGTTCATTATACAAACAATCTAATGATCACTATGACAATGACAACACAAAACCAGACCCAAGTTTCAACTTCATGAGCTCTTTGTAGAGACATAATAGATAATATGCTGAGTGTTGATAGTGTCATAAAGACGACTGCTATCCTAACACTATATTAAGGGTTTGTGGCGTAGCTATCTTTAATAAATAATAATAGAATTAAAGTTTAGACTAAAGTGAAAGTGGTCTGTTTTAATGTCACAAGCAGGTCAGAGTAACTAACTCTAGCACAAAGCAAAAGCTTTACTAATGATACACCTGTATTATTATCCTATGTTCTACACTATATACTTACGCCGGCCAGCACCCTAACTAGTTAGATTGTAATAGTAATTTAATATTAGGTCTGTCTGTATACTTCTAAGTAGGTTATAAATCTTTCCCTTAGATTAGAACTATCTTCTTCCTTTACTATTTTCTCTTATTAGGGTGTAAAGATATACCTAGAGGGTAGGGTATCTAATGCGCTACTAGCAGATAGGGGGTATCAGAATGTTGCGGCCTAACCAGTAGGGTGCTGGCCGGCGTAACTGTATAGTGCAGAACAGGGGATAATAAGACAGGTACATTATTACTGTATCCTCTTGTGAAACCCAAACAGAGCTAATTTTGAGGCTAACGGCAAGGGGTATGACGGCCGCTGTGATGGGTATAGTGTGCCGGCAGAATCAGGGATCTAGAGATGGCAAAAGCAGGGGTTAGTCATGTACGTCAACAGCAAATTAAGTAAGTAGGAAAGGCCAGCAAATTGACTTATGGTTAGTATTAGATTTCCTCCCACCCACCCATCCATCCACTGCTGGCTAGATTTCCCATGGCCTTGATGAACTATTTCTGAGCTGGCCGCTTTCTGCTTTAGGCCTAGCCTAGTGGAGACGCGGCTAGCTATCACTAGTTAGCCCAAAAATTAGCTCTGTTCGGGTTTCACAAGAGGATACGGTACCCAAGGTTCTACTTTGTAGTATACGGAGTAGTTAGTTGCCCTAGGTATACACATTAACCTTAAATAAGTTAGATCTACGCTAATTAGCGCCTTTGCGCTAATCAGCAAAATACAAAACGGCATTAATATTAGGTTTACCTAACTCAATGACCCTACTTCCGCACCACCTCACTTATACACGACTATTATTACTATTATTACTACTATTAAAGTCGGATATACAGCAATTACCCTTGTTTAATTAATTAATATGTAACTATGACTATTCTCCTATTCCGTAGGGCAGAGGAGACGCCGATGTTTACGTTATTGCTTTCCCCTCTTTTAGGTGGCCAGATCCATCCAGCACATTTTCCCACTGGCCCCGTGTTACTGTCAAAGAACGCGAAATGGCCGCGTGCGCCCAGGCGCAAGGTAGGGCAATTGGCCGCAAATGCACCAGTCATTTCTCAGATAGATTTTTTTAAAGTAGGCGTGTTAAATATAGCAAAAGTATAGAGGTGCGTGTCAACAGTAGTGATCCGTAGTGCCAAGACCTGTCCCTCTATCTAGATCTACTCTATAATTATCTAACTAATTAGAGCACTAGGATTGTTTCTTTCTTCTTATACCCTTATAAAAGTAATTTTACTATAACTATTTATTATTAATTATAAGAATAATTACTATTATAACTATTTATTATAACTACTACTATTATAGCCTATATTAATATTTAG